ATATTTGATGGGGTATCAAAACTTTTGTCTAAAATAATTCTTGCAGCTCTTTTTTGAAAGTTCACAATTTGCGAAAGTAATTCACTACTGCAGTTTCCCCAAATAGTGCAACAGTAGTCAATATGTGGCAAAATATAAGCATTAAAAAAGAGTTTTCTGGAGTGGAGATCAAGGTACTGTTTGATTCTAAGAAGTAAATAGAGCTGTGAATTGCATTTTTTAATAATATTTTGAATTTGTGTTTTCCATTTAAGATTTTTGTCAACCTGGACTCCTAGCAGTTTTTCAGTGTCTGTAAATTCTATCTCTTTGTTTTGAAGGTGCAGAGTAGATGAAGCAGTATTTTTTGATTTAGTATTTTTTAAAGAGAAATTTATGGCCTTAGTTTTTTGTGCATTTAATATCATTGCATTTTGCCTACACCATGTGCTAACACTATCAAGATCAGTTTGAAGATTATAATTCATTTCCGTTAAAGTACTTCCAGTAGAAGTAAGGGAAGTGTCGTCTGCAAACATATCGGTAGTTGACTGTTTAACATGAAGATGGATGTCATTTATGTATATCAAAAATAGTAGGGGCCCAAGGACTGAGCCCTGAGGCACTCCTGAGACAACTTCAGCTGGTTCAGATAAAACACCAGACACATTTACTTTTTGTGACCTGTCTGATAGATAAGATCTTATCCAATCTATAGTATGTGAAGAGAAATTATAGAAAGGTAGTTTTTCTAGAAGAATTTGGTGGTTTACTAAATCAAAGGCTTTTGATAAGTCTAGAAAAACAGTTCCGACAAGTTTGCCATCATTCAGAGCACTGATCCAATTATCAATTATATTTGTTAGAGCTGTCTCACATGAATGATGTGCCCTGAAACCTGATTGAGCGGTGTAAAGTAAATGGTTTGTTTCTAAATAGAGCTTTAAGTGGTCTGATACATGTTTTTCAATTATTTTAGAGATAAGGGGAAGTACTGAAATTGGTCTGTAATTATTTTTGTCTCCCTTTGGTCCTTTTTTGTAAATTGGTGTTACCTTTGACTGTTTTAGCTGAGTTGGAAATTTTCCACTTTTTATGCTTAGATTTATAATACTACATAGAGGTTTACTTATGACATCAGCTGCTGTTTTTAGGAATTTTGCACCAATACCATCTAGGCCTGTTGCTTTTGTGGCGTCAAGACTATTGAGTTTCTGATTTACATAGCTTAAGTCAACAAAGGGTATTTCATATTTATTTGACTGATTTGAAATTTTGGATTTAACCGATTCTTGTAAAGCAGTTTTCAATTCATATGATAATCCTTCTGATACATTTTCAGCTTTTTCAAATACACTTGCAAAGAAAGTATTAAAGGTTTCTGCTGTTAATTTTGGATCAGTTATCGGTAAACCATTCTCATCATTTATGTAAGAATTTTGTTGAACATTTGTTTTGCCTGATAGGTTTTTCAAGTTTTTCCAAAGTTTTTTAGGATTTTTCTTATTTGAGTTTATTTCATAATGAAAGAAATCTTTTTTTGCTGTATGAATAAGTTTTTTCACTTTTAATTTCCAATATTTGAAGTCATCAACATTATTTTTCTTTTTTGCATAGTCCCTGTTATGTATTGCATTAGCTATATCCTCATTGAACCAATCAGCTTGGTTTTTATGCTTAACTCGTTTTTGTTTGTATGGAGCATATATATTGAGAGTTTCCAAAAATAATTTATTAAAAGTGTCTAAAGCGTCATCTGGATCATTAAACATATCAATAAGGGACCATGGTTGTTTTGACAGATCATCTAGAAATTTATCAGCGTTGAAGTTCTTTGAGTACCTGTATTTGATTGTAAAATGAATTGGACCTTTTTTAATATTTTTGATAGTTCGTTTTGTGAAAATTATTGGAAAGTGTCACTAATAGAAAGTATAGGGACAGTAATGTATGATATATTCTGTGATTGATTACTATAGACATGATCAATAATAGTTGATGATGTTGATGTAACTCTTGTAGGCTGTGTTATAAGTTGTGACAGATTAAATGTATTAATTATATTACCCATGCTGAGTTATTTGAACCTGTAGTTCCAAAATTATAGTTAAAATCTCCAAAAATAATTATTTCTTTGTTTTCAACAATTTTTTTCCAAGAATTTCTTCAATGTTATCATTCCATGAAGTTAATGACGAAGGTGGCCTATAAATGTAACCTATCAAAAAAGGTTTTTGCTTTTCAAGTTTCATTTCGAGCCATATTGATTCAGTATTTTCAGATTGTAAATCAGATCTTAGTTCACATGTCAGACTGTACAAATGACGAAGGAGAACTGTTAACTTTTAGTGGAGAAAATGTTTTAGCACCTGACCAGCTATGTCGGTAGAGCTGTGAAACAGTGTACCAGGGGTCCCATGTTCAATCTCAGTCAGGCAGCTACAATGCAGTATGTACTTAGGCTGCATATTTTTCTCACTATGATAAAACAATCACAGCAGCTTGAAATCTCTATAAATACTTATCTCTTTGCAATCAAAAAGAAACATGTTGAACTTTCCCTTTTAATATTATAACCTTGATAATACTAATTAATAAATGATTACTAATGTCTGAAGTGTGGAATTTTTTTCATACATGTACTTAAGTGTTTAGTATTACTGTATTTTTTATTACTAAATATACAAGGAAGATGAACCATAATTAACACTCTGTAGTTCTTATATCATGAATTAATAATGTTTTTGTCTCCTTTTTTTTTTACTTCCTTCTAAAACAATAAAAATGCTAAATATCGCATGATGATAAATAAATTCTGTAAGCATACAATTATGTATTACAAAGAATATCAACATTGAAACAAGAGGGCCATGATGGCCCTGAGGTCGCTCACCTGTATTTAGGCCCCCGGAGTGGGGCTAGTTTAAACCTCAGGGCTTTTATTTGAACAAACTTGGAAGACACTCATTAGAAGATGTTTCATGATGTTAAGTTTTTACTACACACATAATTATAATGAAAAACAATGACCTCCCCCCCCCCCCCTTTGGCAGGGCCAATTTTAACCCAAGGGCTTTTATTTGAACAAACTTGGTAGACACCCACAAAAAGATGTTTCCTGCAATCTAACCTCTAGCTCATTGGGGTTTTTAAAAGAAGATCTTTTAAGTTTTTAATATACTCATATAGTTAAAAAAAAATGACACCTCTAGGGCGGGGCCAGTTTTAGCCCCAGAGCTGTTATTTGAACAAACTTTGTAGACACTTACTAGAAGATGTTTCATGCTTAATATCTAAACTCTAACTATTTGGGTTTTTTCAAAGAAGATTTATAAGTTTTTGCCATACACATATAAGGAAAATCAATGACCGCCACGCGGGGCCAATTTTGACCCCAGGGCTTTTATTTGAACAAACTTTGTATACACTCACTAGAAGATGTTTCATGCTTAATATCTAAACTCTAGCTATTTGGGTTTTTTCAAAGAAGATTTTTTAAGTTTTTGCTATACACATATAAGGAAAATCAATGACCCCCGGGGCGGGGCCAATTTTGACCCCAGGGCTTTTACTTGAACAAACTTGGTAGACACTTATTAGAAGATGTTTCATGCTAAATATCTTAGCTCTAGCTATATGGTTTCTTTAAAAGAAGATTTTTTAAGTTTTTACTATATGCATATAGACACCCATTAGCACATGTTTCATGCTAAATATCTTAGCTCTAGCTCTTTGGGTTCTTTAAAAGAAGATTTTTTAAGTTTTTACTATATATACATATAGGGATAATCAATAACCCCCTGGGACAGGGCCAATTTTGACCCCAGGGCTTTTATTTGAACAAACTTGGTAGACACTTATTAGAAGATGTTTCATGCTAAATATCTTAGCTCTAGCTCTATGGTTTCTTTAAAAGAAGATTTTTTAAGTTTTTACTATATGCATATAGGGAAAATCAATGACCCCCGGGACGGGGTCAATTTTGACCCCAGGGCTTTTATTTGAACAAACTTTGTAGACACCCATTAGAACATGTTTCATGCTAAATATCTTAGCTCTAGCTCTTTGGGTTCATTAAAACAAGATTTTTTAAATTTTTACTATATGCATATAGGGAAAATCAATGACCCCCTGGGGCGGGGCCAATTTTGACCCCAGGGCTTTTATTTGAACAAACTTGGTAGACACTTATTAGAAGATGTTTCATGCTAAAAATCTTAGCTCTAACTCTATGGGTTCTTTAAAAGAAGAATTTTTAAGTTTTTACTATATGCATATAGGGAAAATCAATGACCCCCGGGGTGGGGCCAATTTTGACCCAAAGGCTTTTATTTGAACAAACTTGTTAGACACTTACTAGATGATGTTTCATGCTAAATATCTTAGCTCTAGCTCCATGGGTTCTTTAAAAGAAGAATTTTTAAGTTTTTACTATATGTATATAGGGAAAATCAATGACCCCCTGGGGCGGGGCCAATTTTGACCCCAGGGCTTTTATTTGAACAAACTTGGTAGACACTTACTAGAAGATGTTTCATGCCAAATATCTAAGCTCCAGCTCTTATGGTTTTTTAAGAGAAGATATTTAAAGTTTTTTCTTTCGGTTGCCATGGCAACCAGAGTTCTGCACGGAATTAAATTCTTTGAACAATTTTTAAAGGTGACCACCAAAGGAACATTCCTGTGAAGTTTGGATGAAATTGGCTCAGTGGTTTATGAGGAGATGTCATTTAAAGTAAAAGTTTACGGACGGACGCCGGACGAAAAGCGATCACAAAAGCTCACCCTGTCACTTTGTGACAGGTGAGCTAAAAAGTCTAACATTTGTAACTATTTGATTGTATTTAAATTTTCTGCATGAAATTTCAAAAATGTAAAAAAAATAAAACCCTTCAAATTATACCAAAACTTAAATCAATTGAAAACTAAAATTTCCCGGTTTGTATGATTCAGTACTTATATAAAAACAAAATATTATTAAACAAGGAAATACAAAGAAAAATTCCCTTATATACACTTACTGGCTGGCTCCCAACTCCTTGAGAATTCTGTGCAAATCTTTCTTTGGCTTTGAGAGCTTTTGCCCTCTCATTTCTTAACCTCTCATCATCTTTCAGCAACTGGACTAACTGTTTTGCTTTCTCTCTCACATTAATGCCCTGATCCTTATTGTCCTCAGTATATTGGAAGTCTTTTAGTGTCTGTATAGCAAAGATATTTTCTTTGCATTGTTGAGCCACTTTTTCACTTCCTGTTTTAATGATGTAATCAAGCACCGCTAAAGATTTATAAACATGCCGCCAATTTTTGCCATGATCGTTTAATCTCTTCCACAACATTTGCATAATTTCTGTAAATGCTACAACATTGTATGTCAGATCAGCAATTTCTGTCATCAGAGTACTAGATGGACCCCAGGGATCATTGGATGTAGCTTCTCGTACTTTAACTTGAGCATCAGTGTAGTTCTTCACTACATTTTTCAATGTCCTCCTCATTGGCATTTTGAAGCACTATGTTCTGTATCAATAGGTAATCACAGTAAATAAACCAGCTATTATATATTAAAAGCTCCAGCAGTTAAAAATAAGTCAATGCATGTCTTCTTCCTACCTTTAGGATTAACTGAAATGTAAAAAACAAAGGAATTAAATGTTATATCTAGGACCTAGGTATACATGTTTATTTATAAGAAACATATTCAAATAATACAATTTAAAACTATATCTGTAATTATATGCCAAAAATTATTTTCAGATGTATTTGCTACCCTCTTTGTTTTATAGTCCCATATTTTTAAGCTCCTTGAATGCTTGATACCTGGGGGCCAAGCAACAACAAACAAGGTAAACATATTTCTTATGTTGAGGTACAATTAACAGCCAATCGATTGATAAGCTCAGTGAAGTGTTTAAAAGCTATAAATTCACTGTGTGGAAATTAGAGGACATACACTGAAATTACATACTGAATAATTGAACTCTTTCTATGATGATACATGTACAACAAATGCATATGTGTTTTGCATGATTAAAAAAAAAAAGATTTGATTGACATATGAGCCGCGTCATGACAAAACCAACATAGTGCGTTTGCGATCAGCATGGATCCAGACCAGCCTGCGCATCCGCGCAGTCTGATCAGGAACCATGCTGTTCGCTTACAACCCTATTACAAGTAGAGAAACTGATAGCGAACAGCATGGATCCTGATCAGACTGCGCGGATGCGCAGGCTGGTCTGGATCCATGCTGGTCGCAAACCCATTATGTTGGTTTTGTCATGACGCGGCTCATATAACAAATAACACCATGACAAAAATATACACAATATAACTAAAGTCCACCATCATTAACAATTACTGGTATTTTTAAAATAACATCATATTTTTATCAGAAACTGCTTTGATATCTGTATACTGATAATTTTCATACTTTATGATAACATAAAATAAAAACATGGTTCTAATCTTATGCCAGTTAGCTCAGGGCTTTTTAAATATCAATGAATATATGTTATTGCGTCAAATCAAATACTTATTAGTTCAACAACTTTTTTGTTTATAAATTTGAGCACTTTGACAGGCATGGGATAAAAATTGGAGTCAAAAGCTCAGGACTGTTGCTGACTAATTTGAATTTTGGTAGATAAAATTTCAAGGGCCTCCGGTTGCCTAAACTGTCACTAGACTTACAACTACTAGTAGGGATGGTGACATTTTTTTCAGATTTCTTTGTGTTTTTATTTTACCCCATCAGTTTTTTCCAAATGTGATTAATCACATGCATTGCCAGAGATCTGCCAAGAATTTGAAAGTACTGGGCCCTAGGCAAATAATGGACAATTTTGGAAAAACCATAGGTAAAAAATATTAAACTTTGACCTGAAGGACTGTGTTTTGGTATAAAGTATACTGTATTTTCAAATTATCAGTATGTGGTATAGTGTGACCATTGCCCTTATTAATTATTGGAACTACAAGTACATACTACAACAACAATGACCAACTGGATTTTTTTGTTTCAATTTATGAATATGTAATACTCAAAGAACATTTAAATATTCAGCGTTTTTTTTTCTCTACTTTGGGAACCAGACTGATTGGGAAAAAAATGCGTTATTTTGACTAAAATTGGGATTTTTTTAATGCATTTTTTCAGCTACAAATGAGATTAGACATCATGAATAAAGATAGCTAACAGCTCTTGTTTTTTGTATTGCAGGTTGAATCCAGAATAAAACTTATCGCAGTCTGTACCGGTTTTGCAAGAATTTCTAAATACATTTGTAACATAATGAAGGGTTTTGTTTTCATGCTGATAAAAGTTCAGCGCTGAATTTAGATGTACCCATGTCCCTTTGCGGCCAACTTTTCTGTGCAATTTTCATTTTTTTTAATGCCAATGTCCTATCCAGACCTATGATTGCCAAAAACAAAAGGCTATGACCTCTCAATTTTTTGGAAAAAATGTTCTGTGGCTTATAATATATTTTGCTTATTAACTGTGAATTTAACAACATCTTAAAATGGACAAGATACCCTTTAGCAATGACTGACAAGATATAAAGGCTAGGGATACAACTCAAAATTGCTCAACTCATGAAAAAGTAATTGTATCATAGTTTGGGGACCTTTCTGTTGAAAAAGTGTCAGAGTTAAATCGTATACATATACATGCACAGTGCGGTAAATGGAGTGCAGGTATCTGTTACCCGCACTCCAGATCATGCCCGTTGATTGGCTCATTTTTGCTGGGGTTTACATATTGTGACGGCAGAGAAAGGGAAAGCGGCAGAAATATCATATTCAGATGCTCGATCATTGGTTACTTTTTCCCGGGGTTTAAAATTGTGACAACAGGGAACGTGTTTTTATGTTTGACTATGATACAAAAGAGAAAGAACACCAAAACACTCGGCAATCTGATAGCCTCGTGTTTCGGTGCTCTTTCTATTACATAGAATACAGGAGGCAATAGTTTTTTTCATTGTTGGACATTCATAAAAGAATCGATAATATCAAAAAAAATATATCATTTTGATACATGGACAAGAAATTACCAACAAATAACCTTTCGTGTTTCATTTTTACACATGTTCGTAAAATTTTGGTTGGTAAATTTACACCTGTAAAAAGCAATTTTAATGCAAATGTATGCTCATATGAGAAAGCTTAATACACCCATTGACAGTCTCAATATGAACTACGTAAATAACTGAGGTATATCGAGTGAAAAAATACGAGTTGTTTCCCTTATCTTCGAGTAAAATCGATATCTCTAATACTAAAACAATGCAAATTAAGCCATTTTTAAACCGCTCTTTTGGGGTGATTTGATGTCCGATTTTAAAATTTATTAACCAATGAAAAGCTTGTGATCTTAGCTTCGTCTCAGTATATAGTTCAAAAGATTGTTTGACACTGAAGATATTTAAATTTACGGTTAAACCTACCACGTGTCAGACCATTTTACATATGTTTTATACAGTGAGATACGCAATTGGTTATCTTTACTAGCAATTAATAGCCTGTTGTCTGCTAGTTCGGAAACTGTCCATCCGTGTATTATGTTATTGGTTAAAACTTAATTATCATTAACTTCTGGTACAAATTATTCTAAAAATTTTTTTTTGTTTTGATAATTTCTATCATCGGCTTCCATTTTGAATGTGGCCCATATGTTCCATGCATAAACCCAACTTCTAGTAGTAACTGACAATTTCATCTTCAGTAATTGCCTCACTCTTCATAGAGCATCATCGGCTCATGAATAAAAATCATCTGGATAATAACGGCATATAGCCTTAAGCAGCGCCGAATAGCGGTTTTTCATCAGACAATGAAAATACTCACAACATAAACGCACCTGCATAATTGGCAAACATTTAACAGCCGTAGTAAATATTGAAATGTTAGTTATTTCCTGCAATGTTACAGGTTTTAATGAAAACTTTGTAGTAGAACTTGGGTAATGACAGGTATCAATTTCTACATTAACATTGATGGAATACAGGATATTTTATAAAGTTTACATGTGTGAATGCCTTTTACAAACACATGCTGATGACAAGGCCACGACTTTTATCCCTTGTTTATATTATGTAAAGAGAGATTTTTATAAATAAAATAAAGACTGATTTTCCTGTGGCTAAAATTAAAATTTACTAAAATCTATATAAATAATTATCATTACATTCAATTGTAATGACACCGATTTCTTCTACATCAGCGAATAAAAGTCTATCTAGTATAAACATAGGTTATAACGTTAACATGACTATAACAAAAATAATTAACAATCTGTCACGTTTTGAAAGTTTCCCCACCCACTTTTCTAGGCCGTGACAACTTTCTTTCTAACATTTAGTGCCTTTACTCGCACAAATAAGCTATTACATCGATATTTTTATATATAGTTTGGTTACCTGTTTAGCTCATTTAAAATTTTAATGCCGATTTATTAGAATTTATTACAAAAATTGGCCAAGAAAGGACAACAATTAACTTTTTTTATACACAGGAAACTGACCAATCGCAGAAATGGCGAATTTCTACTTCCGGTTAGTCATCCTTTACACAAGGGAGGAATGGGTAATAGCACAAGTCTGTGAAAACAGAAATTGAATCCCAACCAATAATACTAATTATGATTTAAAGTGTTAAACACAAATAATTAAATACATATGTTAACGATTTATTTTATATCTACTGGCATAAGCATTACTAATGTCAATAATTTGCAGACAATACACATGTTGGAACAGCGGAGCAGTATTTTGGAAAGTCAACAAAAACAAAAAAGCAGGGTGTGTATACTTGAAAAATTGTTAAATATGTGGGTGTGAAATGACAGTGGCAATGTTTTATGTGTCGGTAAGTTTTAAACAGAGTTTTGCTGGATAAGACAAAAAAATGATGTCTTTCTTTGTTTTATGGATAGACCACCAGTAATTTTACCTGTGGACTAATTAACTTTCCAGGTGAGACATGTTCATCTTTCTGTGTTTCTGTGGAAATCAAGCTTTACATTTGTAGGGGTTTCATATATAATTCATAAATGTGTGAAATTTAAGTTCTGAACTAGTCAATGATAAATCACTGTCAAATGAATTGTTTATAGAAATAAGAATTGCAATGTCACAAATTGTATCTATAGCAAATTATGACACAGTCTATAAATTATAATCTGTATGCTGTTTAGTTCTCAGCCTTTGAATAAAGTACTGTTGAAACCCTCATTAAAACCATCTGGTTATTAAGCCCATTTTTTAAAATACCAGAAATTTTGTTTTTCATAATCATTGGTGACAATAATTATGATCCACAATTAAGACCACAGTTTCAGTCCCAGTTTTATATTGTTCCCCACTATTGTCACCACTGGAGCATTCACCTCTGGTAACATGATCCACAATTAAGACCACAGTTTCAGTCCCAGTTTTATATTGTTCCCCACTATTGTCACCACTGGAGCATTCACCTCTGGTAACATGATCCACAATTAAGACCACAGTTTCAGTCCCAGTTTTATATTGTTCCCCACTATTGTCACGACTGGTGCATGCATTCACTAGTAAGACCAGTGCACCACTGTTGCATCATTGGCTGATAGGTTGAGGTTATTGACTTCAAATTATTTGCCCCTCACTGCTGTTGGTTCCAATCCTGTCAGGGAATTTGGATTCTTTCATGTAAGGAAGCTATCCAGCAACCTGATGGAATGTCGTGGTTCTTATAAATCAGATGTCCATGGCACTTGTGCCTGAAATAATACACAGAAGTGCACCTGAGGTCTTCCTCCACCAGTAATGCTGGAAAATTGCTATAATTAAGACCTCTACATACTATGTTTAACAAGTGTGATGTTAAACTTAATTAAAAAAGTTGAAACCACTTAAATCACTGAGTCAGCACCAGTCCTATTAAGACCACAAGGTTGCTGTTACATGTATCTGCATAAATACTCTTGCTTCGGTATGAAAAAGGTGTTAAAATAGAGAAAAAGCAGAATCCATAAAGGGGTTGAATAACTTAAAACTGTTATGATTGGAATATGACCTTCAAATTTTGAATGTTATAATACATATTGTTTGAACAATGTTCACACAAAATAACCAAAATAGACTGTGGTCATAAAATACAGATGCCTTGAAAATAATAGATAACTACTAATGTGACCTCCCACAGCAATTAAGACCACCTTGTTGCAGTAATGTTGGTGGACTTAATAGAGGGGTTTTACAGTTTTTACATATTTTTACTATGTCAACTAGCACATATTTAATTATAACAAAGGAAATTGATTTGACTACACGTTTTAAGTACAACATTATATACATGTATTGTAGTTTTGATTAAATTAATTGATGATCAAAGAAAACATGCTGTTTAATTTAATTTGCAGTCTTTATGCAGGGTTCAGTTACTTTCTACATGAAATAGTTAATACCATGTAACTATATCAATAGTATTTCATAGACTTTCAATTAATAACTAATAAAATCTTCAATAATTTCAGGATATGCAAGTTATAGGATGATTAGTTCAGAAGATGGGAACTCTGGCTAACTTTCTTGTTGCATTGTTTTTTGTCAACTTATTTATAATACATATAGGTAAGTAATTTTTTAATAGATAAGAATCATTTTACATGCATTGTCAATTATAACATTGTTTTGTTAGAGATAAGGTGCTTAGTTTTGTGATAATTAAGAAGGCAATATGCCCATTAAAATTAAATAACTTTATAAATATTAGCTTATTATAATTAAATCATGCAAATGATAACATGTGGAAATAAATGATAGAATCATTTTAAATTGTATATTTTATATTTAGATCTCCAAAGTGAAATAGTCACACCAATTTCTTCTATTTTTAGTTGTTTATAATTGAGACCATTTGTTAGAAACTTAGAACCATTATTAATTTTATCTGTGTGTTTTTTTATATATCATATATTTATGTTTCAATGTAAATAGTCTAACTTCAATTCGTATTTATAACATCCCTGATTGTAAAACGCATTTCCTGTCATGTTTTATCTGAAAAAATATCCTGTGATACAAATGTATGTGAGAGACATCTCTTTAATATCTTGTTTTGATGTCATTTTCATTTAAAGTTTAGATATATGGGTTTTAAGGCTAAGTAATATGGCCCATGTGATTTGTAAAATGAGCTTTAATTTACAGAATTTAGATTGTAAGTTTTAGAACAGTATGTATAACTATGATGTATTTATAGGTTCTGTACAATATGGGAACATATTTGAACAAGTAAATAGCTGGAGAAATCATATTGGACTAGCTACATACCGACTGTAACATGATTTATAAAGCTGTGTACATGTGGATACTTTTGTTGTTAATGACTTCTAATCACTGATGTTAAATTATTTGAAAAGGCCAAAGGCACTGAAATAAAATGCTACAGCATCCAATATGGGAAAATATTGGATTGTCACATGGTATATTTAAAAAGCAATGATTGGATGTTAATATAGATTACATTGTAATATGTTTTATTTCAGACTGTAATTGTGACTGTATAGGATTCAAGTCTGACTGTGTAAATGAAAATTGTACATGCCCAAAAAATTACAGCTTTCATGGAAATGGCAGAGATTGTCAACAAGGTAAATTCCTTGAATATTTTTGTATTGTATATATAAACAATTTTTTAAGCAACATATGTGAGAAGGTTATATTGGAGGGTGAGAATGTGATGAAACAAAAATGTCCTTGAGAGATTCTAATGTATACTGTAAAACATAATGGTATGCTGTAGTCATAATGTTAAATATTTGATGATAAATGATGTGAATAAACATTGTTTAATAAAATAGTTAGTAAAATAAAAAATACTTTAAGAAATATAATTTGCACTAAATTACTTTCTTTACAAAATTAACTGAAATCTTTCCATCTGTTTTAACTTGTTGCTAAAGTAAATCATAATTGTTTTGGTCAATTTGTCTGGAATTTATTGTTGAATAATGAGAGTCTCTTGCACTATTTGCACAGACCTTCTCTTTGTTACCACATGTATGTACCTGCTTAAAGTCAGTCCCAAAGACATGTACTTCAAAATATTTGCCAGAATTCAAACCAACACAGCAAAGTTTGGCATGCGAGGTATGCATCATGTAATAAAACATTATGATAAATTGGTATTTTGTTTATGAAATGTAAAGGTTATTTTATAAATTTTTTCAGACTCTTGTAATATAACAGATTGTTTGGAATGTGAAACAGCCACATTGTGTTTAAAATGTGTACACTATTTAGCGGAGGGAAGAGGTCGATGTTTGACAGAATGTCTTTCTCATACAACATTTGATGACAATGATAATGGACCTATCTGTATACCAGGTAAATGTGTCCCGTAAAATAAACTCAATAATTTCAGCGCACTCTAATAAAAAATCAAGACAGGAAAGCAATATACAATTCGTTATGGAGCAAAAACATTATGTATTGTTTAATATATTAATTCATATTTTATAAAGTCTTCAAATATTGGTAACTTAAAAAAAATCCCTTTAATTTAAATATATTTTTGTACAATATATTAACCTTGATCTTTTACAGATCAGAATATGTTGATCATTGTATATATACATTACTAAAAAGTTAAATTACTATTAAGTATACAAGGGAAACAACTTCAAATAAGTCCGTGTTCAACACTATGATGTCAGTAACCCCACACAGCTGCTTGTTTTGGCTAAAATTCATATATACTTGTTGTATAAAGATTGAAAGTTATGATTTTAACTTTCTGTAAATTCAAAATACTGATGCGGTTCTGTACATTTCTTTTATCTTTTACTTACAATAATTTGCAGGCTAGACATCAATTTTTTTATGTATTATACTGTGTTGTTTATACTTTTAAAATGACAACTTACTGATAAAAAACAGTTAAAGGATTTGAGGAAGTATCCTTTTATATTTGTAAGTCTTTAAAATTTCCATAAAACGATCCAATTATATGAAGATTTAACAATACATGTGTAAATGTCAATACATGCATAAATGTAAGTTTTCTATCCATAGTATAAAGAGTGTCTTTTTAATCAGATATTCAGGGTTGTACAACTATAAAAATGGGTATGTGTTTATTTTTATTACCCTATAAACCATGATAATCTTCTAGTTTTTTTATGTCAACCATTCCAGATATCATATCAGTAAATACATTTTTTTTCAAGAAATTCTACTCCTATATAGATAAGTTCCGTTCTGTCATATAAAGAACCAGTTTGGCTGCTAGGGTTGTTTCATTCTTTCATTTATATAACCAGTTTGGCTGTAAGGGTTTTAGCATTCTTTAATTTTAGGCAGTTCAGCTTCAAAGGTTGTTACATTGTATCATTTTAGGACCAGTTTGGCTGCAATGGTAGCATTAATTAATTTTAGGCACTTCAGCTTCAAGGCTAGTTACATTCATAATCATTTTAGGAGCAGTTGGACTCCTAGAGTTGTTGCCTCCTTTCATATAAGGAAGTATACTGGCTATATTATGATAGTTTTGTGGCTCTTTTCAGATCTTGAGTCTTCTTGAAGGAGTAATGTTGCATGGTCCACATTTGATGTTAGCAATGACAACATGAATTATGATTTAATTAACTCACAGTTTGCACTGGCACCCTGATTATTATGCCCAATATGGGAGACTGCCTGTTTGACATAAACATGTATATTTTTTTAAGATTGGCCTAGGATATGATTTTTTGGTGGAGCTAAGAATCATGAGGGTTATAATGAGGTCATAGCTTTATAATGTCCATGGTATAACAGGGTGCCTGTGTATATAGTTTTTTTGATGTGCTTTTTTGTAATATTCAAAGTAAACCACCAGAATCACAATCCTGCACAATACCCGTAATTCCTATGTGATTGTTTGAGAGTTTATATGATTAGAGTGAAATATGTCAATATTGAACAAATAGAATGATACATAATCAGGTCATGATTTAATTAATGAACACTTCACATTCTGAAATTAAATCATTTATGTTTAAGTTATTTATATATATTGAGAGTTTTTATAAACCTTATTTTGTCTGTTTCGAAGTTGATTAGATAACAAGAGCGATCAGTGATCACATGTGTCGCCTCATGATGGCCAATTTCATGTTGGGACAAGTTTTGTGACAGACGGACAGTGCACAACTAGACTTGGTACTGATCATTCCTGTAAAGTTTGGATAAAATTGCACCAGTAGTTTATGAAAAGTAGTCCGGACAAGCTTTTGTGTATCTGGCAACACACAGAAAAAAAAACAACTTTTTATCAAAGGGCCATAACTCGGCCAAAAATCATTCAACCGGAAAACCCGTGCAATATGCGCAAGGACTTGAGCTACAGATCAATCCTGTAAAGTTTCATTGAAATTGCATTAGTGGTATAAGAGAAGTAGTCCGGACAAACTTTAAAAATAAAAATTATTAAAGGGCCATAACTCTGACAAAAATCATTGAACTGGAAAATGCTGACAATATGCACAACTAGACTTAGTACTGATCATTCCTGTAAAGTTTGGATGAAATTGCACCAGTAGTTCATGAGGAGTAGTCCGGACAAGCTTTTGTGTATCTGGCAACACACAGAAAAAAACAACTTTTTATCAAAGGGCCATAACTCGGCCAAAAATCATTCAACCGGAAAACCCGTGCAATATGCGCAAGGACTTGAGCTACAGATCAATCCTGTAAAGTTTCATTGAAATTGCATTAGTGGTATAAGAGAAGTAGTCCGGACAAACTTTAAAAATAAAAATTATTAAAGGGCCATTACTCTGACAAAAATCATTGAACTGGAAAATGCTGACAATATGCACAACTAGACTTAGTACTGATCATTCCTGTAAAGTTTGGATGAGATTGCACCAGTAGTTCATGAGGAGTAGTCCGGACAAGCTTTTGTGTATCTGGCAACACACAGAAAAAAACAACTTTTTATCAAAGGGCCATAACTCGGCCAAAAATCATTCAACCGGAAAACCCTTGCAATATGCGCAAGGACTTGAGCTACAGATCAATCCTGTAAAGTTTCATTGAAATTGCATTAGTGGTATAAGAGAAGTAGTCTGGACAAACTTTAAAAATAAAAATTATTAAAGGGCCATAACTCTGATAAAAATCATTGAACCGGAAAATGCTGACAATATGCACAACTAGACTTGGTACTGATCATTCCTGTAAAGTTTGGATGAAATTGCACCAGTAGTTTATTAGGAGTAGTCCGGACAAGTTTTGTGACGGACGGACAGATGGAGGGACAGACAGCCGGACGGACAGACAGACAGACGGAGAAGTGATCCCTATATGTCGCCACTACTCCGTAGAGGTGACACAAAAATGTATTATATGACATTTTATAATACTGCACATTTGTAATGTCACTTTTCATCGGACAATCGTGATGTTTATATAGTTTTATATACACAGCTGCTGTCAGTTTATGAAGAAATCTTACTTATTCTCTAAAAAAGGAAAGTTTACATTATTATAAATTTGTTATAAATATTTGCAGTATTATAAATTTGTTATAGATATTCCTGACAGGTTATATGGTCATATATATAAATGATTGTTTGCAATATAACCCTCACCTAAACTGTCAAAAATCTTTATAACTGATAATATATACATATTATCATATGGTACAAGTTTCTCTCCTGCTATCTTTTTGCTGGTTTAAGTTTTTTTACCCCATAAAACAAGTATAACAGATATAGGTATGATGTAATGATGTTAATGTGTACTATAATTTCAGATGATGATGATGATGGTTTAAGCACTGATGTGGTTATAGGTATAATAGCTGGGGTGTCAGCTGCCCTGTTACTGTGTATTATTGTACTGATAATTCTATGTATCTACTACAGAAAAACAAGGTTAGTTGTTACAAAACTGTTTGTTGTAGTTTAACTTCATGAATCTGTAAATATATTATTCAAGCATATATTTTAAAATATTTTTGTACATGTATTCTAAAATTTATTTCCTACTTTTAATGTTTGATCATGAAGCAGTTTGTAACAAGTTGAAAATGTAACATAATATTTGTCATTGAAATTCATGTTTTGCCATATACCTTATGCATAAGTAAATTAAACTTTGATTTAATGCTGTCTGTCAAACTAACTTGGTCCTTACAAATACTCTCCCTTAATACCCAAGTCCCATCTAGGTTATCCCATCATATGCATCCCCTTGCCTTCATCAACCATAAATTAGATTCAACTTTTTCAAATATTTGTTTTAATACCATAGACAAACATGTTGAATAGACTTCAGAACAAGTTGCAACCCTGCTTCCTAGTGAAATATTCAAACAAGCATTTGCTTATCTCCCCTAGTTCCAAGCATTTTATTTTTTGTTAATATTTTATCTTGTACAGCACTGAAGTTTAGTACTCTTAATCTTGATTTAGTACTTCATACCCTCCTTATCTGGAAGAAATATATTTCTCCCAGGTTTACTTTAAACTTTCATTTGTGGTGTATGGACCCTGCTCAGGATACTCCTTTGAGGTGTGAAACAGTAGATGTATATTTGTCAGCTTATTGTTTATAACATAATTATACTAATATAAAATCAATTTGTTCCCTATTTGAGATGGATTAAAACTCTAGATGTATAATGTGGGAAAAAACAAATTTATGTCACCATCTACTTCTGTCAGTGCTTGAAGGCAAAGAATTAAACATAATTTATTTACCTGTACTGATTTAATTGTATGAGATTAAAATGGAGATATGTAATTATCTAGTGAAGATAATGTTTATACACCTATAATCATGCACACATTAAAATAATAATCAGACAGTATAATGTAGTTGTAGGTACATATTATGTATAATACTGTTATAAAGTGTAAGGTATAACATTTAGATGCCAGGGGCCTGATCTTGTCATTTACCGTTAAATCTACCAGTTGTTTACAGGCAATGTAGAGGTCACATTAGAGAATTATTTATGAGTTTATATTGATTGGATGATAATTGTTTGACAGATATATTGCTTTATATATTGATGTAAATATAGTTCTTAGCTCATGAAACTTTAATGTGTATTATACATGTACAATGTTAAACAGTGACCATGTTAATTGGACATATTTCTGGTGTATTAACATGGTTACAGTCTGAAATATTTTGTCTTAATTTTTATCTCAGTGCTGATTTAAGTTTAAATTTGAAATTTTAACAATGGATTATTCTGTTCTTCATAATCACGTCTATAATAGTGATTCCGGATAATATACAAGCAACAATTCAAAATGAGAATTCTGAAGAGTTATATCTCTTGACCTTTGAATAAACTGTAAATCATGAATTAACAGATAAATAACATTAGTATTTTATTAATGTCAAAATAAAGACTTTCCAAAATGATTGCTCTTTGAAGTCATCCACACAAAAAAAAGTTTTTGTTGTTGTGATACATTACAGATGAATAAGTATCATAATGTTTATAAATTAGAACATATAATTATCCTGGTAACAAAACATATTATTGTAAAAGAAAGCTGTAATATGACACAATGATGAATTGTTTAAGATGTGTATTGTGTTGCAGAAGGAAAGTAAATCTAAATCGGACAAATTATGCCGTGGGTAACATGCAGGCTGGAAATGTGAAAAAAGTCCCCATGTACGATAATCAGGGCTTTGGTGAGTAGTAACATTATAAAGATGTGGAACTATTTTGTTCTGTAAATTGCAAACATTTACTGTTTACTTTGGTTTATTGATTTACTGAAGTGTTTTATGTAAGGATGAATATTATATATGAAATATGTAGAAAATAGAAACTGCATAACTGCATTAAGTTTGGTTCTTATATATGTAAAATTTAGTAAATTATGTCTGTTTGAGCATTACTGTAATCTGATTATCTTCTAGATAATAAAAAACCTTTATCTAGCTTTTTCGTTCTATCAATTTCTTTCTCTCCGTAATCCATGTTTAAATTAGACAAAGTCAGTAAGTTAATCCTATGTGATTTAAGGATGAAATGTTTGTTTTTTTAATTACACATTGTATTTTATACATTACATCCATCATATATTGTAACTGATGAGTGCACACATATCTTTAAATTTATAAGTGCTACCTTGACACCTGTGTCAGGAAATAAATCATTTAGCTTAGTGAGAGAGATAGATAGCATTATGTACATCACTGGCTGAGTGGTTTAGAACATTGTTACTGTCTGATAAAAACTGGAATGGTTTCTGACTTGCAAATAACTGATTCCCTCATCAGAAAAGATGGTGTGTTATGCTTCAGTACACACTTTTCCTGCATATTTTTTGGCTCATTAATCTAATATTGTTACTTCATAAGCTTATCCCCAGGAGATGCTTTGGAAGTTTAGCGCGGAGGAAGGTAGTCTAGTACTGGTGTAACATTCCAGGAACAATGGTTAGGAAACTACCCGCCAATATGACTGAAATACTGTTGGGAAAAGGCGTAAAATGAAACAAACAAACAAACAAAATCATAAGCTTATAGTCACCTTTTTAGCTCGACTATTCGATAAGAATAAGTAGAGCTATTGTAGTCACCCAAGCGTCGGCGTCGGCGTTGGTGTCCGCGTCGGCGTAACCACATATGTTAAAGTTTTTGTAATAGTTCAAATATTTTCAAAGTCCATTGACATATGGCTTTGAAACTTGGCACACTTGTTCACCATCATGACCCCGACCTGTAAACAGGAGGAGGTAACTGTATCAAGCATTTTGACAGAATTATGCCCCTTTTTCGACTTAGAATTTACGTTAAAGTTTTTGTAATATTTCAAATATTTTCAAAGTCCATTGACATATGGCTTTGAAACTTTGCACACTTGTTCACCATCATGACCCCAACCTGTAGACAGGAGGAGGTAACTGTATCAAGAATTTTGACAGAATTATGCCCCTTTTTCGACTTAGAATTTACGTTAAAGTTTTTGTAATAGTTCAAATATTTTCAAAGTCCATTGACATATGGCTTTGAAACTTTGCACACTTGTTCACCATCATGACCCCGACCTGTAAACAGGAGGAGGTAACTGTATCAAGCATTTTGACAGAATTATGGCCCTTTTTCGACTTAGAATTTACGTTAAAGTTTTTGTAATAGTTCAAATATTTTCAAAGTCCATTGACATATGGCTTTGAAACTTTGCACACTTGTTCACCATCATTACCCCAACCTGTAAACAGGAGGAGGTAATTGTATCAAGCATTTTTTTTTACTATCAAGCACTAAGAATAGTCGAGCGTTGCTGTCCTACCGACAGCTCTTGTTTTTCATCCAAGCCAAGGCAAGATTTTTCTGATGCATTTCTCATGAAATAAAAGATTGTGTAAGAATATTTTCTCTATGATACATGATCAGATATTTTGATACATTAAACAGATGTTGACAATGAAGCATCTCTGGTACACAATGTGATAGATAGAGATGTTTACTTGCGGGAGTTAGAAAGGTTACGACCTCATGCTCAAACTTTACTTACTATGCTCAATGAAATACGCCACAAACTCAGAGCAATGGATAACTCAGATCCCAGAGTTTCTACATATAAGTAAGTAAAGAAAATATTTTATGGATTTTGAGTAAATTATGCTTTCATAGAACTTTTATTATTGATTTTATTGTGTTTGTCTGGCTACAGACAGTTATAATTTGACCATATTTATCTTAATTGTTTAAGCTATAGATGTGGTACTTGCTGCATACCTCTGTAGGAAAGTTAAATTTTTACCTTGACTTTTATATTTATATAAAAGAGAGAGCTATCCTACTCACACGGGCGTTGGTGAAAGCCTTCTGCATCACACTTTAGTTTTTTGCACCACCCCATTTATTCCTTTGTGTACCTGTAAGTCACCATCATTGCTACTTTTAGACAAGTGAACATAACTCTGTCAAGTGTAATGAAAAGATTATACCCCTTTTCTACTCTCTAGTTAAGTTTTTTGTACCACTCCACTCATTTCCTATACCCTTTGAGGTGTTGCTTTGAAACTCTGTATATTTATTAGTGACCATCATCCCCCACTTCCAGGCAAGTACTTACAGACAGCTCCTATTTTATTATACAATTATTGGGTAGTGAGCCATTGAATGTGATTTTAACCGAGACAATAGCCAGGGTCAGTATGACCTTTTACCAGTGAATATAAATAACATCATATTCAATGGATCATTAGTCAATAATTGTTTTATTATATTATCAGCATAATATTTTAAAAAATCAGAAGTATAGCTAATATGGATAAACAAAACAGAAGCTTTGGTGTTTTCATTTAATTAAGAGAGGAAAAAAGATGTATGTAAAAAGATGACATCAGACATTCAGTGGCTACTCGAAAGCCACACAAACAAAAGTATCTTTTGTTGAGACAAAATATTATATGTTAAACAAATAAAAGCTGTATCCCATGAAAAACTGTATATATTACAATGTGATACAAAGAACTTGTGGTATATGATGAATAACTTTTATAAGTGAAGTGGCGATTTGATGTATTCCAATTTATTTATATATGCATTTTGAAATATTTTATTTATGTTAACTTTATTTTTAACCAGAGGTGTAATACATCAACTGTGTAGGGTTCTGGTATTGGTACATAAGAAGGACCCTGGGGCTAGTATACCGTCAGATGCCTTAGGGCTGATGGAGTGGGCACATCAGATGATAGAAGATAAACAGTTAGATGTTGAACCTGTAAGTTATACTTCAGTTACCCTTTATCTGCATTTTTTGAGCCACGTCATGACAAAACCAACATAATGGGTTTGCGACCAGCATGGATCCAGACCAGCCTGCGCATCCGCGCAGTCTGATCAGGATCCATCCTGTTTGCTTACCAAGTCTTTTACAAGTAGAGAAACTGATAGCGAACAGCATGGATCCTGATCAGACTGCGCGGATGTGCAGGCTGGTCTGGATCCATGCTGGTCGCAAACCCATTATGTTGGTTTTGTCGTGACGCGGCTCATTTGTTCAATTGATTGTCACTGCTTTAAATTTGCAACAGTTTTAATGATTTCAGTACAATAAACTTTATATTAAGCAGCTGTTAGTACAAAATTGGGCCAACTCAATGTTTTGTTTGATGTGCCTGACAGACTAAAATTAATGTTTGTTCTATACTGATTGAAAATCTTTAATTCACATAGAGAAAATTAATGGTTGGCGGTACAAGTCAACCCGGCCCCAAGTCAACCCGGCCCCAAGTCAGCCCGGCCCCAAATTGGTCAACCCGGCCCCAAATAATATTATTTCTGGTCAACCCGGCCCCATTTTTTTTTATTATTTATTTTGCTTTAAAATATAAACACTTATCAAGAAATAAAATAAAAATTAACAACAAAAACAACAACAAAAGTTTAACGGTGATATCTTTTATTATTTATTTTATATAAAAACTAGCAATATTAACAAACAAGCAACACATGCATAGTTTATTGTTTTTACCGTCGCGAAAATAAGTTGACGTCTGTCTTCAACATTAACCTTTCTACGATAGAAGTATTAAGAAAAAACTAATGACAAAAGCACACTAAAATGTTTCCATTAACAGTTTTTAAGTAAGATTGATTATAGAGATGCTACCATCTATCACAGGAATCGCAGGTCTCTGCCTCCTGTCTGTCACGCACAATATATCCACTATGTCACGCACAATATATCCACAATCAATACAGTTATCAGTCATAATGACATAAAGTGATTAAACACAAAACACTTTCAATTTTTCAAACATTTAGTAATATTCCAATACTTTTTTACACAGTAAATATGCTTTGAAAATAAGTTAATGAAAAACGAAACAAATATTAATTATATTCAATAAAAACATTCAAATGAAATTTACCGACACTTTTATGCCAGTTCATGTTTTTTACTATTGTTCTATAGTTAATAATCTTCAATTAATAATATATCATTTTTATTCCATCATACAACAAAATGACCTGAATAGTTTGCTTTGAAAATATATATTTTAGGGCCGGAATGACCGATTTTGGGGCCGCACTGACCAATTTTTGGGCCGCATTGACCAAATAAAAATATTGTGGGGCCGGATTGACCAATTTCGGGACCGGGTTGACCAATTTTGAGGCCGGGTTGACTTGGGGCCGGATCAACTTGGGGCCGGGTTGACTGTAATTCATCGTTGGCGAAATTTTCTGATTTATTTTATAGTTAACATGTTAATTTGTTTACATTTCAGGCAGAGGATTCCTTGGAGACTAATCCAGTAAACAGAATTTCTTACATTGACGTCCCACCGAAATCCTATAGCAATCCTTACGCCACCCCTGTTATAAAGAAACCCAATCCCTATGCTACCCTCAATAAGCGCAACTCACAGCTTAATATGTCTAATTTATCAAACACAAGCTATTATAGTAGCGTTCCAGTCCCTGTTGATATGGACAACTCCAACAACTCGCAACCCAATCATGTATCTGTATCTCAGAATAACACGCTCAAATCAACGTCAAAAGAAAACTTAAAACGACAGTATGAAATACCATGGGATTTAAAGAAAGTTAGTGATAGCTATTCAACTTTGAATTGTTCTGGATCAGATTTGACGATGGGATATTTTGCTAATGGGAGATTTTATGATCCGACTCCACGTCAGCAGAGTGTGAAGAAGGGAAGTCAGCCAGAGATTTACGCTCCAGTTTGTTCTTACAGTGATAGAAGTAATCCGCCAGTGTTCTCAACATTTGCAGGTGGTGTCCCTCGTAATCAATCCTTTTCCTCTCAAGCCTCATCCTCCTCCAAGTATGTATTGCTTTATATATCATATATATATTTATACACTATCTTACATGAAGTGCCATATATATTATAAGGGATATTCAAGTTTTTTTCTATAATTATAGGATTTATTTTCATTGAGTTGTGTGAAAATAGATATTTCATGGGTGGCGGAAGCCACGAGTGTAATATAATAATTTTCATAACACAAGTTGAAAATATATCCTGTAATATTTAAAGAAAAAACTTGAATTTTCTGTTTATTATACATTCTATAGAGACATTGTTCTCTTTTTTGACATTAAAATTCTTGGCTGAATCTAGAAGAAAGAAGTCCGCTTTACACCAGTGAAAATATGGAAAATATGTTACACTGCAGTGAAAAATATATATTTTATGGTGGAAATACAGAAAATGAAAATACGCATTATTTCATCAATATTTTATTTATAAGTATAAAATAAATTTTTTGTCTGAGACAAGTGAAATTTAATATGACAATGAATGAGTGATTCACATCACAAAATGTATTGAAATTATTGAAAACAAACTTGTATTCATGTTTTGTATGTCCTGGTTGCCAGTGTTATGTTACACATGTTTAATATGAAGAAATTTGGAACTGTTATATTACACGGAAAACTGGCGACATATGATTATGTGATAAATAATGTATGAAAGCTAAAACTAAGTCTTATATCAGCTTTATTTCTCCAGATCATAAAGTAATTGTAGTCTAAAGTGGTGATATGAAAATGATATGGATGAGCTGATTATAATCATACTTTATTCATATTTTGAAGTTACCATAACTGTTATAATTATGTCTCTGATGCTTTTAAGAGCCTGGGTGTGAAATGTGTAAGTTTAATTCCAGGATAAGACTCATCTTTATGTGACATATAGGGTAATGACTTTATGTCTATTTCCATTAACTGATCTATATGGGAAAAATTGGAAACTAACTGCTGAAATAGAGATAGTTAAATATTGATATAGTAACCAGGAAATTACTGCCTATATGACGAATACTGTATTAATTTTGCTAATAAAAAAAAGAGTAAAGCCTCAACTTGGTTTAATAATTTGAATGTTGGTTAGAAATATTCCTAATCAAAACACTGAGTTTTCTTATGTCTAGTAAGGTCACTTAGTCAAGTCAAAATATGATCGTATAACCCTAGTCTTGGTCACAGATTTGGCCGAATCTGATACTGAATTTTGATTGAAGATGTGCCTTAATAATTATATATATATATATATGTGTTTAAGAAATTTAAAATTGATGAACTTTGAAAACTATTTATATATTTAATACATCAACTTATTTAATATTATCTTATTTTGAACCAGAAACCACTTGTTAGGGACCAAGGGCAATATATTGGGAGGCAGCTTTTGTAAATCCAAAATGCTGTCACTTCACTAGTATTTTATTTATAACTACGTTGCAGAAAGTGTAAAAACAGAAGTTAAAGTATTTACTTATATGGTATGTCATATATGGAACAGCATGAAAAACTATCAGTTTGAAGGCATTATATTATATTTACAGACCTTTGTTGATTAACCTTCTATATACATAACCATTGTATGAAACACTCAATATATATAGAAGACTGTTTGCATGCAGTGATGGTACATTAATTCATATGGAATATAACTTTATCCTGAAGGCTGTACTCTACCTTTTTATATTCTTATATTATACAAGAAAGAAAAACTACCTTTTCTTTTTCTGCCTGTAACTTTCCCCTTAAGAAATAAAAGGAGTTATAAGGTGTTATTTTATAAATAATTACTAACCTTCATTTGTTCCTAACACTCAAAAGTGAACTTTTGGGAACATCCAATGTTCATACTTTGTTGTTATTAGTACTCCACTATCCTGAATTTCTTAAACAATTTTATATTATTATAAACCTGGTCAAAAATTGCTTAATTGACAATCAGTGTCTCCTTTCTCACATACTCAGGTATTTAAAATAAGCCCTCAAGGGCTCTTGTTGTTGTTATCAAGAGATATATATGTCATACATACATGGGTCATATATTTAAATATTTATTAACTGACCACATTTGAAAATTTATTATATTTAGATAACAAACAGCCTTCATGTGTTAAGAAAATAGCATTTTAGGCAATTATATAGGTGTCTTAAAAAATACGTTATAAAAGGCTCAACAATACTCAGATAGGTCAGTCAGGCCAAAATGTATATTATGATCTCAGATGAAGTTACTGGTCAGACTTGAATTTAAATTTAGCCAATCAAATGCTAGACATATTCTTGTGACAGAATTCAGAAAATATTTTAACAAAGCTGATTTTTTTATGCTTATTGAAGGAAGAGCATATAGTTATTACCATGTCTGTCCTTCTGTCCATTTATCTGACCTGAAATACATTCTTAGCTGGCTATGAGAATGGTGGATAACAGAAGATTTGTTTTGATGCTATCTATTTACTTATGGGTAATGAAGCTAAAAAGATTTATGTGGCTATAGAACAAATGCCATTTCGTTCAAGGGACATCACCTTAAACAATATTCTTTCTTGTACAGTATGTTTTTGGGGTTTAAATTTAGGCTAATTAGATTCTAGACAATGCTGCTGCTTATTATTTATCTGAAAATAAATTACCTATGAGTCTAAATTACCCTTGGGTCTATGTTTAGTATTCCAGTAACATTAATGAGCCGCGTCACAACAAAACCAACATAGTGCATTTGCGACCAGCATGGATCCATGCATCCGTGCCGTCTGATATGGATCCATGCTGTTCGTTACCAACCCTATTACAAGAAGAGAAACTGATAGCAAACAGCATGGATCCTGATCAGACTGCGCGGAGGAGCAGGCTGGTCTGGATCCATGCTGGTCGCAAAGGCACTATGTTGGTTTTGTCATGACGCGGCTCATATTATTTTTGAAATTTTCAGTACTAGTGCACATGGAGAGGAGGAGGATGAAGAAGCTGTTGACAATAATATACAAGATGGTGATGGATTCCCATTTCATATCACTGATGCAACAGAACCTGTAGAAGTCTAGTTATACCAGAATCATATTTCTATATACACAATTCCATTATAACAGCATTTATATATAACACATGGTCTAGGTTCTTTTATGTGGATATGTACTATTTGTACACATGTAGTTTCAAGAATTTTCAGTTGATTAAATGAGAATTGGGAATGGATACTAGACAGAAAGTACAAGGGTTTTCTCATGATGATTATGATTATCTTATATAAAGAAGCATATTTATCACATTTATTATTGCTTTTGTGACTTAGTTTATACGGTATTACACAGTTTTGATGTGACATCTTTTGTGTTATACAAACATAGCGTAAAGATGCACTAAATGTTAGCCTTATACTATAAGCTCATCAGTGAAAAAGTGATTTTTTTTCTGTAAACAGGTTTTATCTTGGATATGTGATAAACAGAATATCATATTCATGTAACTTCATTATAAGATTGATGAACTCATTGAATAATATAATATTATGCTTGTACAATGTGGTGTTAAAAAAATCAGTATTGAAACTACAGAACTGTACACTCATTCAATATTTTCTATGTATTAGTCATGTGAAAATTCCTCGGGGAGGGGGGTATACAGTATACAGTTTTATGCTGTGTTTATTATATTAAGATGGATTTCTGGAGCTTAATCACTTCATTGAATCAATTATATCCATTACAATATTTCTCAATAAAAAACAACAAGTTTAAATTCCATTTAAAGCGTTTTGTTAAATTTTATTTTTAGGTTTCATATTAGCTATATAAGAGAATCAGTGCAAGGTTTTATCTCACCTCATGTTTTTAATTATCCTGATCCTATATTGTCGAGCTTTTAATTCTAGGTGCTATGTTACAGTGCATTTTGTAGAATTTAATGTCATTTTACATCAATTCCTCAGGAAACCAGTGTTTTGGAAGTAGAAATTTCTTAAATTCTATTCACCAATGATGGTTTATCAGTATTTTACTTATTATTTACTTTCAAAACTTAATTTTCATCAGCATTTTATTTTTTGCATTTTAATTCAAGTGTTTGTCAAGACTTTCCTTTTCTTGAAGTCACATAGTTTTAAAAAATTAAGGTATACTTGTATAATTGATAGAGCAAGTGTTTAGATTGTTTATTTCAGTTTATGTTGGGTTTTTTTTTTGCAGTGGCTTTTGTGTGACATAGAGTAGTTGGTTTTTATTTGTTTGGGTCGTCAGACCAAACAAATAATGGTAGCTAAATTTCAGAGTCTAATGCTGTTAATTGCAAATGCCGAAAGTAGTCCACTTTTTTGAAGCGGTTACTTCCCTTTATATGTACACTAACGCCGAAAAATTCAGGGGAGATCACTGCGTAAAGATGGTCAAAGACAGGCACATTAATTTTCAAGCAAAATAATTCCCAAATGGTCGAAGATTTCTAATATTGTTTTATTGTATTTTCTGATCGAAAATAAGTAAATACAAAGCGGACATTCAATCTCTGATACAGAAGTTTACGACAAACCTAACAACAAGTAGTTCTCAAAACAGCTTTAAACTAGCGATTTAAAAGAAAGAAATATTTTTATTTTGTTACAAGTATCCAACAAATTACAACGCATTCAAAGTTTAAAAATAGCGTTGGCTTATAGAATTGTCAATAAATGCACAATCACAAATTACGCGGATAAATATGATTTTATCAATGAAAATACTATTTTTAGGGATGTCAATTACCGAATACTACACAAACCAAGTAGTGGAATATATAGATTCTACATGTCGGACTGTTTGAGCGAGAAGATTATTGCTAAATTATTAACTTCAATTTTAAACAACAGGTTTATCCTGAACAAAATACCTCGAAATTAATAAGGATTACAAACCCGAAATGCAATGGAAGTTCTAAATTTAGAATGACTTGATGTTATTCAGACATTGTTTGTATAACTTCTCCGTGGTACAGGAGTAACGCGCTTGCTTAGTGAATGAGAAGTCTGGAGGTCAAATCCCAGTCGAGGAAACTTTTTTTTTTTAATTCTTTTTTAAGTGTCTTTGTTAAGGAAGTAGCCATGATATGCAAGGATAAAGTGTGGCTGTCGTAAAAAATGAACATAAATGATTTTTTGATCCAACTCTAGTTATGCAGAATTCCGTATGTATCAAACTCTGGTGCCTTGCAAAATGAATTATAATACATAAAAATAAACTTAAACAGGAAAATACATACAGATATACAGTACGATTCAGATTGCAAAGATCAGAAAATACCACAGAACTTGCAGCCCTTTGATTCTTTATAAATATACATGCTTATAGTAAGCTCCAGGATTATTTACATCTGTGATAAACAACAGTTTAAGTCGTTACAAGCCATAATTTAGATCGAATAATATGGTTTTCTTAAGGCCGTTCTCATATAAATTCACCATGGCTGAAGGGTTGTCGCGCGCGCTTAGGAAGCGAGAGGTCTGGAGTTCAAATCCCAGTAAAGGCAACTCATTTTTTTTTTCAAATTGTATAAGTCAAATAAACATTGGATTGAATATCAGTGTTGCAATTAGTCTTATAGCCAATTTACTACAATTAAAACGCTGGAAAGCATTGGTGGCACTATACATATAATCTCACAACCGGTACCTTTCTTACATTCTGAGACCCAAACAAATTCAGCGCCTTCTGTGCTTTGATTATTAGAGAGGACTTAGAATTATTTTATAAACTTGTACTGGATAGTTTTGATGTTTTAAATATTCAAGTTTATCATTGGTTTTTCTACACTTCTGTTTGATTATTATGAATTTGTTTGTTAAAAGCAGTGCTTTTCTCAGTCTCGCATATCTTTATTGATATTTTCTCCATTTTGTGTCAATATAAAAACATAGTTGTAAACTTTAACATTGTCTAGGTTGATCCATGATTGTTATGAAATATGCTGGATGTGCCTTATTTATATCATTCCTATCATTCCTATTTATACGCGGGCTGTTCAAAAAGTTAGTGGAATTTCATCATAATAATGTAAACAGCTAACAAATTCAAGTAATACTTATAATATTATGTAATTTGTAAAATTCAACATGTTTGTAATTTTTTTTAATTATAATGAATTATGTTGATAAATGATAAATTTAAAGTTAATGAGGTAACATTAGTAGACATAAATTGATGCTGACATTTAAGATTCATTTAAGATGCCATCACATCTTAAATATTCTTGATAGGTAGAGAAAGAAACAGTGTGATTTTACAGTAATACAACTTGGTAAAATGATATTTCACGGCAATGACATTGCAACATTATTTTGTCTATGTTTAATTTATGACAGTTTCTTTCTTCTATTTTTTTTGTAAACTGCAGGTATTTCATGGCATGTGCATAATTTATGTATGATGCTGACTTTGACCAGATTTGAAGTAAAATATTTGTAAATAAATAATCTGTGACAAAATTTCTCAATCTTTTGGAACAGCCCTCATGTGTATATATTACCCCTTGACTTGCTGCATTTTACACACACATATCATGTGATGTTATAATAATAATATAAGATTTTATATACATCATATATTTTATATTCTTGTTAAACATTGGGAACAACATAGATTTCATGAAGATATGATGTTGAAATAGTAAGTGCTGCCTTACATGATACAGAGATGGATGGCCTCTCTTTTTATAAACAAAATTTGTCACCTTAATGCAGTAACAGGTTAAGTAAGTAACAACTTTATTTATTTAATGAGGCTAACACATTCAGTTTCCCGATCTTCCATGCGGGCCTCAGTAACTCCTATTAAACTATATAATATAACATATATTTTATTCAACAGAAAATTGAATGCATACAATTTATTGTCATACATTTCAAATATTTAATGTGGTGTAAAGTGTTATTAATTACAGTAAGTTAGGTGAGATGTTTTGTTTACAAGTATAACAAGGTAATGACCTATCTATCAGAATTTGTAAATAACGCAAGTATAATTATGTTACTTTTAAGTTTAAGCTGACAAAATATTCCATGGAAATGCTTAAACATGTTAATCAAAATAGAAAAATATTTGTTAAACATTGAATTATCAACATGTATATTATATAAGGAGTTAACCCGTTACTGCACCAAGGTGATGAAATATAAAACAAACAGGAGCAGGATAAAGTTTGATATTGATGATTGACTGCAAAACTGCAGTTACTTATATGAAATAAAGGACTTACAACAGTTTTGCGTTCAACCCTCCATATATACCTTTAAGTTCATTTGTATCAACATTTATCATGGCTGCTGAAACTGTTTTCTAGAATGTGTATATTGTATGCTATCTGATTGTTATTTAACACGACACTAAACTTACAAGAAAAAACATTGATATACAAGAGTGCTTTTAATTTGTTTGTTGATTGAGTTAGTATTTATTTATTATGTAGATTGACATGTAAGTTTGTTTTATATATGTGATCTTACCCTGATATTTACAGTGTTTTAACCCGGACTGTGCTAAATATCTTAAATGGGCTTGTCCATGTTTCATTCTGGACAAAACCATTTATCATTTTTAGGGGGAAAGTACTGACTGAATAGCGAACAGTGCCATCCATTGATCTGATGGCACAGATGTGCTGGCTGAAATCTTGGTCTGTACTGTTCGCATGGTCCATTACTGCAAGAAGGCTGGCTACTCCTCATATATTTGTTTGTACACAACATGTACATTAGAAAATATTGATTGATTTTTTTACTCATTTTCATTTTATGTTTGTTTTCTTTAAAGACTCAGTGTTGCAGAAACAACAAAATATGGTCATTTAGAAAGGGCAATCATGTGCTTTTATTATAGCCTTTAGAGCATGTTACATGTTTATCACCAGCCACTAAAAAATAAAAAGCTTTAAAGAAGAAGATGCATTACTTTGGCAAAACGGATCTTTAACATAACTTAAAAGTAAAATTTACGATAATATAAAATATTTTTCTTTGTGCCATTGTGTTGATTTGATAAAATTTATTTGTGTATGTTTAGTAAACGGGGAAATATTTATGTCACAAGCTATTTGAATTTCTACTTGCTAATACATGTACCTATCTCTGCTTAATTTGTGTGATGAACATGTTTTAATTTGGAACTCCTTATGCTATTTTTTTATAAGAGGAGTTAAATAATGAACTTCTGAAATTCAGCAGAAAACTATGTTATCATATGTGGTATTACGTTTCACTATAGCTGCAGTGATTTAAATGTGGTTGTTTTTATGTGTGCTTATGTAGATCTATCTGTCTCATTTTTAGTTGTTTTAACTGATTTTTTTGTTTGATTTTTTATTAATAATTATGCAGAAGTAAATTGAAGCATTAAAATACTTGTTTATTTTTTTAAGTGTTTGTAGGTTGTAAAAGATAAGATTCTGTAAACTTAGTTCCTTATATTATAAAAAAGTTTATTACAGACATTACTTTTAACTAACATGATATTACAATGACCACCATGTTGATTGCCATGTATATTGGTAAACAGCTGAAACTAGGACAATAAATTAACAAAGTCATCGTCAGATACCCACAGTTGATTTACATATAACATAACATGTAATCAATATAAATAATAAATGTTAATGGTTCTGCCGTAGGTATCTTACGATATAACAAAGTATATTTGCCACGAGGTGTTGTTGGAGATGTATTCAGATGAAGAAACTTTATAAAAGTTGCCAAAATATATTCACAAATAAAGATGACATGTTTTATTCATTAGTGAGTCAGCAACTAAAGTATAATTGTTGCTTAAACTAGATCAACTTCCATGGCTTATAACAAAATCTATTTTATCCTGCTACTGTCTATATCATCAGCTGGATAAAGCCTTGCCGGATAAACTTTTCTTGCATATCAAACAGGATTATCTACCGTTTACACCGGTGCTAGAAAACTCTATCTTACACCCCCCATGTAAGACAAGTCGTGTGCTTTAAGTGACGTCATTGACGCGCGCCTTTTATGAATGAATTGCGTTCTAAGGATGACGTGACTTAACCGTTATGAATGAAGTTGTAAGTTCATACGCTACTATGAGAAAAAAGTGCGTTATGAGAATATCTGTTTTCGTAATTTCTGTTCTGAAAATAATTGATATGTAATATGCAAAAAAAGAAGCAAACACCGGCTGTCGGTGCAGACGGGAATATCTAGCTCTCGGGTAACTGTTTAGCGGAAACTCGGCAGAGCTTTGTTACCGCCATGAACAGTTGCCCTCGAGCTAGATATTCCGGTCTGTACCGGCAGCCAGTGTAAGATTTTTATAATCTATCTCCAGTCATTACGTCATATGATGACGTCACATGGTTAGCAGCAAAACAAAGCTACATATTTAGTAGGAGCAGTAGTCCAGTGGTAAGACGCGCGCTTAGGGATCGAGAGGTCCCGGGTTCGAACCCCACCAGGGGCACTGCTAATTTCCTTGAGCAAGAAATTTACCTGCGATTGCTTCACTTCACCCAGGTGTAAATGGGTACCTGCGAGGGTGGTATAATTCCGTTGCGCCAAAATGTCGGCTGCACTAAGCGGAGTTAAAAGACTCCCCAGGGAGATTGATAGATAGATACCAGTAGCCCGATGACCAGGGGTAATAGCTGTAAAGTCGGTGAACGTGCGTAAGCATGAAACTTAGACTATAAAATGCATTTTTTTTTACTTTTACAATTACTTTACATATAGATGCTATTTTATCGGGGAAAAAGAAGAATGAAACCATTTAATTATTCTAAAACATGATTAAAAGCAGGATAAATCAAATACATGGTTGATGTCGGGATGGAGAAGGTTTATCCTGCTCGCTAAAGCTCGCCAAGATGCACTTTCTTGCTCACCGAATAAACCTTCTCCATCCCAACATCAACCATGTATTTTCTATTTTATTACTATTACATCATTTAAACGATGTAACAATAAATTAAAATAAAAGCTACTTATTTGAAACTGTACACTAAGAAAAGTGATGAATTTTTGCATTTCACTGAATGTATAACTACTATAGTTTTCTAACATGTATAAGAGCACCAGATTATTATGTATATTACATGTAGGTTTTGATGGTTGAATGGTATTATCTCGAGAAATAACAGAAGTGTTTATGTTAACCCCCAATTCTGTTACAGGGCTCTTACCTTAATAGTTTAGAATATACACATGTAGTTATTATTTTTTCTTGACCTTTGGTTTTGTTTGATACCTATTCTAAAATGTTTATAATTTGTTTGCTAGATTTAACAAAATATAGTTTATCTATGAGTGTCTATGATTCATGTATGTTCTAATGTGTGTCTTTAACTTTATCATTTTAATGAAGCTGTACTATAAAATTCTGTGTTCAATTTTTTACTGAAATGTCTTTAAAAAAAAGAAAAAAAAAGTAGATAGATAAAAATTAAAGATGTTGCATTTATTATAAACTCATAAGTAACAGGACCAATAATTATGTTGAGATAATGGTTTCAGTACATGTGTACAATGGCTATGATGGAATCAAATATGTTGTGTGTCAAAGTGAAGCTTACATTATCATTCTATTTTCATTTCATACATATTTTCTTATGTGTATAGCAAATAAAAAGCAGTTCAGCATTGTAAAAACAACATTTTATTGTTTGTGTCTTTTAAACTACTGCATCTTAACATCAAACATAAATAGATTTTAGCATAAAATAAGACAAAGTTTTTAATCAAACATTTTTGATCCTGAACAACGCATAACTTTCACTTACAGTTTCATTATTTTTCATTTTTGGAAATTTGTAGCTATTAATGAAATATATCATGTTCTTGTTTTAATCATACATAATGAAAGATTTTCATATGTGGACATCATCATCAAGGTTTTAGGCTATATTTGATGTATATTTTTTCACCTTTTACTATACATATATATATTTTACCACATCCTAAAAATTGCAATCAAAATCTGGTCTTCTATTTTAGACTCAACTCTTTATAAATAAAGTATCTGTTATAAATGTAACATGTGTTTCTTCTGTCTTTTTGGCTTGCTTGACCCCTGTTTGTGATAGCAAATTTAAACCAAACTTGCAAAAAATTTAATCACCTGTATATCCTGGATGATTTCATATACCGACCTTATCCCAGTTTGTACCAAGTACTTACAGGCAGTCGTACGGAGTGTTTTGAATATCTAGAAAATAGCATTAAAATGGTATTAAGTGATATTCAGCAAACACCTGAATAAAATTAGGTGTATAATGTTACACATCTGGTTGTCCGTCCGTTAATCTAGTAGTTTTTGTATCCGGTCTGTATCTTTTAAAACCGGTGGCAGGAAAATGAAATGTTAACCATAATGAGATTATGTACCGAGTGTATGTTTGACCTTTCTCAGGGGTCACTTAGTTCATATATTTTTGTCTTATGGTGAAATTACAATGCCTAGAAGTTAGAGTTTAGATGTTTGACATGTAGCCTTGCCTTGTTAGCCTCTTCAAAACTGGTACATGTATTAATCATGCTCATTTAGTAAATGTTGGCCCTGCCCCTGGGGTTACTTAGTTGATAGTCTTGTATGAGGAATCACATTACAGTCTTATTTTGTGAAACTACAATGCCAGCCAAGAGCTAAGATATTTAGTTTGTAGCATTACCTTGTGAAGGTCTGCAAAATTTATATTCAAAATATATTCTTGTGCCACGATCACTTAATTATATTAAGTCTTGTTGTGTGAAACTACAAAGCCGAGAGCTTAGATATTTGGCATACAGCATCAATTTGTTCATTTCTACAAGTTACATTAATCATGACTCTAAGGTCAAAATTGGCCCTGCCCCTGGAGTCACTTGCATCATTTAGACCAAGATATAGGTAAACACATATTTTTGTGGATAAATACTATGAAACTTCATTTGGCATACTGTATAGCATTGCATGGTAGCCCTCTATAATTGCTTTATTAACTAGAACTATCGCTGAATGCGATTCATACCCCCACCAATGTCCTTGACAGAAGACGACTTGGAAAGGTGGTTACGGGGATAACTTTAGTGGCACAAATACATATACATAAAAAGAAATTATGTCTGGTGAAGAAAAGACAAATTGTACAGGTAATAGTATAAATATATATTGTCAAATCATGTTCAAAACAGTTACAAATAACCTTTCATTTTCCCAATGTACTAAAACAAACAAAAGCAGTGAAGATATGAAAATAGCATAATTATTAAGAGTGGAAAAACTTAGCATATTGAGCTTACTTGTGACCCTTCATATATTATATAGTTTCAAGTGATTATCTGTTCTAGTTTCCGAAACATTTAAGTATTGATGGTTATATCAGAACATTTTCTAAGCCTAAAAGGGGCATAACTTGTGTCATAATTCAATGGAACTGTAGAATTTTCATCATCTGAGCTTGCTTGTAAACATTCATATAAATTTTAAGTTAAGCCGGCACAAAGGTAACATGGGTTCTGCACATTACCTTGTTGAGGTGAACATTTGAGCCCAGATTGAAGAAAATCTTTCAATTAGTGAAGGACTTACAGAGCAGACATGACATACTGTCTAATATTTGATTGTTTGATATTTGACCTTCAATTGTGACCTTGAGCTGACACATGGGCAACATGGGTTCTGCACATCCCCTTGTTGAGGTGAACATTTGAGCCAAGTTTGAAGAAAATCTTTCAATTGGTATAGGATTTATAGAGAGGACACTATAATGGAGACTGACGTATGGACCGACAGACGTGACAAAGCGAATCCATTATAGCCCCCCCCCCCCCCCATATTTTGTGGTGGGGGTATAATCATGCACTTAGGGTAAAAAATGCATCCACCTTGGAGGTCATATAGTATAAGAATAAACATTTTTCAGACAAGTTTCTTGATTGGGTCTCTACCTTAATTGATTTTTAATTACTCAGACATATTTACATTTGGGCATACCTTTCCCCACTTTTGTATAGCTCTGGTTATTTGACAAAAGTGGGAGTTTTGAAAGGTTTTATACACTAGATGAAAATACATCAGCTTTGTGTAAGAACCTAACCCCATATAAAACCTGATCAAGTGTTCAATAAACCAAATATTCTTTCCTGCAAATAGTTTCTTTGCATTCAGAAAATGATAGCAGTAGCAATTACCTCAGTTGTGAATTTTTATAAAGCTATTCTTTTTATTATCACTTAACAAACTTTCATTATTTTTTATAAATCAGCGGGCAAATTGATTTGGACACTTTCAAAAACAACATGTATACGAGGGTTGTTCAAAAAGTAATAGGACTGCAGTTCTTATGTTAACATTTTTAAATTTAGATGCACAATTTTACAAGATAATAATATCGGAACATATCCTCTATATACAGTGGAAAAATCAATAAAATATGTTTGAAAATAACGAGTCTGTGAAAACTTCAAATGGCAAGGGGTACGCGACCCGGCGCACGCTAACAGCACAATAATTGACGTTTATGACGTCGTAAAATAAAAACAAAATGCAACAAGCGTCATCCCTTCTGAAAGAATTCTCTCTAGTGTTCTATGTGTCTAAATCATGTAAATTTGACAAGACCTCATGTATGTAGATGAAGCGAGAAAGAAAGCGATGACATTCTCGTTTCATTCTCCAAATAAAACAAGAGGGCCATGATGGCCCTGAGGTCGCTCACCTGTATATAGGCCCCCGGAGCTGGGCCAGTTTAAACCCCAGGGCTTTTATTTGAACAGACTCGGAAGAGTCACCCATTAGAAGATGTTTCACAATGTTAAGTTTTTACTACACACATATAATGAAAAACAACGATCTCCCCCCCCCCCCCCCCCCCGGCAGGGCCAATTTTAACCCAAGGGCTTTTATTTGAACAAACTTGGTAGACACACATTTACTGTTTGTGATCTCGTATGTGCAGTTTTTGAATTGCTTGCGCAAGCTAAGAATGGGTATCCTGATAGCCGATTAATTGTACTGTGTTTACTTTATGTTTTCATATGTATCTTAAGGAGTATCGCCAATTTGTTGGCAATGTTTAACGATCACACATATTTTCAGTTTCTTAACTAACGTCAAATTTCTACATTTAACGTTATGACCACTGCTGTTCAAAACTTGATGATTTAGTTATTTCATATCTGAATGACGTCAAATTTGAGCATAATGTCACTTTAATACAATAAATTGTGTTGGTGGAATAAATGGGGAAAAACAAAAATAAATTATTAATAAAATAGAAGTACAACTAAGCTTTAATAACTTTTTTATGTGCTGCCCCGAGTCCGTGTTACCATGGTTATTCAATAACACAGGGAACACGCGTTAAGCACAACAATACAATAATTCTATCCTTAAATTGAAGAAAACATTTTTCGATCGCTGTACATATCAAAATATTCTAAATTGAATTGAATATAAAGAAGCAAGACTCTTAGTCCTATTACTTTTTGAACAACCCTCGTATACACCTGTCATAAATCAGATGGAATACTGATTGGGACAACTTTCATAAATGTTGTTTCATAACATATAATGTTTCCTGAACATTGCAAATTAATCTTATACTAGGAAAAAGCATTAACTTAAAACATGTAAACCCCCTTGGAATACACTTTTCTGTACATTTATGGAATGAATATATCTGGGTAATATGAAGGGTGAAGCAAAACACTGAAACAAAATAGAGGTTTCCTTCTTTTAATATTATAAAAGATTGTACAATTTTAAGATATTGTAATGGTAGCGTGCACTTGTTAACAGAAATTTCAGTTTTTATTAAAACAATGCCTGATTACACAGATATCCAAGCTTCTTTCATGAGTGAGATATTATTGATATCTGGCATTTGAGTTAAAATACACACATTCTCATACTTACTGTCGCCACTTAACTGAAAATCAATTCAATAATAATTATAGACCTGTATATAATGATAAAAGATTATGATACCTTTCAAAATGTTTACTTTTCCTTGCTAGTATATACATATATTTTTCTTGTCAGATTAATCAGCTCCCAATTAAACTCTACACTGTATAACATAATATATCTGAACAATAGTGAGATTGTTTTTCTAGTAGTCTTAAGATAAAATATATAATACATCAGCCATAAATGAGAATTTTGAAATGTAGAAAATTTTCATTGATTTTGTTTAACAATAATTTAGTTTAACCATTAATCACACATGCAAAAAATTATAATAAATTTATGTTGTGCCAGCTCAAAAATAGTGTGAAAAAATAATCAGTGATTGCCATTTTTAATCAAACAAAAAAAATTTACACAATGATCTTTATTAATAACACAAATTTATGATACAATAGTTTAAGATGGCATTTAAATGAGGTTTTAAATGAGGTTTTAATTTCTTTCTGATAAAAATATTAAACTACCTTCGAAAAAAGATGTCAGTTTCAACTTTCTTATTGCCAAAATAATCATTCTAACACTATCTGTTCTTATTTCTGCATAAAAAGTCAAAGGTTGAACGAACATTTGTTATTTTATAATAAAGAAAATTGACTGCAGGAATGTTAACACATGATCGTCATCAGTTAATTAATTTGGTATTTTCTTTCCTACAAAGTTGAGGAGTTAAATAAAACTTTACTGTTTCCATATGACAGATTACTTTCATCAATTTCACTTTTACATGTACATGTAGATGTTTTTCATAATTCAAGTAAACAAATCATTCTGAATATTTATGGATAATAGTTTGATTATTTATTAAAAACATGATAATAATAATGGGGAAATAACATAATCGGACCATAACAACAAAACCAAAGGCTGTAGATCTATTTCAAGAAATTCAATAAGTCAAACAAAACTTTCAATCTTAAAGAAATTATATAAAACTTTTGAACATGATCAAGAGAAATGTTAACATTCATTCTTAATAATTCTTTAACAAACTTTGTGGAGTTTTTTTCTTGTTTTCTCTCAACAGCTAGTTTAACTTAAAACCAGTCTCTTTTGCCTAAGAAATACTAGTCCAAACTGATACCTGCATTACAATACGAAAAAAATGAACGAGACAAAAACTTGCATATATTTGAGTGATGCTAATCTTACAGCAGCGTATCAACTTTTTCATTTCTCTGCTTTAACCAGATTATCTTTACTGTTGTTTTCAAATGTAAAGATGTTTCAACATCATCTTAACCCAGAGATAATTTTATATATGTCACTGAGTAACATATTTCTTGTTCATGTTAGCACTTTCACGGCTATATCATTAATAATGTCCAACAATATGTCTTATATTGTTTACACCAATGACTTCATAAAATTTTTCATGTCATATTCCGACTGATATTGATCATCTTCCCATAGATCACCGAGTCCTTCAAGGATAGATTTCACTGTTTCCTTCTTCTCACTGATTTTACTGTCACTAGGAGCTGAACTCTCCCCTTTCTTCTTGTCTTCTAGTGTGAACAAGTCTAGTAGTTGGTCTGTACCCATTGTATTTAAACTGGCATTATCTTGACTGATTACTGTGTTAGCTATAGTCAGCTTAAACTTCTGAAGCCTGTAAAATAAATCAGATAATATCATGTAGAAGGGGAATAGATATCAATAGGTTTAGTAAATATTTACCAGACAGAATCAAATACACATCATCTTGTTAAATGTTTACTTTGACCTTGACCTCTAATGCAATGGCTCTTGGGTAAAAAAAACTTCTAATTCTATATATAGATTCACAAGAGTAGCATAAATCCATATACTATTCCTCTGAACATTAAGTAAATTCATGACTTAAAAAGCCAAAGACAATGTTCATATATATGTAAAAAGTTAAAGAGATATGCTAACATGTAGTCAGAACGAGTATAATGTCAGTCTAGCAAGTACTTTCTACATATAAGTTTAATGTTTGACAATGTAAGGCAGACAGACATTTAATATTGTAGAATGAACCTAAACAAGGGAAAATATGTCTGCTAGAACTGTTAACAAGAGCTGTCAGAAGGACAGCGCGCTCGACTTTTTTAGTGCTTGCCTATAAAACAAAACTTTGACAGTTAAGGGCACACAAGACTTTAACTAGGAATTTCTAAGTACAAATCAAGAAACATTTTCACAGAGTTATCTTCTCTTGCTTACAGATAGGTCTCATGATGGCACATAAGAACTCCAACTTCCAAAGTAATATCTCAAATGGTTAAGTCAACAAGTGGACAAGAATGAAAATCTTAACTGAGTTTCTAAGTCAAAAAGGGCCATAATTCAAATAAAATCCTTAACAGAATTACCTTCTCCTGCCCATGTTTTGGGACCATGATGGTAAACAAGTATTCCAACTTTCAAATTAATATCTCAAACAGTTCAGTCAAAAAGTGGACTGGTACTAAAAACTTAACCAAGATTCTAAGTCGATAAAAGGCCTTAATTTTTAAAACAAATCCTTGACAGAGTTACCTTCTCTTGCGTACAGATGGGGGTAATGATGTGAAATAGCATTTAAAAGTTTTCAAAGCAATATCTCAAAGGGTTAAGGCAATAAGTGGATTTTACCCAATATTCAATGTATTTCTAAAGTCAAAAAGGGGCATAATTCTGTCAAAAACCTTGACAGAGTTATGTCCTCTTGTCTGTTGATGAAGGTCGTGATGGTAAACAAGTATGGTCAGTTTCAAAGCAATACCTCCAATGGTTTTGAAATAAAGTGAGGTGGTACAAAAAAACTTAACCAAGCTCAATACACTTTCTAAGTCAAAAAAGGGCCATAATTCTGTCAAAAAACCTTGACAGAGTTATGTACTCTTGTCTGTAAGATGGAGGTTATGATGGTGAACAAGTATGGTAAGTTTCAAAGCCATACTTGTAATACTTCTGAAATAAAGTGGGGTGGTACGAAAAACTTAACCAAGGTGTGACGCCAACGCTAACGCCGACGCCGACGCCGACGCCGGGGCGAGTAGGATAGCTCCCCTTTTCATAGAAAAGTCGAGCTAAAAATTATTACCTGGGACATTTCTTAGAATTGCAAATTTTACTGTAACAGACAGATACTCTGATATAACAGTATTATTGGCAATTAAATGTTACTTTTAGTTAGTAGGTTGAGTATACCCATCTAATATGCAGTGAATAAATTTTTATTTACCCCATAATTTTCTCTTCAAGTGTTCCTCTTGTGATAAGTCTATATACATTAACAACTTTCTTTTGCCCAATTCTGTGGGCTCTGTCCATTGCTTGTAAATCTTTCATTGGGTTCCAATCATGCTCTACAAATATCACTGTATCAGCACCAGTCAAGTTGAGTCCCAGTCCACCAACATGTGTTGTTAGCAGAAGAATATCGATGGATGGATCATTGTTGAACCTAACATTAATAAAATATTGTACACTGAATTATAAAATTACAGTATGTAAAATATTAACTTTCTATTACAATAGAGATAGATGACTCAAAATTGAGTTTTATTTAATGACCTTTATTTTTAACTTAAGTCTAAACTAAGGACAATTCTTCAAAAAAAGATTAAAATTGGAAATAGACTTACGTTGCTCTAATGTCAGAACTGACCACTGTATATGTAAGACTGGTGGTATAGTGTTGTATACCAGTGGTAAAGCGGTATAAACCAGTGGTGTAGACTGGTGATAAAGTGGTGTATACCAGTAGTGTAGTGCATTATACTGGTAGTGTTATGGTGTATACCACTGATGATACAGTTGTGTATACCAGTGGTAAAGTGGTGTATACCGATAGTGTAAACCAATGTTAGTGGTGTATACCAGTGGTATAGTGGTGTATACCGATAGTGTAAACCGATGTTAGTGGTGTATACAGGGTGTAAAGTGGTGTATACCGATAGTGTAAACCAATTTAGTGGTGTATACCAGTGGTATAGGTGGTGTATACCGATAGTGTAAACCAATGTTAGGTGTATACCAGTGGTTAAAGTGGGATATTAACCGATAGTGTAAACCGATGTTAGTGGTGTATATACCAGTGGTATAGTGGTGTATACCGATAGTGTAAACCAATGTTAGTGGTGTAAACCAGTGTAAAGTGGTTATACCGATAGTGTAAACCGATGTTAGTGGTGTATACCAGTGGTATATACATGTATAGTGATTAATACCAGCGGTATAGTCGGGTATATATGTAAAGTGGTTTATAATGTTGCTATATTGGTGATACTGGTGGTATAGTGATGTATTCAAGAGAAGTGTTGAATACCATCAGTAGTGGTGTATACCAGAGATATAGTGGTGCATACATGTATTGTGGTGTAAATCAGTGATATAGTGGTGTATAAAGTTGGTATAGTGGTGTATATTAGTGGTATATACAAGTATAGTGATGTATAACAGTGCTATAGTGGTGTATAATGGTGGTAATGTGGCATATACCAGTGGTATAGAAGTGTAGACCTAAAGCTGCGAGCAAACAGAAAAACTATACCTGTTAACAATATCATGCCTGGAACCAGCAGGTACTGTACCATCCAATCTTAGGAATGTCACTGAAGGCATTTGTACTCTAGAATATAAATTATTGACACTTCTTTTACCTTACATGAACAACGGATTATTTCCCTTGTGCAAAGGTGAAAACCATAACAAAAACATATGATATGTAAGCTTTGTTTAATATTAATAAGAAACATGTAAGAAGTTAAGGTGTTGAGTATTAAAACATCAACAAATGTTTCAGGAAGTTTCAAACATATGTTGATACTACCGGGTAGATTAAATTCAGAATTATCTTGTAAAATTATGCGACTTAAAAGCATTTTTAATTTAAAGATTATAAAATAACTTGTTTATGTCTTCTTAAGTTTAACATGTAGACTTTGGTTTTAAAATGTAAGAAGTCAGTATGTCTTTATTTTATATGCATATAGATTTTAGATGAGACTAAAGCTATCACTAAATGTGATTCATACCCCTGCCCACCATCTTGACTTTCTGAAAAATGAGTTGTCTGCAGCCAAATTTGAATTTAACCTGTCTTATGACCATTTAAGATTAAGTATAAAGAATTAATACAATTGACTGTCTCAATTAAGAGAAATCACAGGAAAACAGGTTTTTTTTTATAACAAAATGTTCATTATACACACTGAGATAACTTAAATGAAAATCTTTTTGAGATCAATTTCACAACAAACTCAGGAAAAAAAACAAAACAATAATCAGACATTTAATGTCCTAGGTTATTTTGGTGTTATTATTATATTTTTGTTTATTATTACAAGCACATGTACATACTTGAGCAGATCTTTCTCAACGATGTCAAGCATTCCTTTGAGTTGACAGAACAACAAGACTCGATGTTGATTGACCACTGGGGTGTTTGTACCTGGTTGACCAGCTGATTCTTCTACACCTATACCACAGTCCAGTAACAACTGTCTACAAACATCATGTAGAAATACATTTAAAACAACCTAAATATAAATTAGGAGATAGTTCAAAATAGCTTATATATTAAGTTGGTAAATTATAAAATAAAGACTGTAACTAGCTCAACTTAGTATTCTAACCCTGAACCTCCGGAATTTCTTATTCGTCCAACTTCCAGTTTTGGAATTGTTCAATATTAATTTTGGTGATATCAAGAAATTCAAAATTAGTCACCCAACAGTATTGAGCCTAGTCACACTTTACAGACATACAGGCTTGCCTAGCTCTATACTGGTGACCAAGGCTCATCAATATCAGTTCCAGCATGTTAAAGCTTAATAATGAATATACTTAAAATAATAAAATAATAATAAACAGTCTCAACTCAAAAACAAGACAAGTATCTTACTCAGATTCAGCAAATAAGTAAAGTTTAAATGGAGAAATAAGATTGCTATGAATACTTACTTTAATGCTGTAAGTTTTGGTGCATGTGAGATATCATGAAGGTTAGAACCTTGTGTTTTTAACATGCCCATCACTTCTGTATATTTAGGATGACCAGTGTTTAATACAAGTGCTGGATGATTGCATACTTTACGTAAATACTGTAATGCCTAAAATAATATAACATATACAAACAAACATTACACATGGATGGAAGTTAAAAATATCAGAAAACTTGAAATGCCTATATTCAGAATTATTTCAATTGGTTTCATGTAGAAAAAGAATGCTTTCAAGAGTAGGAAAAAAAAAAACTTCAGGCTAATGCAAGAAAACTTGTACCAATGCATATATCTTTATATGAACTGGCTGACAAATTCATATATATGTAACACCACTCTACCTACCTGGAAGACATGGGTTGATCCTTTCTTTGGCTCCACCACCTTTGTAGAGGTGACACAATCTTCTATACCTTTCTGTGCCTGAGATTTAGAGAAGTCCTCGTACAGCTTCACCTAAAATATATCAACATATTGTATGATTCCAACAAATGATTCAAAATTGTAAATTAGTTACTGTATAAGTGGATATTTCCGGGTGTTTAAAATACCAGACATTTCGCATGAGGAAATATTTAGCAAATCATGCAGGGGAAGAATTTAATGACAGGTTGGTTGATATTTATGCTTAAGGAAATTTTTGCAATTTTCATCAATTCGTGAAATACACCAACATTTCTGCATCACTAACTAACTTATACAGCCTATACAAAGAACATTTATTCATTAAAAGAACCATAGAGGAGGGTTGTTGACTAATACTAATAATTATCAATAATTCATCAGATAATTATTCCAGTTTATAAATGTTCTTGATGAAAGACAAGCTTCAGGTACCAACCATAATATACATTGATTATCTATTAGTCATAGTTCAATAGAAATAAAATGAGCCGCATCACGACAAAACCAACATAATGGGTTTGCAACCAGCATGGATCCAGACCAGTCTGCGCATCCGCGCAGTCTGATCAGGATCCATGCTGTTCGCTATCAGTTTCTCTATTTGTTATAGGGTTTGTAAGCAAACAGCATGGATCCTGATCAGACTGTGCGGATGCGCAGGCTGGTCTGGATCCATGCTTGTCGCAAACCCATTATGTTGGTTTTGTCGTGATGCGGCTCAAATATGGTTTCAATCTATGAATGTGGAAATAAAGACAAGCTATAGACAAAGGAAACAAACCTGTAGTTGACTTAGATCACAATAATAATCCTGTATAATTTTAGGAGGTAGATCTTTCAGAACATCTTCTTTCAGACGTCGTAAAATAAATGGAAGTACCTGCCGATGTAAAGTTTCCATAGCCAGAGCTCCTACAATAAATTATAAACAGTTTATAAGCATATGATCAAAGGGTTTTTATTGAGTATAGGTGGAAAAATTTGGACCTCAATTTTACTTTTATACATCGAGTAAAAGCGATTAATCAAGTTTCAACACAAAGATTTTCACTGTATAATTATATAATATTCTTGTAGTAATGTGAATGTATGGACCGAGATATAGTCAGAATCACTTTATATAGGTATTTTGGACAATACAGTCATATCACCCATTAACTCTTAATACAAAAGCTTCTACTTTCATAAGTAACAAATAAAGTAACTTTTGTCAAAACAGAATATCAACTAATATCATTTCATTCCAAAATGTCTTGATGTATAATACTTTAATAACATCTGGAAGAATAACAATTTACTAACCAGCCTCTTGTTCTTTGGATGAACTTTTTGCCTCTCTGCTAGCAAGGATTGGTTTACCATATCTTGCTTGGAATTGCCTTTCTGTGCCTAGAAAGCCTGGTACCAGAAAGTCAAAGAGAGACCAAAGGTCAAGGACATTATTCTGTATTGGGGTACCAGACAGAATCAATCTATGGTTACAGTTTAACTGCTTTACTGCTTTTGAGATCTGTAATACAAAAAACATGTATGTATATCTATTAAGATTTTCATCACATTTTTTTATTTCATTTATTTTCCTTGATGATCATCTGTTTTATTACATATAATAAATATCAATTGGCAATTTTCAAGATTTACAAACACAAATAACCTCAGGGTGCATCCCCAAACATGACCTGGCAACTGAATATAACCACTAATCTGTAAAGCTTCATCATATGAATAAATTCAAACTTTGACAAAATTTTAACACAACCTTAAAGTGTGAAGATTTAAAGTCACTAACTGTGAACGATTGGTCGCAAAGTATCCAGTACTAATATAGTCAATGAACATCATTAACATTATAAATATATATGTGATAAAGCTAATTAGTCTAATAAATCTTTATAGATACTTAATATAATTATTAATGAATCAATAATAACTAACCTTTGTTTTACCATTTTTTATGATGTGACCTTCATCTAGAACACAATAATTCCAACTGAAAGAGCTGTAAAATAGGAAAAAAATTTCTATGTATTAGCTAATACATTTATATGAGTGTAGGACAAAAGCCCTCCCGGACAAAAGCCCTCCCGTCCAAAATTGACAAGGCAGACAAAAGTCCTCCCCTGAAAATGACACGGCGGACAAAAGCCCTCCCATAAAAATGACAGGGCGGACAGAAGCCCTCCCGTGAAAATAACAGGGCGGACAAAAGCCCTCCCTCAGCAAATACATATAAGTACATTGAATAGTTTGTATTTTCAATTCAATGCACTAAACATATTAAAATTGTAATCATGAATATTTTTGTTTTCCATTGTTTTCCATTTGCATAAGAGAGTTTGTATGAGCTTGAGTACTTATCTGACTGACATCCGAATAATAAGTACAAAAATCTGTAAGTGCATATTTATTCACGTAAAAATGAATGATTACTCACATGTGAAATTATGATTAATAGAGTAATTAATGATGAAAAGAAGTTAAAATTAACTAATATTAAAAGTCCAAGTGCCTTGTAATGAGTCATTTACTTTAGAAAGTGACTTTGTTTTAAACGACATTTGTGTGAAAATATAACCTCGTTAAACATTTCTGAAAGGTATATTCTGAATGAAAGCTGGTTCTAGCTCATAAAAATACTTAGACCAATAGAAAACAACAACAAATATATATGTTACAAATTTAATATCTTAAGTGCATTGAAAAAAAAACACAGGTATGTAACATACATATATATTTTGTTACAGGAGGGCTATTGTCTGCCTTGTTAATTTCACGGGAGGGCTTTTGTCCGCCCTGTCAATTTCACGGGAGGGCTTTTGTCCGCCTTGTCATTTTCATGGGAGGTCTTTTGTCCGCCTTGTCAGTTTTGTCTGGGAGGGCTTTTGTCAGTTTCCCCATTTATATACATACATGTATGTTTAGTGACATGAAATATCTATAAAAATAGCAAAATACCTTCTTAAAATCATTGAATGAGTTGTTGTCTCTACTATGTATAAATAACAGTGAGAAATTTCATCACCAGGTTCATTAAATGAACAAATTAGAACAATAAGTCACAACCATCAAGTCTTCATATTATGATGAGAATCATGCGATTTCTGTAACATTAAAAGACAGATTATTTGAAGTAGGCTGTTTACATATGGTATGTATTTGTTAGTGGAATTTAGTAAGTAATGCCAGCTATATTTGTGTTCATCACAACTTCCATCCACACCACTACTGATATATCATAAAATCTAACATTCACACTACTGATATATCATCACAACTTACATCCACACCACCGATATATCCTCACAACTTACATCCACACCACTGATATATCATCACAACTTACATCCACACCACTGATATATCCTCAAAACTAATATCCAGACCACCGATATATCATCACACTTTACATCCACACCACTGATATATCATCACAACTTACATCCACACCACTGATATATCATCACAACTTACATCCACACCACTGATATATCCTCACAACTTACATCCACACCATCGATATATCATCACAACTTACATCCACACCACTGATATATCATCACAACTTACATCCACATCACTGATATATCCTCACAACTAACATCCACACCACTGATATATCATCACAACTTACATCCACACCACTGATATATCATCACAACTAACATCCACACCACCGATATATCATCACAACTAACATCCACACCACTGATATATCATCACAACTAACATCCACACCACTTACATATCATGACGACTAATGCCATTTCACTACACATACAAGATTAAAGAAAGGAAGTTACCTAAAGAATTCAATATCATTGCGTACCACATCATAGGAAGCAACAATCATGTTGTACTTCTTTGCTTTTTTCTGTAACCTGCAAAATTAAGCTATATAATTACAAGGCACCTGTTTCTGATAGACAAAACATGTAGAAATATTAAAGATGAGCTTTTCTGATTTGTTGTGTTACTAGAGTTGATAACATTATGTAAAGTTGTATTGCTGGAATGAAATCTTAAAAATTCATTAATTTTGCTACAATGCAACTTGAAAATAATTGACATTTTTGACTTGCTTACATATCTATTCTGTATGAATTTTGTGATTAAACAAGAGCTGTCACCCAAGTGAAGAATGGACGAAGTTCAGGATAACTATACACAAGTTTAGGATAACAGTATACAAGTTCAGGATAACTGTACACAAGTTCAGGATAACTGTACACAAGTTCAGGATAACTATACACAGGTTCAGGATAACAGTACACAAGTTCAAGATAAATACACAAGTTCAGGATAACTGTACACAAGTTCAGGATAACAGTACACAAATTCAGGATAACTGTACACAAGTTCAGGAAAACTATACTGGCAAGATAACATTGCTATAAACATTCATAAAACACAAATATAAAACTTACTTGAGCCTTTCCACGGGAGGTCCAGCATACATGAGTGGATTGAGGTACTCTTTGTCTATAAATTTATTCACCTCATATACCCAATGACCTATCAATGTTGGTGGGCATACGACAATCGATGGCAAAGGTTTGCAGTCAGGATTTTCAGATTCCTGTATTAAACAAACATCATACAAATCTAGGAGTAATACTTGATTGAATATAGAAAATTTCCATCATTTGCTACAATGTCTTTTTGGCATATGAAAAATTGACATTTCTAAACCAAAGTAAGCTCAAGTGTAAGAAGGGTTTGGTTTATACAGAATTTATTTTATTTGATTGTGCAGGAAGCTTTAAGCTCAAAGACACACTTTTGAATCTGTTCCCGGAACCAACCAGTACTGAGCAATGAGTGTAAAATTTCTTGCTCACAGAAACAATGAATTGCCCCTGACAGGGTTTGAACTTATGCAGCTAGCTATCATTAGATTTCTAGTCTGATGCGTTAACCACTCAGCCATGCTGCTACTGTTTATGAACTTATATGAAAAATCTATTTTATAACCAAACCAGAAATATTTATGTATTATAAAGATAAATTTTCAATGTGAGATAAAGAAGAATACTGTGTGTTTTATATACCTTATATTTCTGTTCTCTTCTATAATGATCTGTGGCAATTATACAGATAGATTGTAAAGTTTTCCCTAGTCCCATATCATCACATAATATACCATGTAACTTGTACTTGTTCAGAAATCCAAGCCAGTTTACACCATCCTATAAGCAATTTGTTTTGTATAATAAAAAAATAAAATCAGTCTAAAAGGCAGTGTGCTTGACTATTATAAGTACTTCATAGTGGAGTAAGAAAAAGTAAACAAAAGTAAATCTCAGAACTGAAACTTGTAAATAGCATGTTCAAGAACACATCTTTTTTTCCACTTTGCTAACAGTACAAGCTTTATCATCTTTTATAACAACCATGAAAGTCCCTGTACCTAAAATATTATATGCTCCTATATATTTATAAACTTGTTGCTCAGATGAAAAATAACACAATATTACAAGTTACTGAAAGCAAGTCAAATCCAGATATTGTAAAATCTATATATACAATTTCTGCAAAAAAGGGACGAAAATTGGAAACAAATAAAAGAAAAACAACTGACACAGAAAAATAACATTTTTTGCATGTTTATATTCATACATATTTATGTAACATATTAACTGAGTAAGTTACATCCTTACATACAGATACACTAGCTTTATACACCAACCTGTTGATATTTTCTCAGCTCAGCTTTAATGGGCACATCAACTTTGTAGTTTTCTATTTTAGTTCCATCAAGAAGCTGCTCTAGGAAAGCTCTTTCTTTGACTTTTCTCTCAACTAGACTGGACTTCATATCTGGAGGGTTAGTAACACCAGACTGGAACAGTAAACAATGTGCATGTACAATAATAAAACATAATTTACTATGACAATACATGGGTATTTTTTGTTTTCTTTTTATTTATAGATAACAAATATTTTAGCAAAGAGGTATACAGAGCCATACATACAGTTAATAAAACAGTGAGTGACAAAAATTATCAAAACTAAACTATAAACACAGACTCCAAGACTTACCAGAAACTTTTTAAATCATGAATCTAATCTGGTATACATATAGCTATAGTGTTATCCATTTTTATTGTTTTCAACTAGAAATTGTATTTGATAATTTTTCTACTATAAGAATTTGACAAGCACTTACCTCTAAAGGTAATAAACGTATAAGTGAAGCAAAACAGTGTGTAGCTACAGTTCTAACATGTTCATGTTGGTCTGTCATCCTGCCCAGTACAGGTACTATCAGTAGTACAATATATGGTATAATATCCATATTTAACTTCTCAATTACATCTTTAACATTTGTCAAGGACTTTATTATAATAATGCATATAGTAGACATTACCAATTCAATGAAAGATGTTCAGATAAAAACCCGCACCTTCAAATAGAAGAAATTCTAATATTTAGCCGAGTTCAAAAAAGGTATGTTATGACAGGCAAGGTCAAGGAAGGTATGATATGACAGGCAAGTTCAAGGAAGGTATGATATGACAGGCAAGTTCAAGGAAGGTATGATATGACAGGCAAGGTCAAGGAAGGTATTGTTATGACAGGCAAGGTCAAGGAAGGTATGTTATGACAGGCAAGGTCAAGGAAGGTATGTTATGACAGGCAAGGTCAAGGAAGGTATGTTATGACAGGCAATGTCAAGGAAGGTATGTTTATGACAGGCAAGGTCAAGAAGGTATGATATGACAGGCAAGGTCCAAGGAAGATATATTATGACAGGCAAGGTCAAGGAAAGTATGTTATGACAGCAAGGTCAAGGAAGGTATGTTATGACAGGCAAGGTCAAGGAAGGTATGATATGACAGGCAAGGTCAAGGAAGGTATGTTATGATAGGCAAGGTCAAGGAAGGTATGATATGACAGGCAAGGTCAAGGAAGGTATGTTATGACAGGCAAGGTCAAGGAAGGTATGATATGACAGACCAGGTCAAGGAAGGTATGTTATGACAGGCAAGGTCAAGGAAGGTATGTTATGACAGGCAAGATCAAGGAAGGTATGTTATGACAGGCAAGGTCAAGGAAGGTATGTTATGATAGGCAAGGTCAAGGAAGGTATGATATGACAGACCAGGTCAAGGAAGGTATGTTATGACAGGCAAGTTCAAGGAAGGTATGTTATGACAGACCAGGTCAATTAGAGGTTAATGTAAAAATCTCTAACCTACACTGGTGTTTGACAAGTGGTTCAGAGTCAGCGACCTTAACCACCCGGCCAGGGAGGCGGGACAGACATAGGTATAAAGGATACTAGCAATAGCTTCTGATGCCCCTTGTCTTTGTACATCATTGTCTGACGCCTCGAACATTGGCAGCACTTTCTCTATAAGAAACAGCATCACATCTGCTGTCGACAGTCGAGATAACATACCAACACACCTAGCTGACATGTGACGCACACCACTATACTTATTCTGTAGATAACACTGGAGACAAGGCAAACTGTCAACAAACTGTAAACAAATAAAATAAATTCTTGATGGTAAGTCAAAGAGCTGGAAAATACAATCTTAAGATTTATTTACTAATACTTGTAGTTCTCAAATCAACATATTTATCCTCTTAATATTTTACACTTATTTCATTTAAATGCTATTAAGGATTATAATAATTAATTTATTCCAAAGGAACACACAACTACCTTGGTGAGTAAAGATGAATGTATAGATGGCACAATAGACTCTACCACTTGTAAACAGTTGACTGTTTCCTGGGCAACCAAATCTGTCATATCAGCTACAGAATCTGTAAATAAGCAAAATTCTAATAAATATAAATATACATTAAACTAAATTAAAAATTGACACGAGAAAATTTGTTCCAAGATTTTCAAATCTACACACAAGAATGAATGTTAGTAAGTTAATATAAGTTTGATCTATCATATAATGAAGTATAGCAGGCATGGAACTGAGATTTCAAATTAGAGATCAACAAAGTTATAACCGAGCAATAACTGAGTAAAAGACATTTTACAGGATAAGAATCATAACCATACCTTGATTTTCAAGAAGATACTTTGTAGCAGTTTCCCATAGACTAGGAAGTTCCTGAGGAAGTTTGTCATTAAAATCGGACGTCAAAATATTCAAAGTTATCTCCCCTCCACGCCGCTGAATAGATAACAGCTGTTTTGATTGCTGTTAAATATGAAGATTTACAAAATAAGGTTAGCAATCATAATACACATGAGAGCTACATATAATCTAAATATTGTTGATAAAGCAAAAGTCAAAAACCTTTTTTTCAATGAAAAATGGTTATCAAACCTTTCCTCTCATAAATTTCTTCAGTTTCCCATTAAAGTAAATTTGTCTGTAATTGAAGGTTTGTAATACAATAAATAATTGTGTTTCATGTAATTAGTATCTTACACGAATTTAATATTTTATCTATCACTTACCATAAATAACGACCATTTGAAGTGGAAAAAGACCATTTTTCATTGACACGCCTATAGTATAATGCAAACATTTAGCACGTCTTAACACTATGTTTGTATTATGCAATGGCGTCGCGCCAAAATATATGCATAGCCACGCAATACCATTTTAACGGAGTCGCGAAAGTTGCACAGGTATGTGATAAATGAAGATAATTAAAGTATACCTGTTCCTCATCTTTCAGTAAATCAGGTGATACTGTAACATCATTCTTCACACTTGATGACCTCTGTAAACGTTTCTTATCTGTGTCTGGGATCTGATGTTGACCAAACAAACATTTTATTATTAAAGGCACATTATGCCTCACATATAATGTCAGTAATTCATATTTTTTCCCTTCTGTAGAAAAGGCCAACATGTATTATATAGTGTTGTTAAATGGATTTGGAACATGTAAGAAGCTGAAGAATATAGCACTGAACTACAAAATCACAGTACCTGTACTAATTTACAAAATGCACACAGACTTAAATATGCATCAGCTTTTTGGTCAATGAATATATTTCTAGAAATAGTAGAAGGGCACCTTGATTTAAAATCTTCTGTAAAATAAAAATATAATGCCATTTTTAAGCTTAATTAGATGGGTGTATTAGCCTTTAATCAATTGACTGCATAAACTCCAACTTATAACAAAAATATCAGTATAAATACATGGAGATAAGCACAAATTTCATATTTTCAGGCTTTTAAAACATTTCTCACTTAATAATCTTAATGATTCCTTGTTTATATAGTAAGATATGATATAGTTATAAAACAAATGATAATTATAATTCACTATAAGAATATTACTTACTTTATTAAGTTTGGCAAGAGTGAGATTCTCTTTGTACATATCACAGCTAGCTTCTGTAACAACAGAAAGTATAGATATATATACAAACATGTATCTCTCTGTTATATTATTATTATGTATATTCACCTGTATTTTCATTTTATGGTCTCCTATACATCATTTGAAGTAAGAGCTTTTTAGTTTTTAAAAGAGTAAAAGGCTATATATCTGCTGTCTGAACAAAAAGAAAGAAAAAAAGAAAATATAAGTCATAATGATACACAGTGATAACATTGTTAATGATCACTAAAGATATTTTCTACAATGTTAATGAAATAGCTAACTTTTTACAAGTCTTTTATAAAAAGGTTTAAACAGTGATTTTGCCATGTAAAATACTATTTTGTTGGTTTCATAATTTGAATAGCTATGAAGTGGTTATAAAAAATTTCAGCAAGAATAACATCATCAAGTTACGTAAATAAAAACTAACCTGAAGTAGAGTTATTGTTAGTCTGTGTACAGACAGGTGTTACTGAAGGATCACAGCACAAGAAAGCACACAGGTTCTTGATGACTTTGTTGTTAGGACAAGGATCTCTAGATAAACATTTCCTCAATAATCCACTCACACATTTACCACCGTCCCTCTGTTATACACAAACAAATATAACACTTATATAATTATAACTGTTTAGTAAACTTTAAACTATACATGTAAAATTCATTAAGATTTTATTTCCACAGTCATTACTTTGTTTTATATATAAAAAATACTTTAATGATAAAACAAAAATTGGTTTTGTGTTGGTGTGGATCTTTCATCTATTTGTTGTTTTAATGTAAGATATTTGCACATTGTTAAGGTTTTCAGACCACATTTTAACTGCACTAACATGGGAAGGTTCTTGTTGTCTCCCTATGTTTTACTTCTGGCAGCTCCATAATAAACCTACTATGACCTTCCCTCATTTTTGTTCTGTATGTTCATCATTATATCACAACATTATAATAGACACTTGTACAATACAAAAACTTTATGTTTTACCATATCTGCATACATTATATAAATGACTTTCTGGTCCTACAGGATTAACTGATAATAATCACAGTTTATAAACAAGTCTACTTCCTGTTATCGCAAGTTAGGTACAAGCAGGGCTCACACTGGCTCAAATAAAATAATAGCCAATATTTTTAACTTAACAAAATAATAGCCAAAAGTTCAGCGGACTATTTACAATTTAGCGATTAACAACATATGCAGTTGATTAAATAAAAATTACATATAAAACTTTTTCAGTTTTATAAGGATTCTCAAATAAACTGATACATTTGTGTATATAATTTATTGATAACTACCTTTTTTTTTTTTTACATAGAACCACACCTTTAATTGTTATTATAGAACAGAATAAAAATGTTATATAGTGTAATTACTGTACAACAATAGTATTAAAGATTCATTATAACTTTACATAATGCTGTTATCAGACAATTTCTTTTGTTTGTTCTAATCAAATTTTGTCAGCTGTAACCACTGAATTTCCACATTTCACACAGAACTGGAGTAGATCTAGGTCATATTAGCCTATAGATATTGCAAACTCATTCACAGAATGCAGCCTTTTTTCTGAATAACTTACAGAAAAATGTCATCATCATCAATGTAATACAAATTTTCTGCCAAAATAGTAAAAAATTTAAACATAACATAGCTTATTTTCACCTTTAAAAAAATATCAAAATTATCGGTGTCGCGAAAATATGTGACAATCGGATTTTTTTCCTTGTATTCTGAAGAAATGTTCACAATTTTGGTTGTTGTGCCAAAAGTTGTTTGGAAGTAAATACTTTTTAAATATTTTATCATTGTTTTCAACTGGTGCTATAGTCAAGCAGCTTAAAAAAAAAAAATCAAAATTTGCCACTGCTGCAATTTACGCCAATTACGGTAAATTTTGGGTTGGTTAAAATCCAGTTTATCAATTTTAAGACGATTTTTTTGGGTAATTGACAGATATTTGATGGCTATTTTAATGCTGGACAATATCTTTAAAGTACTTATACAATTTTACATATCGCATGTATTTTTATCACCTCACATGACCGATAAAAAGTTGACACTCGATTAAATCCACCCCGCTGGTGTTAATTGGGTCTAGTGCATTGTTTATTGATTTTTACACCTTATATATAAACACTGTTGGAAGTAAAAAATAATCGCCAGATTTTGTAGCCAAAATGCAAAAAATAATCGCCAATCTTATAAAATAATCGCAAATGGCAACTATGGCGACCGACAGCGTGAGCCCTGTACAAGGCTTTCAAGTAAGGTACAGTGATTGGAAGTAAAATGTGCTTTTACTCGCAAGTCAAGGTACACATTGAATTATTTAGGCCCACAAGACAGGGTAAGGTGATAATTGTAGTTTTAAAGCACAGCTTCTTTTAATTTTAATCTACTCAGTTTACTTTTAATGTCACTTTATAGATTTCACAGTTTAATTTTTGAACAATCAAATGTGTCTAATATGTTAATCAAAACAATAAAATTCAGAAAAATAGAGATCATTAAGGAATGATGAATTCAAAAACCTTAAAATTCATCAACAAGAAGAGAAAATTGCAGGCCCACCCTTTCTTAAATGAGAAAACAAGAGCCGGTTGGGGTGATGCTCCCCAGATAGGTTTTGGACACAGAAAAGTAAACTTCTTGTAGTTTCAGAGTTATGTCCAGGACAAAGTTCAATGTGCAATAATTCAAAACTTAGGCAAGACAGAGTTACTGTTCTTTGCACTACACTTCTGCTCAATGAGATCTATCTACCTACTAAGTTTCTTGTTGATACCTCTTTTAGTTTCACAGTAATGTCCTGGACAAAGTTCAAAGTGAAAAATGAGCACAATTTATTTTCTCATATTCAGGGAGCATAATAAATTAAGTACCATCTTACACATTCTCTACCACTAATTCTAACAGTATCCAAAAACACCTTTGAAGACAATAATTTGTAAGAACATAAATTCTGAAAGATGGGAAAAGTCTTCTGTTTATTACAAAATACTGAACAAAGTAGAATGATCTTACCTGTATGTAAATGTTCTCTTCTTTCTTTATACAGTCCATCAAAGGGCGGATAACTGGATTTAACTTTTCAGGGATGGCATCTAATGACACAACAGCTTTGGCTAAACTTGACTGTACCCTAGTGAGGTAAATCATGGAAAAACAGGTTTTAATAGAGAAACAAAGTTTGGTAAAAGTTTACTATGTTACATATATTATTACAACTATAAAAATTCAATACATAGTAGAGGTCTTCTGTAAGACCACTTACTCTGTTTTCACAACCAAGCTGCTATTTCAACCAATTCTTTAAAGAAGAAGATTCTAAATCTGTAACCAAAATCATGCCAGTATCATGTAATAACTAATACCACCACTTTCTTCTTCTGACCATTTAGCCATTTTGAATGTATTTAGGCTGCATAATTGAGACAACACCTGCTTAACTGTAAACACATAAGTCTCAACATTTATTATCTACACAGTGATGTAAAATTGCTGTAAGCAGTATTGTTCAAATTATTGACCTGTGTTTTCATGACATCAAACACAGGTTTTGGTTGATAACATTTACCGATACATGTGAAATGGTCAAATTATCTGAATAATGTTTCTTTACTGAAGAGTAAGTAAAGATTAATCAAAACAAGATTAATTATAAGTAAACAATTAGATCGTTAAATATCTTTGTGGTAAAAGCAGCATAGTTCAATCAATTTATCATCATTTCCATTTTAAGCTATTGATAAATTGCAAAATGAAAGTTTTATCTTCAATTATGAAATTGTTTTCAGAAGTCTCCAGATTGTTCTCCTTTTCAATTTCAACTAAACATATCATATGTCTATATAGACACAAACATTTCTTTGAGAAACCATTTGAATTAAGCCCATTTCATATCGAAAACAATTTTTCTATTTCAAAACAAAGGGCCCTTTTAAAGGGGGGTTTTTACTGTCAATATTTTTAAATTTTTAAAGAACATACTTAACATTTTTAATAACTAATCTGCAACAAAAGATGCATTTTTTTCTTCAGTTGCACTCATTTCCCTTATAATGAACAATTTTTAAGAATAAGGTTATAAAAATACCTGAAAGGGAGAGGGTTTGTTTTTGATCTGTACTGAATTGTGTACAGATATTTGAGTTTGTGATAGTTTTATTTCTAAATGTTTTTAAACTAGAGGTTTGATTAGCTTGATTTTACGTTTGCTCCATATACCTGTGTTAACATTCTGAGGCCTGATCTAGTGATAGAATAAGTTCTGAAAATTTCGTACATCAAAAAATAAGTAAAATTGTCTTAATAATGAGGAGTAAATAATTAAAAATTATTATATTTTAACATGGAAAGAGAAAATTTAAAAATTATTATTAAAGAATATCTTTTTCAATTCCAATTTCTTTAATGTGATAAAAATGCTTAATTTTGTTAGATTTCAAATCAATTTCACAAATTCTATCAACAAAATCACCAATTAACACAAAAGTGCTTGTTTGAATTTAGAAATTGGCCATAACATAATCATTTATTTTCTTATATAATATTAGTAACCTGAATACCTTGTTTGGTAATAATCAACAAACTGTAATATTTACCCAGGAGCTATGATTTGGTCCATGTTGATTCCTTGTTGTTTGAGAGAGGCAATAAAGTCCCTACATTCTGTTTGCAAACGTGTAAACCCCAGTGCTATTTCATCATAATATATTCCTTCTGTGAGAGTTTCTAACAGCTTGCTTTTGATATCAGTTGAGCATTCACATGACTACAATATTAGATAAACTAGAGCTGTCACACAAGTGATTTATACCCTTACCATCTCTACCACACAAGATGTTACATTGCTACAGTTATCATTGTTCTATAGGATGAACTTTTGAACTAAGTTTTAAGAAAGTCTGTCCAAGAGCAAAAAAAATTTGGTGTACATACAAAATTGTCTGACTTCAAGGGTGACCTTGACCTTTAACTGGCACAGCAGCAGCATTGGTTTTGCACATCCACTTTCTGAGGTGGACATGTAAGTCAAGTTTGAAGATAATCCTTGAAGGGATTTAAGATTTATTGACAGGAAACTGTCTAACATTTGACCTTTCAGAGTGACTTTGACCTTGTACCAGCACCAGGGTGGCATGGATTCTTGGCACCAACTTGAATTGAAAAGGTGGTCATTTGAGCTAAGGGTATAGGATTTATAGAATGGACATATCCTTGTTTGCTATTTGACATTCAAGGGTGACCCTAACATGCATATGTACATTGTAACCCAGTATCTTGCTAAAACCAAGCTGTGATTACAACAAGAGAATATAAGTGGAACCTCAATAAATCTGATCTTGTTTTAAGTGGAGTATGGTATTAACAAACTATAATTTAAATTAAAATACCTGTTAAACAATGACATTCAAGGAAAACAACATACATTATAATAAAGATTCATAGTAATATATAACTTTATAGTTTATTTCCTGCAATCACATATACTTGGTGACAAGTGCACAGGCTTTATTTTGGACAATTTGTTAAGAAGTGATTTTTATTATGAAATATATATAGATTTTAGACTTACCTTTGTAGCAGCCCAGGCATGTACCACTTCAGCTATTACAATTCTCTGTATAGCTGACTTTGTGTTCAGATGGAAGACTAGAAGTTTGTCTAGAGATTCTGAAGGTTTCTCACAATTGTCAGGAAGACCTTGTATTGGCTGGGTAATCTTACTACACAAACATCCCAGCAGTCTAACAATGTAACAAACATGTGTCACTGTATCAAACAAGGCTTACTAAGTAACAAACATATATATTGTCAAAGTATAGAACATAAAGATGAAGTTTGTATGTGGCTGCACAGATCAGTAGAAAGATATCTAGAATAGTATTCTAAAGGGAGACTTGGTTCAAATTTCAGTCAGGCTGCACATTTTTTCTCACACTGTGGCATATATTTTAATCAAAATACAAGGACATATAGTTACCTTCTTATTAAATTTAATACAGTCAGTCCTTATAATTTTAAGTGAGAATTTTGCCAAGCTACTAGAAACGGCATTGTCACACTACATAGAACTAAAATTTATATACTGAGCTATGTTTGTAGATGTTATATTCTCTAAGAGTAAACTTACTGAGCTATGTTTGTAGATGTTATATTCTCTAAGAGTAAACTTGCTGAGCTATGTTTGTAGATGTTATATTCTCTAAGAGTAAACTTGCTGAGCTATGTTTGTAGATGTTATATTCTCTAAGAGTAAACTTGCTGAGCTATGTTTGTAGATGTTATATTCTCTAAGAGTAAACTTACTGAGCTATGTTTGTAGATGTTATATTCTCTAAGAGTAAACTTGCTGAGCTATGTTTGTAGATGTTATATTCTCTAAGAGTAAACTTGCTGAGCTATGTTTGTAGATGTTATATTCTCTAAGAGTAAACTTGCTGAGCTATGTTAGTAGATGTTATATTCTCTACGAGTAAACTTGCTGAGCTATGTTTGCAGATGTTATATTCTCTAGGAGTAAACTTGCTGAGCTATGTTTGTAGATGTTATATTCTCTAAGAGTAAACTTTCTGAGCTATGTTTGTAGATGTTATATTCTCTAGGAGTAAACTTTCTGAGCTATGTTTGTAGATGTTATATTCTCTAGGAGTAAACTTGCTGAGCTATGTTTGTAGATGTTATATTCTCTAGGAGTAAACTTACTGAGCTATGTTTGCAGATGTTATATTCTCTAAGAGTAAACTTACTGAGCTATGTTTGCAGATGTTATATTCTCTAAGAGTAAACTTGCTGAGCTATGTTTGTAGATGTTATATTCTCTAAGAGTAAACTTGCTGAGCTATGTTTGTAGATGTTATATTCTCTAAAGAGTAAACTTACTGAGCTATGTTTGTAGATGTTATATTCTCTAAGAGTAAACTTGCTGAGCTATGTTTGTAGATGTTATATTCTCTAGGAGTAAACTTTCTGAGCTATGTTTGTAGATGTTATATTCTCTAGGAGTAAACTTGCTGAGCTATGTTTGTAGATGTTATATTCTCTAAGAGTAAACTTACTGAGCTATGTTTGCAGATGTTATATTCTCTAAGAGTAAACTTACTGAGCTATGTTTGCAGATGTTATATTCTCTAAGAGTAAACTTACTGAGCTATGTTTGCAGATGTTATATTCTCTAAGAGTAAACTTGCTGAACTATGTTTGTAGATGTTATATTTCTCTAAGAGTAAACTTTCTGAGCTATGTTTGTAGATGTTATATTCTCTAGGAGTAAACTTGCTGAGCTATGTTTGTAGATGTTATATTCTCTAGGAGTAAAACTTACTGAGCTATGTTTGCAGATGTTATATTCTCTAAGAGTAAACTTACTGAGCTATGTTTGCAGATGTTATATTCTCTAAGAGTAAACTTGCTGAGCTATGTTTGCAGATGTTATATTCTCTAAGAGTAAACTTACTGAGCTATGTTTGCAGATGTTATATTCTCTAAGAGTAAACTTGCTGAACTATGTTTGTAGATGTTATATTCTCTAAGAGTAAACTTGCTGAGCTATGTTTGCAGATGTTATATTCTCTACGAGTAAACTTGCTGAGCTATGTTTGTAGATGTTATATTCTCTAAGAGTAAACTTACTGAGCTATGTTTGTAGATGTTATATCTCTAAGAGTAAACTTGCTGAGCTATGTTTGTAGATGTTATATTCTCTACGAGTAAACTTGCTGAACTATGTTAGTAGATGTTATATTCTCTAAGAGTAAACTTGCTGAGCTATGTTTGTAGATGTTATATTCTCTACGAGTAAACTTGCTGAGCTATGTTTGTAGATGTTATATTCTCTACGAGTAAACTTGCTGAGCTATGTTTTGTAGATGTTATATTCTCTACGAGTACACTTGCTGAGCTATGTTTGTAGATGTTATATTCTCTACGAGTAAACTTGCTGAGCTATGTTGTAGATGTTATATTTCTCTAAGAGTAAACTTGCTGAGCTATGTTTGTAGATGTTATATTCTCTACGAGTAAACTTGCTGAGCTATGTTTGCAGATGTTATATTTCTCTACGAGTAAACTTGCTGAGCTATGTTTGCAGATGTTATATTCTCTAAGAGTAAAACTTACTGAGCTATGTTTGCAGATGTTATATTCTCTAAGAGTAAACTTACTGAGCTATGTTTGCAGATGTTATAGTCTCTAAGAGTAAAACTTACTGAGCTATGTTTGTAGATGATATATTCTCTAAGAGTAAACTTCCTGAGCTATGTTTGTAGATGTTATATTCTCTAGGAGTAAACTTGCTGAGCTATGTTTGCAGATGTTATATTCTCTAAGAGTAAACTTTACTGAACTATGTTAGTAGATGTTATATTCTCTAAGAGTAAACTTGCTGAGCTATGTTTGTAGATGTTATATTCTCTAAGAGTAAACTTACTGAGCTATGTTTGTAGATGTTATATTCTTCTAACAGTAAACTTGCTGAGGCTATGTTTGCAGATGTTATATTCTCTAAGAGTAAACTTACTGAGCTATGTTTGCAGATGTTATAGTCTCTAAGAGTAAAACTTACTGAGCTATGTTTGCAGATGTTATATTCTCTAAGAGTAAACTTACTGAGCTATGTTTGCAGATGTTATAGTCTCTAAGAGTAAACTTACTGAGCTATGTTTTGCAGATGTTATATTCTCTAAGAGTAAACTTCCTGAGCTATGTTTGTAGATGTTATAGTCTCTAAGAGTAAACTCCTGAGCTATGTTTGTAGATGTTATATTCTCTACGAGTAAACTTGCTGAGCTATGTTAGTAGATGTTATATTCTCTACGAGTACACTTGCTGAGCTATGTTTGTAGATGTTATATTCTCTACGAGAAAACTTGCTGAGCTATGTTTTGTAGATGTTATAGTCTCTAAGAGTAAACTTGCTGAGCTATGTTTGTAGATGTTATATTCTCTAGGAGTAAACTTGCCTGAGCTATGTTTGTAGATGTTATATTCTCTAGGAAGTAAACTTGCTGAGCTATGTTTTGTAGATGTTATATTCTCTAAGAGTAAACTTACTGAGCTATGTTTGTAGATGTTTTTTCTCTAAGAGTAAACTTACTGAGCTATGTTTGTAGATGTTATACTTCTCTAGGAGTAAACTTGCTGAGCTATGTTTGTAGATGTTATATTCTCTAAGAGTAAAACTACTGACTATGTTAGTAGATGTTATATTCTCTAAGAGTAAACTTACTGAGTTATGTTTGTAGATTGTTATATTCTCTAAGAGTAAACTTCTGAGTTATGTTTGTAGATGTTATATTCTCTAAGAGTAAACTTGCTGAGCTATGTTTGTAGATGTTATATTCTCTAAGAGTAAACTTGCTGAGCTATGTTTGTAGATGTTATATTCTCTACGAGTAAACTTGCTGAGCTATGTTTGTAGATGTTATATTCTCTACGAGTAAACTTGCTGAGCTATGTTTTGTAGATGTTATATTCTCTAAGAGTAAACTTTCTGAGCTATGTTTGTAGATGTTATATTCTCTAGGAGTAAACTTGCTGAGCTATGTTTGTAGATGTTATAGTCTCTAAGAGTAAAACTTGCTGAGCTATGTTAGTAGATGTTATATTCTCTAGGAGTAAACTTGCTGAGCTATGTTTGTAGATGTTATATTCTCTAGGAGTAAACTTGCTGAGCTATGTTTGTAGATGTTATAGTCTCTAAGAGTAAACTTTCTGAGCTATGTTTGTAGATGTTATATTCTCTAGGAGTAAACTTGCTGAGCTATGTTTGTAGATGTTATAGTCTCTAAGAGTAAACTTACTGAGCTATGTTTGTAGATGTTATATTCTCTAGGAGTAAACTTACTGAGCTATGTTTGTAGATGTTATATTCTGAAGGAGTAAACATGCTGAGCTATGTTTGTAGATGTTATATTTCTCTAAGAGTAAACTTGCTGAGCTATGTTAGTAGATGTTATATTCTCTAAGAGTTAACTTACTGAGCTATGTTTGTAGATGTTATATTCTCTAAGAGTAAACTTGCAGAGCTATGTTTGTAGATGTTATATTCTCTAAGAGTAAACTTGCTGAGCTATGTTAGTAGATGTTATATTCTCTACGAGTACACTTGCTGAGCTATGTTTGTAGATGTTATATTCTCTAAGAGTAAACTTGCTGAGCTATGTTTGTAGATGTTATATTTCTACGAGTAAACTTGCTGAGCTATGTTTGTAGATGTTATAGTCTCTAAGAGTACACTTGCTGAGCTATGTTTGCAGATGTTATATTCTCTAAGAGTAAACTTACTGAGCTATGTTAGTAGATGTTATATTCTCTAAGAGTAAACTTGCTGAGCTATGTTAGTAGATGTTATATTCTCTACGAGTAAACTTACTGAGCTATGTTTGTAGATGTTATATTCTCTACGAGTAAACTTACTGAGCTATGTTTGCAGATGTTATATTCTCTAAGAGTAAACTTACTGAGCTATGTTAGTAGATGTTATATTCTCTAAGAGTAAACTTGCTGAGCTATGTTTGCAGATGTTATATTCTCTAAGAGTAAACTTACTGAGCTATGTTTGTAGATGTTATATTCTGAAGGAGTAAACTTACTGAGCTATGTTAGTAGATGTTATATTCTCTAGGAGTAAACTTACTGAGCTATGTTAGTAGATGTTATATTCTCTAAGAGTAAACTTACTGAGCTATGTTAGTAGATGTTATATTCTCTACGAGTAAACTTACTGAGCTATGTTTTGTAGATGTTATATTCTCTAGGAGTAAACTTGCTGAGCTATGTTTGCAGATGTTATATTCTGAAGGAGTAAACTTACTGAGCTATGTTTGTAGATGTTATATTCTCTACGAGTAAACTTGCTGAGCTATGTTAGTAGATGTTATATTCTCTAGGAGTAAACTTGCTGAGCTATGTTTGTAGATGTTATATTCTCTAAGAGTAAAACTTACTGAGCTATGTTTGTAGATGTTATATTCTCTACGAGTAAACTTGCTGAGCTATGTTAGTAGATGTTATATTCTCTAGGAGTAAACTTGCTGAGCTATGTTTGTAGATGTTATATTCTGAAGGAGTAAACTTACTGAGCTATGTTTGTAGATGTTATATTCTCTACGAGTAAACTTGCTGAGCTATGTTTGTAGATGTTATATTCTCTACGAGTAAACTTGCTGAGCTATGTTAGTAGATGTTATATTCTCTAGGAGTAAACTTGCTGAGCTATGTTTGTAGATGTTATATTCTGAAGGAGTAAACTTACTGAGCTATGTTTGTAGATGTTATATTCTCTACGAGTAAACTTGCTGAGCTATGTTAGTAGATGTTATATTCTCTAAGAGTAAACTTACTGAGTTATGTTTGTAGATGTTATATTCTCTACGAGTAAACTTGCTGAGCTATGTTTGTAGATGTTATATTCTCTACGAGTAAACTTACTGAGTTATGTTTGTAGATGTTACATTCCCTAAGAGTAAACTTACTGAGCTATGTTTGTAGATGTTATATTCTCTACGAGTAAACTTACTGAGCTATGTTTGTAGATGTTATATTCTCTAAGAGTAAACTTACTGAGCTATGTTTGTAGATGTTATATTCTCTAAGAGTAAACTTACTGAGCTATGTTTGTAGATGTTATATTCTCTAAGAGTAAACTTACTGAGCTATGTTTGTAGATGTTATATTCTCTAAGAGTAAACTTGCTGAGCTATGTTTGTAGATGTTATATTCTCTAAGAGTAAACTTACTGAGCTATGTTTGTAGATGTTATATTCTCTAAGAGTAAACTTACTGAGCTATGTTTGTAGATGTTATATTCTCTAGGAGTAAACTTGCTGAGCTATGTTTGTAGATGTTATATTCTGAAGGAGTAAACTTACTGAGCTATGTTTGTAGATGTTATATTCTCTACGAGTAAACTTGCTGAGCTATGTTTGTAGATGTTATATTCTCTACGAGTAAACTTGCTGAGCTATGTTAGTAGATGTTATATTCTCTAGGAGTAAACTTGCTGAGCTATGTTTGTAGATGTTATATTCTGAAGGAGTAAACTTACTGAGCTATGTTTGTAGATGTTATATTCTCTACGAGTAAACTTGCTGAGCTATGTTAGTAGATGTTATATTCTCTACGAGTAAACTTACTGAGCTATGTTTGCAGATGTTATATTCTCTAAGAGTAAACTTACTGAGCTATGTTTGTAGATGTTATATTCTCTAAGAGTAAACTTACTGAGCTGCTGTGTTCCCTTTTCTCATTACAAAAGATATCTCTTTTCATAGAAGAAAGAGTTTACCCACACATAGCCCGCTATAAAATTGGCCCAACTTTTGGGGATCTGTCCCAGTTCCCCATCTTCCAAAACCCGACAATTGTTTGACTTCCCGGTGAAAACAGATCTGCTGCCCGTAAAAACATAAAAATCCCCCTAAAAAATTGGAAAATGTAAACAAAATTTTGGATATCTTAAGCAAATTTTGGGTTTTTAATGAAGACAAAATTTTTCTGTTTTTCATAAAATTCAAAATTTAATTTTTACATTCTTTGGGCCAAATCTTTTAAAAAGACCCAGAAATTTTTTAAAAAAAATAACTTTTTAAAAAAGTTTTTTTTTAAAAATTTTTAAAATATTTTATCAGAAATTTTGACTTTAATACACCTAATATGCCTTTTCGGTTACTCTATAAATACAGCAATAATCTGTCAATTGCCACATTATAAAAATACTTTAATGAGTATTTCTACTTATTTATCAATTACTTTTGAGAAACATATATTTACCCTGCCAGGATGTTTTGCCTCTACCAGATAGTTATGGTCATAAGGTATTTTTGACGGTTGCATAGCCAGGGACAACCAGACCCCCATCCATGGTGTAGCTGCTACCACCAGGTATTCCGGTGGTGACCGGTGCAGCATACAGTTCCAAACCTCTGTTATAACAGAGAGGATTTCAGGATGTGTTTCTAACAAAGATCTCTGGTAAACATGGCACAATAATGGTTGAAGGAGATTAGGTAACCAATTATCAACAGATTGCTGAAATAAAAACAATTTTAAGCTTATCTTTGAAACTGTATGTTAAATATTACTATGTTTTTTTTCCTTCTTAAATCAGGTCTAGAAAATAAACATGTGACCAGTCAAAAATCCTATTTTTGAACATTGTAGGGATTATTTCTTCCACATTTTAAAAAATTACAAATGGTGTAGACAAGGAAGAACAAGAGCACCGCTAGGCGGAGCATTATATGCCCGAAAGTGCTTTTTCTTTTAGTAAGGATGAAGCATTTGTAAGACATGGGAATTAAATACAGTATTACCTCCTTCAAAAAGCAATCCTCCTTTATAGCTGAAGAACATTCATGTATATATACAGTTGCTGTTTTCAAAGCACCACCATCAAGTTGTTATCTTGTAAGTAAAAATGCTACAACGGATGGACGAAAAGACGTCAGGGGTATAAAGCTGTTAATCCTATAAAATTTTACAGCTGTAGGTTGATAAATACTTGAGTTATTGAGCGAAAACTGTTTCCAGTTTAAAGGTGATAGTAACCTTGATATCTGACCTTGCGTTACCCCAAAATCAATAGGGTTCTTCTACACAATATGGACAATCATCCTATGAAGTTTGAATACTGTGGGCCAGATGAAACTTAAGTTATGGTCTGGAAACCATTTTCAGTATTAAGCTAATAGTGACCTTGACCTTTGACCTTGTGACCCCAAAATCAATAGGGGTCTTCTACCCAATATGGACAATCACCCTATGAAGTTTGAATACTGTGGGTCAAATGGAACTGAAGTTATGCTTTAGAAACCATTTTCAGTATTTAGCTAATAGTGACCTTGATCTTTGACCTTGTGATCCTTAAATCAATAGGGGTCTTCTACCCAGTATGGACAATCATCCTATGAAGTTTGAATACTGTGGGCAAAATGGAACTTAAGTTATGCTCCGGAAACCATTTTCAGTATTAAGATAATAGTGACCTTGACCTTTGACCTTGTGACCCCCAAAATCAATAGGGGTCTTCTACCCAATATGGACAATCATCCTATGAAGTTTGAATACTGTGGGCAAAATGGAACTAAAGTTATGCTCCGGAAACCATTTTCAGTATTTAGCTAATAGTGACCTTGATCTTTGACCTTGTGACCCTAAAATCAATAGGGGTCTTCTACCCAATATGGACAATCATCCTATGAAGTTTGAATACTGTGGGCCAAAAGAAACTGAAGTTATGGTCTGGAAACCATTTTCAGTATTAAGCTAATAGTGACCTTGACCTTTGACCTTGTGACCCTTAAATCAACAGGGGTCTTCTACCCAATATGGACAATCATCCTATGAAGTTTGAATACTTTGGGTCAAATGGAACTTAAGTTATGCTCCGGAAACCATTTTCAGTATTTAGCTAATAGTGACCTTGACCTTTGACCTTGTGACCCCAAAATCAATAGGGGTCTTCTACCCAATATGGGCAATCATCCTATGAAGTTTGAATACTGTGGGCCAAATGGAACTTAAGTTATGCTCCGGAAACCAAATTGCTAACGGATGGACTGACGGAAGTTCTTACAGGAGAGTAATTATGTGGCTTCTCTATTGTTCTCTCTATTGTTCTTTTTAGCCACACAAAAGAAAATAGCCACATAAAAGCATTACGGAATGAATGACATCAAAGAGAAAGAACAGTAACCTATTGTCCCTCTAGCCACATAATTACTCTCCTGTGAGTGCGGACGTACAGACGGACGGACGTACGGACGGCCGAAATGGAATAAAGGGCCATTTCTTTTGTTATTTTCTATTGTTTAATAGAGGGCCAATGGCCCCTTACTCTTTTGTTACGGAATGAACTCTATTGTTCTCTTTTGTTCTGTTTACAGTTAGATGGCCCTTTATCCCTATTCGGTAGTGCGGACGGACGGACGCCATGGGGTATAACATAATATGCCCGAAATTCTTTCGGGCATATAAAAAATGTGAAAATTAACACTGTCATTTTTTCATCTTATTGTTTCTCATTAAGATCAAACTGATTTAAGTTACTAGTTTATATAAGTTAGATATCTATAGTTCGTCTATCTGGGCTTTACAAACACAATTACCGATTAATGACAAATTATGATTAAATCATAAATAGATAAAGATGTAACTTAGATAATTTTATAGTTGACCTAATATGTATAAATCATATAAAACATAATTGTGAACATATAAAACAGGTACAACAAACATACAAACCTTTGTAGATTGCATAGTTAAAAGAGTGTGTAATGTCTTCATTGTTGCAGTTCTTACTGACGGAATGTTGTGTCGAAAAAATGGCAATAGCCGAGGTACAAGTTCAGTTAATGGCTTTTCAGTCCTGTAGTAAAGATATAAAATAAAATGACACACTTTTATCATTTTATTTTTATTCCTAGGTTTTTAGGTTGTTTTTTGTTGTTGTTTTTTGTTTGTTTGTTTTTTCAAATTAGTGTTTTACAATTTTAAGAACCAAACTTATTCTAAACTTGATTTTAGAAATGTTGAAGATTTATTACCAAGTTAAGAGTGTTTTATGACATCAGGAATATAAGAAATACCTATTTTGTCACTATACACAGATGAAAATAGGTAATGACTTGTCATCCAGTATGCAACACATACATAAAAGATGCCAGAATGATGTCATGATAATTTACATGATAAAAAAACAATAATTATCCAGCACAATGTTAAACTATACAATCCAGTGTGATGGGTAAATTTAAATTGTTGAAATAATTGTTGAAAATAAGAATATACATGATACTTAAAGAGAAAATTTTCTTGTGATTCATTTCTATTTTACTTTAGCGACAATAGGGTGCAGAATAGAACAGCCTGATTCAAATATCAGGTGTGGAAATATTCACTGTCTTGTTAGAATTGAAAAAAATATCTGGGGCTAGTTTCTCAAAGCTCTGTTAAATTTAACTGTCTGTTAAATCCACTTACGGACAGTTAAATTTAACGTTTGTGTTAAATTCTGTTGCTCAAAATTAACGCTCACTTTAACTGCCACTTTAACAGCTGAATCTGTCTGTTAATTGTTTATCTGCTATTTAACACCAGTTTGAAGTTCTGTTGCAAAAAATTAACCACTTAGGCCTTTAAAAAAAACCAGAGAACAAAGGGAGATTACTGCTTGAACAAGAAACAACTGAATCAAGTAATTTAAGCCACTTTACAGTATTCAAATGTACAATGTATTGTTAATAAAAATAATATCATACACATCTATCACATTTGCTTTTGGATGGGCTACCAGGGCTGAGAGAAGTGTCATTATGCTGTTTGTTGATGCTGTAAGGTCATCTAGGTCCAGTAAAGTCTCCCATAGACATAAAACTATCACAGGAACCTGAAGAAAACATAGTGTTAATAATTATCCACATTAAAATTACCAAAGACAAAAAATAACATGGCATAAATACACACTGAAATCTCTTTTCAGCATTGCAAAAATTAAAATCACCATAACCAAACAAGAAATACTATTTTATAAAATAAACAATAATTTTACATTTGAAATGAACAATAAGAATCATTTCTATAATTTTCAACTACATATCGTGACCTTAGTGCAGAAATGGAGTAAGTCCTTCTAAAAATGATAGGAGTTAATCAGTTATTGCACTGAGATGACAATATATTTAAAATTACAACAGGTAACACAAGGTCAAAAGTCTTTATTTAAATATCATTTACTTTTTGACATATATAAATGATTCAGAAAGTGCACACTTTTAGTACCAAGCTTTCATATTTTATCAACCTATCTTACATTCCTTAACCTACAAAGGACCAACAACAAACATTTAAAAGATCAAATTCTTCCCAGTCTGATCAGGCCATTGCTCCCGTACCGGACAGGATGTCAACCTACACAGAAAGTGATAGTGTACTAATCTGACATGTTAACCACGATCAACCATGCCGTCATTAATTTAAATAATACAATACTGTCTGTTGTTTATTGTTAGTAATATGGCTATTATTTCTTTTTAAAGCTACTGACTTTATAATGTTTTCAAGAAATATATTAAAGTTAAACCTGCTGTGGAAGTATTTGTACGAGATCATCAGCTACAGGAATTAATGCACTAGCAGCCACAGCCCTGTTATCATCATCAGCATCTTGTAATCCTTGATATATAAATGGTAATACTTTAGGTAGTAAATCGCCTGTCATATCCTGAAAATATACATATTAATGCTTACTCTTGCATACAAACTGTGCACACAGGTATATATATATTAACTGAGAAGAAAACATGCATTAACAGATAAAATCATATAAACATGTTCCATTTTTAATTTTTTAGCATGTTTTTAATATGTGTGTATGAATGCATCATTTTGAATATATCATCCTAACCTTTCTTACTGCCAGCAGATATTTCATTCCGAGCAATCCCCCATGCCGCACCTCCCATTGTTTTTGTGTTAACAGCTGTAACAAGATGCATAGTACCCCTTGTATACCGTCAGCTTCTAGAAACTTTATCACTACTCCAAGTGTTTGAGCACATGTTTCTCTAACTGGAGCAACAACCTGAGGAAAAATTAAAACAAATCATAAATATAAAGGATATTTGTTTATCTACATAAAAATGAATTATGTGAATTTATGTCCTACTGAGAACTTTCAAAATAATGTTAAAATGTCTTGCCAAAAATGAAATACAGGAAATTTTATACCTATTTGTAAAAAAGAAAGTTTTCACAAAAGATACCTAAATGATATCATCATATCAGTATAAATATAAGTGACATCATATCAGTATAAATCTATCCAGTACCTGAGACATAATTGCCAAATCATATCTAGAACTATCAAAGTTAATAACTTACCTCATCTGAGACATAATCACCAAATCTATCGAGTGCTATCACAGATAATAACCTGAGTGCTAAATCTGATAACCATATTTGGTTGACTGCTGACATCTACAAAATATAAACAGTAAAATATCAACAAAACATTTCACCATCAAGTGAGCAACAAATTTATAAAATACACATACATGTAACCTTTAATATCTAATTCCTGGCTCATATCAAGCAGGCTGATTTAAAATTAGGAATTGGACCATAAGAATTGAGATCATATGGTCACTGTTTTAAAGTTAACTGGTGGAGGAACATCAGATATTCCATTGAGCATCATTTCAGACAAAGATAGGCACAAGAAAAGAACTGAATTCAATATCCCATATTTGTTAGAGGCAACCACACAGCAGCTACAGTGATGTAAGTGGTCCTGAATGTCTTACAGTATTTTACTATCAAACTAAAATAAAGACATCTGGGAATTAATCAATGCAGAAATACATAGATGTCTTGATGTTGAATAAAATTAAATCCACAACTAACACCACAACCTAACACCACAACTAACAAACCTGATCAGCGGGTGTATCCTGAGACTTGCCTGCTCCTCTTCCATGCAACTTAATTACCTCCCTTAGACCAGTAGCAGCTCCATGTCTAGTCTCCCAGGCAGTGTGAAATAAATCAGCCATCAACAGTTCACAGAAACAATCAAATGGCCAGTCCTCCTATCATAACATGTAAAATATACATAATAATAAAGTTACACAATTGATAAAATTATATCGGAACAAATCATTTAAAGAACTAAGACTATCACGAAGAACATTTACATGTAAGTCAAAATATGCATTCAAGTTACCTTTTATTGCTTTAAATGAATATACATTGTACAGTCTAACTTGCCCATGCGACCACGTGTATTAAGCGACTTTTGTCTTAAACGACCACTTTAAATTCCCCCCGATCATTTTCTCTCTATATCTTTAATGTATTAAGCTACTTTTGCTCAACGCGACCAGCGACCGCTAATTAGTCAGCTAATTGAGATAAATCTTTTCATTAAACAACCACTTTTACCTGTCAAGTAATTGTGTTTTTAGAGAACGCCGCCTCGTAATGTCACAAGTGTCAACAATCAAAACACAACAAATAAATGTGTGAAAAACTCTATTTCCCAAACCGTTTTAGTGTATGCAAATGAAGTTAAGTATACGTGTGACGAGTATTATCCAATAATCTTGAATAAACAATGCAACGCTCCGCCCCTACTGAGATGGTGTATACGCTTCGCTTGTTGACATTTAGACTGCATTGAATTGACTTTGAACTTGATCAGCAATTTAATGAATCGTAACAATTAGATGTAGTTTGTTTATTTCAAATGAGAAAATGCACAACAGAAAACATCTTCACTAATAGGGTTTTTGTGTTGGAGACAAGGAAAAACAACGGAGAAATTAAAAAATTCTGGAAAAATGTTAAACATGTACATAATGGATGTCAATAAATATCAGAAAGTTATATTTTACATTAGCATCCATTTAGATTATCTGAGCATACAAATTATTCAACATTTATATAAATGAAGTTGAAAAACATTCCCACCGCAAAAGAAAGATGTCATTTATAAATTTTGACTTTTATATCATGCTTTGTCTTAAGAGACCGTTTCTTTAAGCGACTGTTTTGGTTGTTTCCCTTGCGAGGTAGCTTAATACACATTTCACTGTATGTCATTTTTTGACACCAACACAGTTAAGGTCATTTGACGACTTTCAAGCTTTATTAATGGAGGAAGACGTGAAGTGCCACTCTAGGTGGGTTTTTTTCGGGTTGAACTAGCACATAAGTAGAAATACTAACATTCCATATGCTAATTGTTTAGCTTCCTTGCCATATTCAAAACCTTAGCAGTAAGGGGCAGGTAGGACCTTGCCTTTTGCTTGTAAACATTAATTGTATTTCAAGAATAAAATGAACGTATGTTTGTATGTACTAGAATATGTTTAATTTGTATTTTGTTTTTCATACTTTCACATGCTACCAGAAAAAAAATAAACCAAGTAGTACATATGACTATGCTAAATATATGATAGAGCTTCAAATAGTTGAGCAAAATTTTTATTTTGATATCACAATTAATCACTTAGAATAAACAAATATTGTCAATTAATCGAGAAGTGATCATTTTTACCTCCTCTGTCAGATCACTAATTATTCCTGTATTTTCTGACCCATTTTCTGACTTCATTTTCTTCACTGGAGGCTCATTTTCACTGTCGGGGCTACAATTAACAAATAACTTTGTTAACTTACCATATGACTTGACAAAAATATGTGTCACATGACAGGTGATATAAGTTTATGTTACTTAATAAAAGAAAGGAAAAAGCTTCTTTTTTTTAAATCAGAGAGATTTTCTCTTTTAACAGTATTAGTATTATACAGTATTGGTAGATATATAAGTAAGTAAAAATTAGGAATTTTTTTTTGTTTAGAACTGGTATACTTTTGGCACCAACACGTTTTAAATAAAAGTTGTTTTTGCACTATTATTGCTATATGTAGAATAATTTCTACTTTTGAACTAACATGCAAAATGTGTATGTCTGGGATAGATTTTACTTTCATTTAATTACTTTTATGAAACATGTTATTCACCCCTGCAAACCCCATGCTCCCCCCCCCCAATCCACCTTACTTACCTATTTCTAAACAAGCTTGTCAAACATATAATCTGTATTTTCATATTTGTTTTTCACCCACAGTTATAATCATTACTTCAAGTATTAAATTGTGAATGGGTCCTTTTACAGGTACAAACTATACAAGGTAAAACATGTGTGTATATATGAACACTATTATTTAAATGATTCCATTATAACCGCATACTAAAATTACTCACATGATTATAACAATTATATAATTCAAAACTTATAAAATTTTATATCCAACTTCAAGTAAATATTTATGACATAGGATTCTCTCTATTCTTATATGATTAAATGGTTAATGGCTTGATACTAAACAATAAAAAGAATTGGATTATTGCTTACAGAGGAGACTCTCTGGATGGTCTTTTAATCATCATTCTTGCTTTGCGTTTAGCTCGGTTCCTCTCTCTAGAGCTAAGACTGGAACCAATCTGTTGATTTACAAGGTCACCTACATGTTTCTGAAATTTATATACATTTCTATATGATTACAAGAATTATTTCAGATACAAAGAAGTTTCAGACAAGTGCAATGCAGTGACAAAACAAAGAGGGCCATCATAGGGGGATATAATCTACATTTACCTGGACATGCCTCAATTCATGCCAAATATCATAGATCAAGACTTAATCATTTCAGAGGAGAAGATTTTTCTTTATAAATATAAGGTAAACCATAGGGATCATTTCTATAATGTTTTGATATTGATTTGGGGGTTTAGGAGATGTTGTACAAAGAGAAGTGAGGACAGACAGATGACAGTGAGTGATGACAATAGCTCACCTCAAGCATGTTGTGCTCTGGTGAGTTAAAAACTGACAACTCAACCATATACAACCTCAGACCTGTTTTAACGACAGCCTGTCTGAATATCTCAGTACTTAATACAGGCATGTCTTTGAAATATTCTAAGTCAATAAAGAGACATTAAGGCAACTTCATGACAGTATTATGTAAAATTTCCTAGAAATGTAACTACATTTAATTGGTGTAGAAAATATCGAGAATAACTCCGCTAAAATTCATGAAAGAGTTATGAACTCCTGCCTACATAAGGAGATGGTTTCTGAAATGATCAGAAACAAGTATCTCAGTCTTTAAGCAATCTATTAAAGGGTTCATTTTTATGGTATGGTACTGACACATATATTACCATGCAAGTAGAAAGCTCTCACAAACTTACTAAATTTATTAAAATTATTTTAACAGTCAAGCTTAAAATGGATGTTACTCACAGGTATAGAGCAAAATATTATCAGTTATCAATATGTGACACAAATCATGCAATAATTTGTTTCTGTTGAAAAAATAGCCCAAAAAATCATACCAATTCTTGTTTGAAAGCTGTTTCTTTATTCATGCCAGTAAGTAAATCTTCATCAGAATATAAGTCCTTGTCTATATCAAGCTGAAGATTTCCTGCCACATCAAGACCTAGACGTTTATTTAACATCTGTCTTTGAATCAACAATCTTTCTCGTTCATCAATGCCTGAGATATATGTATATAATATATAACATTTTTCTTAAAATCAGACAAATATAATTATCATATATTACAGACATTTTATGTTTGACTACTGTAAAATACGATATTCATTAATGTTAAATGATTTTATATAGATTTTTTTTATAAAAACAAAACATTTATTTATAAAAGAAGAGAACCTGTAAGTTTGTCATCCTGATTAAACTGTACACCTTCAGATCCAAGTAATGATGTTCCATTTTGTAGTACACATTGTAGATCAAACTTTGAAAACAACAACTTCCCCTCAGCTCCAGGTATATCTTCTCCACATTCTAACAAAGTATGATTTCAAAACTTGAATTTTAAAACAAATCATCATTATTCAACAGCTTGACGTGCCTATTTTAACAATAAGATCACAGCATTTGTGTACAGCTGCTGAAAGTGACTCACTTAAATTTTGTAAAATCTGTAAGAAAACTTTGAAATTAAGGTATTACCATCCTAATGCATTACCTCCTCTTTGAAGAGTATTCAAATAGGCTAGAACTACTGTTAACTACATTGAAAATGAGGGCCGTGGGTTCAATCCCCAGAAGGGTCAATATTTTTTTTCTTTCTTTTTTTCCTTTAACATTATTTATGTATCTCTCATGTCCCATTTGGAAAGAAAAAAGTGTTTAATTTTGATTTTTTAATTTATATAGGTATTTATTGGCTAAATTATGCTAAATCTAGTAATAAATATGGTACCTGATATTTTCAAAGTGTAATAAAATCAAAACTAGACAGTAAAAGTATTTCATATTTTACAAGATCAACCACTATACTTTAAACATTTAGGGAAACTTTGAAAATAGGCACTCATTTGGGTAAATTTTAAGGATTTTTTTAAATTAGGCTCCCTAAGTAGGAAAATGGTCAGACACAAGGTAAAAATGGGTGGCGTAGGGTAACATTTTATACAGATTTCATAAATTTTAAGTAGAAACCATAATTTTGCTTATGTGGATTGCTAGCTAAATGGTACTATTTGTTTCTTACCAAAAATTAATGGGGAAATATTTTTTCATTAGAATGTTATTGCCGATTATTTAAAGGTTCCTCATTTCTAAAAAAAGGGCCCTCATAACATCCTAGCTTGAGTTCAGAAAAGTGGCCATAACTTGATTTCCGTACGGTAAACTTTGTTTAAATTTTGCATAAAGGTGTACTTTAAGGTATATATCTGACCTATGATGTCAATTGTTTAGTTCCTTATAGTGCCCATTTGGGGTGGTAATACCTTAAGTATATTGTAATTCATGCCTTTTCTAGAAATACTTTACAACTTGTGTGGAAATATTAATTTCTTTCTTTCAAAGTAAATCTAAGTGTTTCCTTTACATTCCATAATCAATTTCTGTATTTTAAGCCATACTATGAACTCAGTAAGTATGAATTATCTCTGATGTTACTATAGTTCTGTGCTATAAATAACATCTTGGAGGTAATATCACTTCATTCTGGGAAACAACTAAGTGTTCAAATTCATAAAAACTCATTCTTGGTTGGTATAAGGATTTCTAATCAATATAAAGGCATCCTAAATCTTACTTGCTGATCTAATTTCAGCTATTATGGGTAACTTTTATGAGTTCTAATTAAATTTTGACTTCATTACATCAAGGTGCTCTTAATCAACCCTTATTCTAGGTCACAATCAGGTGTGTTCTAATTGATTTTATCTTGTTCTTAAACAAAACAATGTATATGTATTCTAATTCTGGGTCATCTATTATTTAGGTGTTCTATTTCATCTAACCTTATTCTAGGTCATCACTAGGTTAATTATTTTATTTAACCTTATTCTAGGTCATCACTATTCTAAGTTTTCTGTTTTATTTAACCTTATTCTAGGTCATCACTAAGTTTTCTGTTTTATTTAACCTTATTCTAGGTCATCACTAGGTTTTCATTTCATTTAACCTTTTTTGGGTCATCACTATGTGTTCTACTTTGAATGATCTAATTATTGGTCATCACTCGCACTAAGTAACATTATTCTGCATCACCATTGCATGTTCTAACTGGTTTATTTCATTATGGGTCATCATTTAATATTCTGGTTATTAATCAGCACAATGTCTTTCAAATCAGTTAACCTTGTGTTTTACTATCAGGTGTTTTAGTTTATAATTGAGATTTTCAATGTTATATATTACCTTGTTTTGGAGCACCTCTTGGCTCCCACTGAGGAACATTTCTGGCTATGGCATTAACAGCTTGTGCTGCAGCAATTCTAGTATCCCAATTACTGCTTCTCAGATAAACAAGCACCTGTTCAATATAATCATACACTGTTATGAACAAATTGTACTTTAATTTTTCCTACTGTCATAGTACATGATAATATGAAGTACTTACATGAATATCTGAAATAACTATAATTAGTTACAATGGTGACCAGCAATGAGAATAATTACCTATAAACGTAGGTAAAAATGCTATTGATCATTGTCTGTTACAACATATACTGCAGTGTTTGTAATTATTAAAAAATTTGAGCCTCATCACGACAAAACCAACATGCGTTAGCGACCAGCATGGATCCAGACCAGCCTACACATCTGCGCAGTCTGATCAGGATCCATGCTGTTCGCTTACAAACCCTATAACAAGTAGAGAAACTGATAGCAAACAGCATGGATCCTGATCAGACTGTGCGGATGCGCAGGCTGGTCTGGATCCATGCTGGTCGCAAACCCATTATGTTGGTTTTGTTGTGACACGGCTCAATTTTGTTGTAGACCTACAGGTAGTTTACAGTCTATAAAAATGTATGATATCAAGTTTGGTTCAGCATTGTAAGCAATGGAATTATTATCTGGTAGATCAATAACTCAGCACAGTCTGGCTTATAATATATTACCAACACTCCCATCCATCGACATGCTTCATCATTCTGAGCTTGAAACAATTTAATCACCTTAACTTAAGAGTTTTCATCATTTTGTGAAAAAAATACAATCTTATCTATACATAGGTCAATATATCTATAAAGTTACATTACGTTAACTTATTTTCTATATAATATAATAAGGTTTATTGACAATAACTCTATTCTTGTTTTATTATCGTTACTTTTGTATTTTATCTCCTCGTGACAGAAATATTGACATGTTAATCTTCAGTCATGTCAATGAGAGGCTTGCTATGATTCTAAATATATTTTGTAATAAAGTCGTACAATTCCTACAAAAGTTCCTTCCTATAAATATTAAAACATGTCCTAAAAATAATTATAAATATGTTTCCATGTATGAATAAAGTTTTGTAAGTAACAAAAGTGCATGTTCTTAATTATATTTGAAAAAAAAAGGAATTTAACCCCACCAGCAAGGTTTGTCTTTTGTTAATTTGCCATGTTCCTTTTTTAACAAAATAATCAAACAGTGGACAATAGTATTGTCTGGTCAGAAAGCAAAGTCATGAGCAAACTAATGTAATTCTTTTACTAGAGGCATATGTCTACTCTATTTATATAATATAGCACTAAAAGTCAAGGACAAAATGAAAAAAATAATACTGTACCTTTGTAAGGAGGTTATTAAGCTCATAAGGGTGTAGTTTTTGGACATCTCCTAATTGTTCTGCTGCAGATTTCCTGATCAAAGCAGTAGAGCCAGTGTCCAACAGTAAAAATAATCTATCAAGTCTGAAGAAACAAGTTATATTGTTAAAGAAGATAACTCCAGGAGTTTTCAGGTAGTTTGCTTGACTATCCTTAGTAACTGATCAATAAAACAAGGGCCATGCAAGAATTCTCAATGAGAAACAGTTTTGTTAAAATCCATGTTTAATAGAGTTACAAGTCATAAGAAAACCCCTACAATTTTGATCCAAAATACATGACGTTTCAAGAGAATATCTTTTGAGGCTGTAGATGTTGTCGCTTAAACTTTATTTCTATTTATTAGCTCTGGTGGCCATTTTGTTCAAAAGGCTGGAATAATTTACAAATTTTAGCATTTTTTTTAAAGAACTATCTGATGATGATTCTTGTAGAGTTTCATCAAAATCTACCCAGGTTGAGGAGATAATGTTTAAAGGTTTTTCTAATTTTAGCTCTGGTGGCCATCATGTTCAGCAGACTAGTAGCAGAAACATTTGAGTAATTTTCTGAGTACTATCAAAGAATGATTCATGTACATGTATAGTTACATCACTTTGCCTAAGAGGTTTAGGAGATGTTGATTGATTAAGTAAAATGCTAAGGACAGACAGTGATTGAGGGCAACTGGACACAAAGCAATCACAATAACTCACCTTGAGCACTATGTACTGAGGCAAGCTAAAATGAAATCAAAACCAGATTTAATCTTCATTAATGTTATTATCAAGTATTATCTATAAAGCATATTGCTTCAATTTCAATCTTTAAATTTCCTGAAACCAACCTGACTGTAAAAGTGAAACATTTATGAGTACATATCTTGAATTATTTCCTCTGCATGAATAAAAATGTCTACTTATAGTTATAATTTAAAGGAAATTAATGTTGCATAATTATAGCATAGCTTAAATTACTAAAATGATGTTATTTTTTTATTTTCTGTCAAGGCTGTATTTATATATGGTTGATGTCAAATATGAAGATGAAACTTTATTATGTTTTAATTCTTCAAAATCACAGGCTAATTAAACATTTGAACAGTGCTCTAAATTGAACCCCAAATTCCCCTAATAAATAGTTTGCAGTGATCTCCCCTTAATTTTTCGGCATTAGTGTACTTATAAAGGGAAGTAACCGCTTTGAGGCCTACTTTCAGGTTTTGCAAATAAGCATATCAGGGTCTGAAATTTCGCTACCATTATTTGTTTGATATGACAACCCAAACAAATAAAAACCTTATAATTTTTGGTCCGACAACCCAAACAAATAAAACCTATCTTAGTTTGATTTTGTGAGAAGCTTAAAACTTTAATAGACACACTTTTGAATCCTTAAAACAAGTAATAAGCAATAGGTGTGAAGTTTCTTGATGGTTTGAACATGCCAAACCAAGCAGCCAGCAGTCCTTAGATTACTAGTCTGACAGATTAACAAGTTGTCCATGCCGAAAAATTGCTGTGATTTGTTCCCCGTTGATAGTAAATGTGACAATACTTTTTAACTCCATAAGGAACCCACCAGCAATCCTCAGAGCTTTAGATAAAAAATCACTAAACAAATTATTTTACATCAATAACATATGTATTTTTGTAGTTAAATTAAATAAAATCCTGAAGAATCATTAACAAGATTTGTTATTTAAACAATAAAATTAGTCAGTTTTGTAAATCATTCCTTTAACATTGCAGCTACTGATTAGCAGGAGACCCATAAATCATTAACAGGCCAAAACACCTTTTTTATTCAAGGGCTGGAAAACCTGTTAAATATGCACAAGTACTTCAAGTACCAATCAATCCTGTAAAGTTTCAGTAGTAGTATTTAAGGAACTAGTCTCTAATAATAATTTTGCTGCATTTACTTTTTATGCACTATCACCTTTATTAGGCATATGTGTTAAATTTGTGTTTGTTATGAAATAAAATAAATGGAATATCATACCATGTCACTCAACTGTATACACAGTGTAAATTGAAAATTCCAGCATGATGGGGTCATTATTGACTCATAAGATATTTACACATGCACACTTATAAGATTTGTTAAGTGTATAATTATACTCCTGGTTCAGACTACAGGGTCTAATCCAGTACATCTACTTCAACTTCATACTAATAACTTCATTTGACCTGTAACACGTTGACGGGCCTCATTCACTTCATTTTTGAATTCGGTCACGCTAACCTTTACGCATGCGCACAAGAAATGAGAACTTTTAGCGAGAGCTGTTGTTTTTTTCATTGACTCCGTATTCTATTTTATTGTGTGCCAACAATATATTTACAGGTATATTTGAGGTTATAAAACATTATAAACATGAATTACTATGATATGTGTATGTATTTCGCTTGGAATTATCAATAGCACAAGAAATGAGAAGTTTTAGCGAGAGCTGTTGTTTTTTTCATTTGACTCCGTATTCTATTTTATTGTGTGCCAACAATATATTTACAGGTTCCTCTTTGAATGCCCTATCCTCCAGAGTGAGAACTCACGTATATCCGAACAATAATACTGCTTTAAAATCGTTTACGATTATACTAAGTAGGTATACATTGTACACATTGAATTGAGGGATAGCTATGAGATACCAGTCCCTAGCTCTTTAGAATAGACCCCTTGGTTCTTTTACATGCCCAGTGTATAGCACTATTACATGCGAGGATTACCTGGATTTCTTACCAGTACACCTGTTGGTAGATGGGAAACACTGAAGGTGTCTCTGAAAATCCCAAGGACGTTATCCAGGATCACCGATCAAACCAGGGACCTCAGAAGTGACAGTCAGTTGTCTAACCAACTGAGCTATCACGCCGAATCCGGGTCAACTTGGCCCTTAAACTTTCTCAGCCCCCCAAGTCATCTCGGCCCCATACCAAATTGGCACAAGTCAACTTTCATTGTTTAACATTTCACTGTAACAGACCTCTTCTCAAGAATATTTAAGTTTTATTGCTGAAAGTACGAATTTGTTTGTGAATTTGTAGAGAAAGAAAGAATTTACAATTTATATGCATGTTTTGCCTACTTCAGATGTTTTTTGTAAAAAATATCTTTCAAGAAGCATTGCAGAATAAAAGGTGTTAAATACAATTACATTTATTGTCATAAAGATTCAATCTAAAATCATTATTTATCGATCAATATTAAAAATAGTGTCTTGATTTCTGTTCTTAGCAACGATTATAAATTTGCAAACTTTTTCAATTTCTGATAGTGATCGTACCTCTGAACACTTTCATAGTAATTTACTCCTTAAAAGGTTTATAAACTAAACAATTATCTATATCCTAATAGGTTTTTTATGGAGAGCCGAGTTGACCTGTGCCGAGATGACCTGTACTAAGTTGTTATAGGGCCGAGTTGACCATTTACCTATCGCGTCACCAGTATATAGCAAATTATTCTTACAATATACACTTAGCATTGAGTTGACCCAATCTATGAAAACATCTACATCATACTGCTTTAAAATTGTTTACAATTACTCTAGGCAGGTAAACATTAATGAGACAGCTAATGAGATACATGGGAATCCGGGAACCAGTCCCTAGCTCTTATTGAATAGACCCCTTGGTTCTTTTACATGCCCAGTGTATAGCACTGATACATTCGAGGATTACCTGGATTTCTTACCAGTACACCTCTGGGTAGGTGGGAAACACTTTAAGTGTCTCTGAAAAATCACAAGGGTGTAACCCAAGATTGAACCCGGAGTGATTATCAGTGGTCTAACCAACTGTCAGTTGAATAATAATAATAATTATCATATGGCATGTTCAATATCCGTATAATTCCAACCGAAATGTTTAGTTAAACACCTGGTAAATTACAAGGAACTTCCTCAGCTTCAACTGTTCAATGCCAATGGCACCATACATTTCTATTTTAGTGATTTTACATCGGTACAAGTCAACCCGGCCCCAAGTCAACCCGGCCGCAAGTCAGCCCGGCCCCAAAGTGGTCAACCCGGCCCCAAGCCAATGTTATTTCTGGTCAACCCGGCCCCATTTTTTTATTATTTATTTTGCTTTAAAATATAAACACTTATCAAGAAATGATAGAAATACGATAGAAGTATTAAGAAAAAGCTATGTTATTGTATGTAAAAAAAGAAAGAAATGACCAAAAGCACACTAAAGTGTTTCCCTGAACAGTTTTAAAGTAATATTAATTATAGAGATGCTGCCATCTATCACAGGTATCGCAGGTCACTGCTTCCTGTCTGTCACGCACAATATATCCATAATCAATACAGTTATCAGTCATGACGACATAAAGTGATTTAACACAAAACACTTTCAATTTTTCAAACACTTAGTAATATTCCAATACTTTTTTACACAGTAAATATTCTTTGAAAATAAGTTAATAAAAAACGAAACAAATATTAATTATACTGATGAACGTATTTAATAGAAACATTCAAATGAACTGAAAAAGAGATTGTTGGAAACTTAATTTATACAAACATTTTAACTCGAAATTCAATGCATTTCTTCCTAATTAATTAACACTCACGAAACCATCTTTAATTTACATCGAATAAAGACATGAAAGATACTACCAACTTATTTATAGCTTTTTAAACTGTTTGATTATCACATCTGAAATAATGTTGATGTACATATATAGGTGTTGATGTTATATAATTATTCATTATCACTATTGCGTATTAAACTGTTAAAGTCTTAATCGGCACAATTAAATTTACTGACATTTTTATGCCAGTTCATGTTGGTTTTTTTACAATTGTTCTTTAGTTTATAATATTCAATTAATAATAAACCATTTTTATTCCATCATACAACAAAATGACCTGAATAGTTTTCTTTGAAAATATATATTTTGGGGCCGGAATGACCGATTTTGGGGCCGCACTGACCAATTTTGGGGCCGCATTGACCAAATAAAAACTCTGTGGGGCCGGATTGACCAATTTTGGGGCCGGGTTGACCAATTTTGAGGCCGGGTTGACTTGGGGCCGGGTTAACTTGGGGCCGGGTTGACTGTAATTCTTTTACATAACTCACAAACCAAAAAAGCAAGTTGAGCCCCGAGCTTACCGTGTTGTCATTTGCCTGGAAAATAATTCACTCAGATGCAAGATGAGCAAACAGGTTTTCTGTTACCCTTTGTGAAACAGAAGTTGAAAACTTTTCAACAGATTTTGACCGGTTTTCTTGCAATTTCTCTTTTCTGAACAAATTACACACTGTCAAAATTTCTGTATTAACTTGACTTGCTACACCCTCTAATAGAAAATCCGGACAAAAAGCTGACAATACAATTATGAAGGTTTTTCCTCCATATTTCTTCTTTGACCCGTTCAGGACGAGTTTTGTTTTTATACTGACAGCCATTTTGAACATCGTGCCTAAAAAGGCGTTAGAATTGGGCAATGATTGGACAAATGAAGGAGGTTAACCTTCCAGTTATCCAATCAGATATGTTCACTCATGGCTGAATTTCAGTTGGTTATCTTCGGACACTGTAGACTGGTCCCCTGCGAACTTCTAAAAAGTACGACAGGAAACCTCCAGCGAATGCAGTTATTTCATTGGTTAATCGATATATGTAAACAAATATGGCCGCCGGTGGCTGAAGAGCGTACAGAAATTTAGTAATATTTCTGGTATTTTTACTTTTTCGAGAGGTTATATTTGCGAAATTTATTTTCAAAACCGTAATATGTTAAATAAGTAAAGGCATAATAATAATGAATACATTAGAGGACTGTTTGTTTTAGCCTCTGTTGGGAATAATTCAATGTAATCAAAGCCATTGATTAAGATCCGTCCCATTACCGATTCGACCCATATAATTCAAAGATTATATGAAATAAGATTATATTTCAAAATGGTTGTGGCTTATTTTCAAAATGGTTTAAATTTATAAAACATCAAGAAATCAATGTTTTCTAATTTTTTCCATCCATATCTAGTACACAACTCTAGGGACAGTTTCCTTGAGGGAATTTCATTTTACATTTTGTCCTCCCCCTTATAAAATTTAAATGTAATTTCCTATGGTTGTCAGTCATCATGAGAATGATATACATTACTTATAGGTAAGAAGAGTCTACTTCTTTGAACCAACCAGTATTTGTGTCATGATGAAGAAACATGGTTGTGACCCGATTAGTGCTTGATTTTGTTTGTTTGTTTGTTTCATTTTACGCCTTTTCCCCAACAGTATTTCAGACATAAAGGCGGGTAGTTTCCTAACCATCATTCCTGGATAGTTACACCAGTACAAGACGACCTTCCTCCGTGCCAAACTACCTAAGCATCTCCTGGGGATCGAACCCACGCCAGAGAGGTATCTGGATTGGAAGTCATCGACTCTAACCCCTCGACCAAAGAGGCGGTTGATTAGTGCTTGAATCCAGGATACATATGTTGAAAGGTAGACACCTTAACAAACACCAGGCCACTGCTCCTCTTAATTTTTTATTTCTCACTGACCTTTCAAAAAATTAAATGATTCAAGCTTCGGCCAAAATAAGGAACAAAAGGGAGGAACAAGTTTTTGATTTTGTTTAAATGACATTCAAAATTTTGATTTGATATTGAATTACTGGTGATAAGGTACTTCCCCACAAGAAATTATTAACAATATGCCACAATAACAATTTGCCAGAGTTAAATAATGATGCACCATTGTACGATTAAAGCAAAAATTGAGTAAAATTTACTCAAGAAGCGAAATTTAAAATGGAAAATAATTAATAAGATTTCAGCAACTGTTTGAAAATGCCCCATTATGAATGTGTAAAAAAGGTATTTAAACACATGGCAATTTGTTATGTGATGAATTTTTATTGTTGCGAATCATCAAAATGTCAAGTAGAAGATTGACCTACAGACTATTGCATGTATTTGAAGCAGTAATTGCCAACTGCACTTTTTTCCGGAATCCACCAGCTTGCTTGAAGCCTTGTGAGCAACTAGCTATGACTGATAATATAATTCCATGCAATCATCAATAATGGTTTAGGATATTTATGTGCACATGAAACATATTGTTGAAATTTACTTAAAATTTTTTTGTAAACTTGATGTAAACATTTCTTACAATTTCAGATGTATAGAAATGCAGTATTTATTGTATTCACTGTATTCATCATGTTAGGATAATGAAAAGCAACAAAAATATGGTCATATAGACTGTTAACATAATCTTCACTATTTTTTCCAACATTTAAATACTCATTTAATGATTATGAATGTCAAATTGTCAATGTCAATTTGTTGATACCACATCATTTTTTTTTTCTCACAGTTTTCAAAACAATCTATTTTATATATCAAGATAAATCAGAAAAAGGGAAAAAATATGAAATCAAATTCCAACAACTATGAATGGAATTCACCTACACATTTAATTAAATTATCAATTCAATTTAACATATATGGCATAGGCTATCTATAACAACTTTCTTTCAATAAATTTTATCAACTAGCAGATAATCATATAAGTCAGCTGCTTTTAAGTCATGGTTCTGGTGAATAATGTGCACAGGGCATTTCAGTTGAAAAATAGCATTTTGAGGAAAAAGTCTTTTTTTTTGGCTGTAAAATTTAGGAAAATAATCACTGCACATAAGTAAGGTAGTAAACAAATACCAGCCAAAAATACTTTAATTGTATCTATTTTATCATGTTAATATTGTTTCTGTAAATTTGTAGAAATATTAATAGTTTTCTATAAACATTGTGGCTGATACTATGTCTCCTATAGTTTAATTGGTAAAACACCTCTGGTTTATTGATAACTCATGCAAACTAAGAGGAGTTCTGAGTTCAAATCTCAGTAGGAGCAAGGATATTGGCTATATTATAAAATCAAATCTGTAAAAGGATAAACATAGATAAATGTTAAATTTTCTGTTTACCTTAAGACCAATGTTTTAATAAACTTCAGAAATAATTGCTAGTAAAATTTTGATAGAATGGCTATGTGTACTACCATATTTGGAATATTTATTCATTTAAAATATATTGTTTTAGTACATGTTCATAATGTTAAAGAGCTTAAAATATAGATTAAGAATGTGGAGTGAGTAATAGGGAATTGATGGTCTACAGAATATAGGCCTAATTAGCTAATAATATACATGTAACTATTAAAAATATATAGAATTCTATGTCAATGAAATTTTCAGTGTCAGTTTTAATAGGGTGCCACTATATTAAATGTTACTCAATAATAATATCCAGTGTTCCGAGTGAAAACAAAAGTTGTGCATGAAATACTGAATGGAAAAATGAACCAATTTTTTAACTGACTTCCCTGTCCATAGACTTTGCCTAATTTCATATTAAATAAGTCAATTCAAGATTCCTGAGAAATAATGCCTTTTTACATTCTTCCAAACTTTTTTCATGGATTCCTTGCCATTGAAATTCTACAAGTTATTAAACCTATGCTTTTTTACATCTAAATGATTTTTAAACTTTTTTTTTTTACTTTTCATGCCTTTTCAGATTTTAAATATGTGTATGATCATATAATCTGTCACTTATTTTAAGAATCAAGTCAAAACAGTTCAATTTTTCTCAGGTGTTGAAACAGTTTTTTTTTTTTTTGGTTGCTACATGTATTTGCCATAATTTGGATTCTTTCTAAATAGAGGCTATTTTACCAGCCAATGGTGAAAATGTTTTGTAGGGGAGGGGTGTGCCGTGGTGGAATTAACCATCTCTAATGAGGTATAAAACATTGAAGCTACTGTTTTATGTCTGTTATATGAAACAGCTACAAGCCTACCAGGTACATTGTACATATCTAGTATCTATGAAATGTGACATTGTGTATACATTTCTTCATGTTTGGTTATATTCCGTCACTGACAGTGCTATGTATGGCAAGTTAACCATTTTTTACAATTTGTGTATCATAATTATGACATAAAGAATTACTTTAGTCAAAGAAATTCAAACATTTTTCACTGAATCGAGGGAAAAACTTGTTTCATTATTGTTGTTGTTGTGGCGTTCTATTTTTACCGTGGAAACCCAAAAGCGGTTTCATTGGCTATTTTAATCTAGGACATTATCTGATTGGATAAGGATAACAGGTGCTCGACTGGTTTTAATTTTGCGTTCATTATCTGGTTCTTTGGAATAATTTATATACGACGCAGTCCATTGGACAGAAATCTGTCCAATACGCTTGGGGGTTTCCTGATCCCATTATGGGCAGCCATCTTGGATGGGAACCATAATAGGACAGGGAACCAGATTACGGACACTGTGGACAATCGTAACAACTCGGCAATCTCCGTCAAGTTCGGATATTGAATTGAGTTGCGAATTCTTGAAGTCGCCCGAGGTGTTCCGATTGACACTGTGGATACACCGAAGGAAAAATCGCATCTTTCCGGCCCTTTCCGTCAAACTTGGGATATGCGCATGGCAAACGATAATAGCCGAGATGTACCGATGAGTTCCGATAATCTGGTTCCCTGTCTTATTATGGTTTTTATCCACTTAATAGAAGTGAGCAGAGACCATTCCAGTTTCGTGTAGGTTGAACATCACAAAAACCACTAAATATTTTCCTTCTTTGACGAGTCATTTATTTATGTGTCTAGATGATTACCCGACACCGAAGTATTAACAACGAAACACGTCATTATTATTTTATCTACAGTGTTAAAGAATATAGCTTTATATTCATTACAAAATTCTGATACGTTACATTTATGTATTGTCATAATATTGTTATATGAATTATTTATGAATTTCATATAACAATATTATGACAATACATAAATGTAACGTATCAGAAACTAGGCATGGAAAGTTATGTCAGTATTGTATATGACAACCCATTTCTTGTAAGTATTGAAGAACTGGAACATATTACAAGTTATAGTGTGTAATGTTCTGCAAATTCTGATGACACAATTTTGGTTTTACATTTGAATATTGACAATCAATAGTAATAAAAATATCATTTGCTTATTTATGATTTCTTAAATTATTCTTTTTATTGGATTTTCTAGAAAATTTAAGTGTATAAAGCTACATATCTGGTGTAAAATTTATTGTTTAATTTTTTAAAATGCACAAAATCACTGCTATAAATAGATAAAATCATACTTAAAATTGCAGCATCATTCGTATATTTGTTCCGGAAACATTTTATTATGTGTACGTACAATATTCATGTACATTCAATATTCATAAAATACTGGGAAGAGCTTAATCTAATGTTGCTAGAACTTGTTGCCCAACATTTACTTTTTGTTATATACTCATCATTTGTATAATATTTAACATGTATTTGATGTAATAAAATTTGTTTAAACTATATATCACAAGAAATATTCTGTTACATCTCCACAGAAATGATTTATACTATTAATATTGTGAAAGTAACATAACATTATTTTACTGTTTATACAGAAGCTTTATATTCACTTTAAAATACAAAAAAAAATTGTTGTTTTTTTTTTAAACCTTTACCGTTAGAATCCAGAATAAAATACAGAATATCTTTGTGACTGTGTCTGCGAGCACGACTTTGAACGTCCAATAAAAACACTCTGGTCGAGATTTAATAAGAATACATGTGTGTCTTGCTTATTGATCACTTTAAAACCAAATTAAATTTAATCCATTAGTAAGGAAGAAGAATTCATATGGGAACCTAAATTAAAATAAAAGTATGTTGTATATTTCATATTTTTTCAGATAACGTTTTATTAATTTATACTCTTTGGTAACGTATTTTTTGTCTCAGAAACAGATTGTGTAAATAAACGTTTGTAACAAGTTTGCATGTCCTCTTCGTGCGGCGATAGAAGCTTGACATCAAATTCACCTTAAAACTTATAAAACCTTTATTAATATATGTATAGAGGAGGCCCTATATAATTATAAGGATTCGACGCTCAAAAATGAAAACGAGATTAAATGGAGTATGATCGATATGTATTTGATATTAATTGTACTCTGAAAATTAAAACGAGGCTATATAGGCATTTAATTGATATTGATTTTTTTACAAACGAGGCTAAACTGGATCAAATAATAATTTCTATATTGGAACGGTTTTGTATTATGTCTATTATAATATCCAATATACGAGTATCAATGTCATGCATTTTGGAATTGGAATTACAACTGAAAATTAAAAACTGATATATGCCGAACATTTCTGAACAGAAACTATACTCTACTTCCTATTTTCGCAAGAAAGGTTCAATTTAAAATACAGCTAAGCTCCAAGTGATTGTCATTTGGAATACGTATGCGCTGGTTCACTGGTTTTGCTTATCCATTGACTGGGAATATTCTTTCAATGATGATCGTGTTGGTGCATATATCATATACACATTCCATGGCATGTAGTTCTGTCAAATATTGCCTGATTCAAGAGCATAAAACAAGTTTTTAACATTCATGCATCACGTACTCCCTGCATCTGCGAGCTTAACTATAAGAGGATGTTCCTCTTAAAGTGCCTTGAATTGCTCACCGCATAGGACAGTGCTGGCACATATCGTGCACCCTCCAAGGTTGGCAGTTCAGTCAAATTCTGTCCAATTCAAGCGCATGAAAAATAAAAATAAATAAAAAATACAATAATAAAAATGACATTCAACACTACCTGATACAGCGAGGGATCTGTGATGTTCAGTTGAAGAGGGCAACGCAGGACCTAGATCGCTCACCTGAGATTTGCATTGCTGTAATTGGTGGATATCTTATTGGATTGGACTCAAGTATATAGTTACTGGTTCTAAGTTTTTGGTAAAGTAATGGTAATTAAGAAGCCTGAGGAAAATTAATAGTAACACCTGGATAGGCCATTAATTAAATATTAATGTCATCAATCTGATCTGTTTTGTTATTACGGTTGCTTGGCCCTGTGCTTGAACGATTCGGGCCTGTAGTCACCCCGCAAACTAATCTGGCTACATTTAAATCAAATTTATACTAGAGCTGCACTGGATTGATCAATACCCCCACCATCTCTGTGACACAGGATTTTGAATTGGTCCATTTATCATTATTTATCTTTTATCCATGTTGGATTAAAATGATAATTTATTTATGTTTAAATGGCTGAATGGAATGAAAGAAAACATAACATGAATATCAAGCTCTAGATAAGCCTTAGTTATTGAGATCTGGAAGGTATTTCATGTACAATACTATGCCAAATCAAACCAAAGGGCGGACCGATTTTATTTGAACAAACTTAGTTTCAGTAGGTGATACATACTCTGTATCTAAGCTGTTAAAATCTGGAAACAAAGTGACCCCTCGGAAGCATTAATCACAACAAAATTACACGAAAATCGCACTCGGTTAAATGCAGTATGTACACGAGGGACAATGAATAAGAGCAACATCCCTCACGACCCCTAGCACCGGTTTGAGCGGTACTCAATTGTAAGCCTTACGCTTTCAGTGATTTTCAAACATATATATATTTATTGCTTCTTTCACCCACATGCGATGGACTAGGACCTTTTGAACTTGGGTAGAGCTTCATGCAAGGAACATAAGGTAGTTTGTTTTTTTACATGAAAGTTATAATTGACCCAGAGTGATGATAGAACTATCAGGTTCTTAAACCTATAAATTGACCAGAGTATATATATTATCTTCCAAAAAAACTATAGTCACCAATATTTTTCTTAAAGACTTGCCCATATAGACAGCTGGTTGCGAGCGAAAACACACACACATCTATAATTGTTGAGCAAGAGCTATATAGAGTGCCATGCTCGTGTCCGATATTATGAAATTTATCATACAATGCAAAAATAATAAATATCACACTGTGGGAATTTAGTCAGTGGTCTTATGTAGATTGTTTTTGGTTGTCAATTAAAAGACTTTAAAATTATCTTGATCCAAAGATTATCCGTTTCATATTTTAGGAGGAAAATATTTCGTTCATTTAATTTCATATCACTATGTACTGATTTAGGTGTCCGATATAGCTGGGGATGACTGTTTAAAGCTAAATTTATCAAATATGCATTTATCAACAGAAATCTATGTAATGATATAATCAGTGTACATACGTATGTTATCTTTTGAAAGAATATTATGCCTCGACATTATGGTCAGGTCTGCACAATTTTGGTGTTTCGCACATCTTTTTGAGGGCGCTTTAGTGAATGGTTACTATGGTACATCATAACTGGATACACAATGTAAAATCGTAATCTTATCAGTTTGGTACAATACAGTACATTTCAGTCTATTAAAACCCTTTTACATGTAGTTTCTGGTTAGATTCCTGGTTATTTTTCTATAAAATTTATGATCAAAATGTCCCCCCAAGACTGGGATGCTTTTCAATCTTGGGGCCTATTGATATTACTTTATTAGACCTCAAGGTTATGCTTCATGACATTTAACTATCTAAAATATTGTTGTACAAGGGAAACTAAATGATCATTTCATTGCATCATTGTCACAATCTACCTTGTGGTATCAAAAGCATCATACAGTGAAGAGCTGAATTCAAGGCACCACAACTGTTTTAAAGTTATTTAAAAGAAAAGCTAAATACACAAGGAAAATTTTTAAAAAACACTAGCTGTTTATTTTTTTCCATAATTATACAATAAGAGACGACATTTTATAAAAACAAATTTGATGGCATGTAAGAATAAGATCACTGATAAAGTCTATTTTGTCTGTTGTTTTAGCAAGTGCGTAACATGAGACAATGGATGACAACAATGATGATGACGATGATGAATCGGCCTATTTACATCAAGGAATTTGCTTGCATCCTGAAATACATATAGAAATAAACAATTTAATAGTACTATGTAATAATGCTGTTGTTAATTGACAATGATTAACTCCAAAACAATGTCCATAATCTCACAGGTTATCATTTAAGGGATCATTTGCACATAAAAGGCTTATATTTTGACCTTAACCAGAGTGCCAATGCATTCTGCTGGTTATCTATCCTGATGTATTGTACTTTGGACTAAAACCTTTATGAAAATTTTCAATTTTCATTAAATACTTGCAGTGACTCTAGAACAGGAGATACAAAAACATTTCAGACAAACATACAGAGAATTAAAGATACATCTGGTTAACAATAATTAGAATCCGGGAAGATCACATTCAGAATAAATTTATTAATATGAAAAGAAAAAAAAATGTAAACAATGTTACACTTACTGAAGTTAAAGACTAGTAAGGTCTGTATCCGCTGTTTGACCCACCTCTGTTACTTTTAGGTGCCTTTCCGTATCCACCACCAGCTTGTTGACCTGAAGTAACGGGCAATATCTCACCATGAATTACATTGTTTTCATTCAACTTAGTATTGGACCATTGTTCAGCATTGACTAATAATATATTGGAATACATTTCATGAATGGGTGACAAATTTGAAATTCAATGATGGTTATAACAATATGAATTCCTTTTTAGCAAGGCTTCTATTATGGTTTAATATTTAAATCAATTTTCTACAATGACTTTTATTGGCAGTTAAAATAATACAACAAAATATAAGAATGAATCTGTCAGTACATTATCCATGTTCACAACTCATTATTATACTAAAAGTTATTAAAATATACCTCTAAGACATGTAGCAGCATGTAATTATATATAACAGTTTTATATCTACTGATATTGTACAATTATGTAAATGTTTGCTACACATATCACATCTGTTTACTATTAAATGTCAAATTCCATCCTTTTAACTGCTGCTAAAGGAAATTTATAAGGTTGTTGTTGCTTAATTTTTTTGACATCTTAAGGGGGTTCCATATTTCCATACCCTTTCTTTATAACTTAATACAAAATTTGCTGGATCAAATAAATAATATCATCAGGAATATAACTGAAGATTAGAACATTACCAGATTGGTCATATCCACCCCAGCCTCCACTGTAGTCATAGCCACCACCACCACCTAAACAAACAATTTATTCTTAATAAATCTTTAACTATAAATAGTAAATGTAATTTCAGTGCTTTTTTCTTCTCTCAAGGTATGTTAGAATTTTCAATACACAACAGATTTTAGACTGATGTTTATATGTCTGTGGACAGCACAATCCTCTTTTCTCAGTTGTTGAAAACTAATGAAAAGTATTATGAAAGTAGGAAAGCGAACACAAATTTGCAAAACTGTTTGACATACTGACCTGCCCTTAATAGTATTTAAAGTTTCGATTGAATATCTGATGGTTTTTCTTGAAAATATTTTTGGGAAAACCAGGTTAAGTAATGAATCAAAAATAAATTTCTAGGGTTATATAAAAGCATTCCAGTATGATGGTAAACAAGTTAATTTAGTTTAAGAGTACCTAATTTAATCAAAATGTGGGCAAAAGTTAGTAAAAAGCAAAACAGTAATTGAGAACATGAACCCTAATATGCAAATACAGAGAGGACCATGACAATACCTTTACTTTCTTTCTTTGAAAAATGGAGCTAAATATCTTATAATTACCTCCATAACCACCATAGCCGGCGTAATATCCACTCTGATCGTAACCTCCCCATCCACCTCCATACCCGTAGTTAGGATCATATCCGCCATAGCCATATCCACCATAACCATAGTTTCCGTAACCTCCATAACCATTTCCATACCCACCATAACCTTGGTTATAGTCATTCCATCCTCCATATCCACCATAACCTAAAATATCAATTATTGTTACATAATCTCTCTACACTCTTGTTTAGGAAGGGTAATCCTTATCAGGCATTTATTTTTTCCCCCTTTCCTAACTAATGAAAGCAAAAATACGGTTTGGTAGGTAAATTCTTTAAATTTTCCATTAAATGAACATACATTAAAAAATTAGCATTATTTTTTTTAAGAACAATTTACAGTAATAGGTCTTCATCTATATATGTTAACAACTTAGCATGATTTAATGACTGAGAACATGCACACATTTTATGAAGTGAGTGGAAAAACATAATTTTATCCTTTTTTTATTCAGGGAAAATATTTTGACTAGCAGCAAACTCATTGGGTGGGCAATGAAGGGGCAACATTAACATACCGCCACGTCCGCGTCCTCCACGGCCACCTCTGTCACCAAAACCACCACGTCCTCTACCACGATTTCCTGGTGTTGCTTTCTTTATCTCAATCTGTAAGCAGACGCATACAGCAGTAAGTATAACAGTCTGTTTAAATGTTTCCATAAGGAATAATATCCCATGAAACAAATTACATTACAGTATAATGAAGAAATCCAAGCTGAAAGCTCACAAAACCATTTACAACTTTACTTAACCTGTTGAAAACAGAAAAAACACGTTATAACATATAAGTTTAATGCTACAAAATGAAAGCAGTAAGAAACTTAGCATGACCAATACCATGAAGAAACAATGATAAGTTATTAAGATTATTATCCGATCAATATAGAATTTCTGGACTTTTTATTAAATCATTTCGTGTATTACATAAAGCGGAGGCACCTCCTTGTGAGACCTCACGACGCCAGATTTCTGCTCCTATGTCTCCACTCATTTGTCTTTGTAGACTGCTGGAAGTGTAATAAGAAAGCTCGGTCACATTCACAAATCAAGCAGTGGAGCCGTTTTTACTTAATTTTTAAACTCTACTTAAAGAGCACCAGCTGATGAGAGCTTTTACCATTAGTTGACCAGGATTACTTACTTAATTACCACAAATGTCCCAACTCATATATATATATATACTTTAACAAAGATGCTAAAAAACATTTTCACTGAAAAAAGCTAGTGCAGAAAAAAGATACAAGTTATACGATTGCATAAAATTATTTTAAACAATTTCCATATTTACCCTTTTAAAGCAGGAACTGAAACAAATGTAAATTTATGAAAGTATTCAATTCACAGGAGTGCCATTCTTAAACAATTGTAGGGTATTCTCTTACCTCATCAGAACCAATTTTGTGTTGGAAATCTGGATTTTCTGTTGTGTGATTCAACACTTTATTAACAGTCTCTTCTGTATCAAATTCAACAAATACAAAGTTCCGTCTTGTTTCCTTTTCCTTGTCAAAAGGTGCCTCTATTTTCTCAACCTACAACAATATACCCATTTACTATTACACAACAGAAATAAAATTAAAACTGAAATTTATCACACTGTTCCGTGCCCTTTACTTCCTATCAATTTATTCCAGAATTAAGAATATTTAAAGTTATCACAGCTACAGGGATACAGATTAATTTGCATTTCAAATAAGTAAAACAGGTTGACTTGTCTATTGTGTACCTCTATGCAATGAGAAACTATAGAAGTTTCATTGTACCAAGGGGTTAGCTTGAACACACGCAACTCATATTTTCCAAACTATAACCAATTTCACATCTTTCAATAATATTATAACTTACCCATAAATATTTTTTGAAAAACTGATGTTTTCTCTTGAATAGTTCCCAAAGTTTCAGAGAAACCCTTTTCCCATTTAAGCAGACTTTTCAATTTTCAGGGGAACAAATCTGTTTGGTATGAGGAAAGAAAATGAATATGGTGTACATGTAATACTGATGTCACACTCTATACATCACTTAAAAGCAAAGTTTTGACATAAATAAGAAATATTCCAGAGTCTTACCTTTCCCCACTGTGAAAAGTATTCTTTTATTTGGTCCTCTGTTGTGGTTGGGCTGACTTTGGCTACATAGATTTTCTTAATTGGTGGTTCCTGCCATTTACCTTTTGGATTTGCTCTTTTAGGGTCTATAGTTTTTCCCTGAAGTTTGTGTTCTTTTTCAGCTAAAACCTTCAAAGTAGTTAAAATGTGTTATTAAGCAGGAATGAATCTAACAACAAGAATTCTAAATTAAAAAGAGTTAAATACAAAAAATAAACTTTAAAGAATAATACTTTAATAATAAAAGCTTAAATTCTACCAACTGTACCTTATCAAAATTTTTACTTTGCTACAAGAACATTGAATGGTCATGGTTTTTTAGGTTCACTAAATCACAGAGTAATGTTAAACAAGGTTAAAGTTGACAGTATTGTCCTACATATGGTGAAATAAAATCAAAAACAACATTGTTGTGGTACAATACATATTTTTCATTCTTTCATGTTTTTCAATCCAATTACCAATATTCAGTTATAGAGCAATATATCTTATGCATTCTTTCTTACCTTTTCTAATGAGTCTGATTCCTCGAATACTACAAAACCAAATCCTCTTGACCGATTGGTTTCAAGATCTTTCTTTAAATTACAACTAACCACTTTCCCATATTTTGACATATATTCTTGTAAATCAGCTGGAAAAGTAAACATAATTGCTTAAAAACTGGATTAGCCATGTAATTTATTAAAATTAATACCAATTACAGCAATGTCCTTAACATTTCTGATGTACTAAATACAACAATCAGTAAACAACAGCAGCTGTAAAAGCATAATTATTATATTGCATATTGATGATATATCCATACCACATGACAATATCTTATATCAATGATACAAAAATATTTTGATAATTTCTTGTAATGACATGTCTGTAATTCACTTTCATACCTGTTTAAATAATTTCAGTACAATTCATAAGATGTTCTATACATACACTAATAATGCATCTCAATTCTCATAAAATGTACAGGCAACCAATAAAATTAAACTCTTAATGCTGATCAGGCAAAGAAAATGACTCTTCATCAGACAATATGACCAACAAATTATTAATGCAAATGTGTAGTGATTCATTTAGTGTGTGTGTTGGGCAGGGTTTCAGGGGAGGGTACAAGGCAAATGTCCCAATACAGTGATTCCCTCCCCCCCCCCCCCATGTATTTTACAGCCAAATAAAGGCTGTTTCTCCCAACTCAAAATAGGCATATTTTCCCCTAAGAAAGCTAATATGCTAATATTTTCCCCTGAAATGCCCTGTGCACTTCTTCACCAGAACAATGACTTAACAGCATCAGACCTGTTTTATCAGCTAGAAGACAGACAGCTGTCCCTATAGCCTGTGTGATGTACCATGCATGCTAAATTGAATTGAAATTGAAAATTTTATAAAATGTGTGAGTAAATTTCATTCTCAGTTGTTGGAATTTGATTTTCCCCTTTTCTGATCTTATCGCGCTACATTTTCCCCTTCAGAAAGCCACAGGTTGTTTTGAAAATAGGAAAAAAATCACTGCTATACCAATGATGGCAGTTCAATTTTTAAGTTTATTTCTCATGCAATATTGTCATTACAGTACAACAAAATGCAGTTGTTTTTTCTTCTTTTTCTCCCACTCATATTAAAATTCAAAACCACAAGTTAAAATGAATAAGGTTATTGATTATATTACTAAATGAAACAGCATATAGCAAGAATAAGTAAATTTTTGTAACCTTTAACAAAACTTTCAAAGTCAACATACAAATATGAAAGTTATCTCATTACATTTGTTAATGTAAACAATCAATAAAACATCTCCTCTGAAGTTGAAGATTTTAGTATAAAATTAAGAATCCGGGTCAGCTCGGCCCTAAACGTACTCGGCCCCCCGAGTCAGCTCGGCCCTATTCCAACTCGGCCCACTTTTCAATAATGAATATTTAGGTTTGTGTTAACACTATTTATTGTGATTATTGTAATTATTTATATAATACACGGATTGACAGTTTCGAACTAGCAGCAGACAAGCTATTGCGAGTAAAGATAAACGATTGCGTATCTCACTGTATTTCTACAACTTCTGTTCTGTTCTTTATTACTTTAACTAGATAATGCACAGACAAGGTCTTTCTATTTGACAGAAGAAAAAAAACGTATGACAGGTGCATATGAATTTCGGCAGCAATCAATGCGCTTATACGGTAGAATTAATTAGAAGCTTATGATATTAAGTAAACACGTTTTTGTTCATATTTTTTTAAATATTACTTACAAACACATTTTATTAGAATCTAGATCTATATTAATTTTATCGAATCTGCAAGACAGATAAATAACTTTTTTTTCTTCTAAATATACTTTATTTCAGAAGAAGTACAATGTATAATTATATAATAATAAGATATCTCTTATTATTCATTTACCTTAACAACATGCAAAGCAAAGTTAATACGTTACATATATTTTTGTAAAGTGGGCCGAGTTGACCCGTGCCGAGTTGACTCTTTTCCTAAAATTAATAGATCTCTAAATTAATGGATTTAAACTTCTTTAAAAATAAAACTCAAAAAATATGGATTGTCCTACAGATACCTGGCAAAATCAAATAAAAAATTCAGTAGTCATTTTCCTAAATTTATAAATATCCAAATACTTAAGAAAGCAAAAATTTAACAGATGACTTACATTCTTTAGTTTCCCAGCTTAAACCTCCAACAAATAACTTCCTGCAAAATAAAACAAACTTTCACATCAACATAGAATTCTACGAAGATCACTATACTAATATTACGATAGCCTACAAACAAAACTATGGCAGATATACAATTTCAACTAAATAGTTAAATTAACCGCACAATGTACATGCCGCAGAAACCACGTGACATCGTCCGCCATAACGTACAATGGAAAAAATCTGAATATATCCAATGTTGAACATTTCTTTTAAAATTGTAATTTAATTCCCCAAAAATGTAAAACAGCTATAATGGTATAACAATAGTAACACCATATAGAATTTATTAATTCTACTTCTGTTAATTAATACAACGCTTTAAGATGTCTTAAGACATGTAAGAAGGAGCCGGTGACAAAAGAAAATTACCGATACCTGTCGTCATCACTTTCGCCTTGTCCACCATCACCGTTTGCTGCTCCATCACCTGCACCATGTTCCGCCTGTTGTGCATCCATTGCTTCTTCGTTTTGCCCACTTTGATCGTAATTCTGTTCTTCAGACATTCTTGATTTCTTTTATTTTAGTCGTCTCTAAATTTCCAAAATGTCGGCCGCATGCACACGCTCTCGTTAATCTGCCGATTGGTTGAAATTATGTCACGTGAATGGCAATCGATAAGTAGGTAGTAAAGTCCTAAAACTTATTGCGAACACCTCTAAAATATACTTAAGCATGATGGGGGTTCTCAAACTCTATTTTGAAGACAATGGCAATACAAAGTCCGAGCAGAAATTCCGATAAAAACATTATGATAATATATTGGTCACCTAATTAATTGTCTCTCCACCTAAAAATAGATAAATACAGAATCCCTAAAGAAAGCCCAACACGGCAAAATTGAAAATGTTGCAGGCTCGGTTTGATTGAGTCTTCTTCCGGGTAATGTGCTGGGCCCCTCTGGAGCATCGTCGCACAATTGTGACTATTTACATGAGTGAAGGGAACATCAAGTGCAGCTAAAAACAGGTTAAAAACACCATGCTCCAGAGTTACTCGTGCAGCGCACCCATCCTCGTCTTGAAGACCTCTAGGGACGGGGCTGTCATCACGACTTCTGGTAGGCTGTTCCAAAGTCGGATCCCAGAAGGAAAGAACGAATACTTGTATGAGTTGACACTGGTAAAGGGTTGTAGGTACCTGTTGGCATGGCCTCGGGTGTGTACTCCAGCAGGGATCAGTATGTGATGGGCTCGGATGAGCCTGTTCATGGACGGTACTGGAAAGTGCAAGTTACCGTCCACGCCCCTAGCTAGCTTAAGCAGAATTCAACATTTAAACATGAAATAGTAAAATTTTGAATTTAGGAACATCCGCAGATGTGTTCATACGGCGGTTATCATAGAACCTTCAATGTGACACTTTCGTGCCATTCCATGGAAAGCGGCGTATGGTCCCCAAGTAATAAAAAGCGTGTACCCTAAACGAGAAAACAATGGGCAGAACTAAATACAATGGAATTTTGAAAGGGGATCAGAGGTTATGAAGCCTGCGTAGCACAGATAAGACGTCAAAAGACACATTTAAAAAGTGCAGGAGTGTAATAAATGGTTTTATTACACTCCTGCGCTGCGGTTTAGGTGGAGAGACAATTAGCTTTATTACATGCTTTTCGGTGGTTTATAGAAATATATCAGTGATATAAAACTGGTAATTTCACTGTTTGAAACAGTGAAATTACCACTTTGATAATTTCACTGTTTTGAATTTAAGCCCCTTTCGTTGTTTCAGTGAAATACCAGCGTGTACAGTACTGGGAACCAACTTAATGACGTGACTTCGTAAATGACGTCACGTTGTATTTTTATTTGGCGCGCTTTTCATTCAATATTAGGTTTAGTGTCTTTTTAAAACGTTCTTTGCATATAATAAAAAGAAAATTTGTTTAGTTTAGTGTAAGATCGAAATTTATCACATAAACCGCGGCACAGGAGTGTAATAAAGCCATTTAATAAAAACGGTATTACACTAGACGATATTATAAACAAGCGAATAATATGTTTATTTATTATTAAATTGATGTATAACTTATGATAAGCTTTTGTAACTTGTTTATGTTGTACTTGATATGTTTTAGTTTAAACGAAATTTATTTCATTTTGTTTGTGTACAATGTACTTGTCGTATTATATATTGAAAAATGTGTCTTGATTGTTGAAAATTTTCATTATTTTAACTTCTTTATAATTCATTTATTATTATGTAAGTTAGTGTAACAATTTTACAGTAAATGGACCCCATTGGAAATAAGCTTTTAGCTTAATGGGCAATCCTAGGGAACATACTCATTAATTAATCTTATAATTATATTTGTTGCATTTATGTGTGTGTTTTTATATATACATTGGTATGCAAATTGATATATGTGTGTATATGTCTATTCCCTGAATAAATCGATTACACTATAGTCTGTCCCATCAAATTTGAACATTCCATTTTTTATTTAATATAATAGTAAAATCATTTAAATTAATGTCATGTTAACCCTGACGTCAATATCTCTAGGCATGTTTTTCATTTTTTTCATAAAGTCAGTAATATGGTCAAAATGTTGAAATTATATTTTTTCCCGTTGACTTACGTTGTAACCTGACGTGACGTCCATTTCAAAATGGCGGCGCCCATATAGACGTCATTTAGGGTTCGTCTCACAGTTAGCGTGAAATGTACTCGATAATTATTAAAAAAATATTACTCTTATTCACTTACTAATCAATAGCTAAATGTTATCATTAAAATGAAAAATGACAATAAAGTTGGAGTCTAAAAGGCAATTTTACTAGCAAACCATTATTTGAAATAATCAAAATCATTTGTAGTGAAAATATCAGTAAGGTTTATAAATTCTAACACACAAACTGAAAGATTTAATTAATTACCATGATATACTGTCGTATTTTATATTTTTTAAGTGATTTGATTAGATATCTTTTCAATCAAGCGCAACGCGTCGTAGGGGAGCGGGAACACTAGCTAGAAGACTATAAAAAATGGTTCTTCGCTAGTTTATGTTTAATTTACATAATTCTGTATTTGTCTGAATTCTGTCTATAAGTGTGTATCACGTCTATTCAAAAATAAATAAATTGACCAGGTTCAATGGGATACAAAAATATGTTACCCTCGTTATTTCCAGAGACATAGATAACATCTATGTCTCTGTTATTTCGGGTGCGATGTTCGTGCGCTAAAACTTTCCGTAGGTTTCAACTTTCACAAGAAATCGCCAACAAATACTACATTATCATGCAAATCTGACAAAAAATATAAAGAAAACTGATTCACTATACGTTCAGCATTGGTTTGCTTGTAGCCACGGTGTCTCCCTCGCTAACGAGAGAACACAGACTCGCGTTCGAAGAAAATGTAAATTATAACAATATAATATCATGCTTTCTAGTTTAAGCAATCGAACGTAGGCCTATACACTTTAAGCTCGTAAATACAGATTTAACTTTCCGTCTCACAATTCAACAAAATGTCCAGAAATACCGGCGGTGATTTGATATTATTAAGAGTAAGTTTGAATTGGAGTGTTCAATAAGCGACAATAAGTGCTTTTTTGTAGTACATATAATTATTTTGTTAATATGAAGGGTAGATCAAGTCAAAGAGAAACACCGAGTGACGTTCTCAATAATTTTAGCCTTCCGAAAATTTGAAAATATTCAAACAAAAGATCTAGAGCATTTTGTTCGCGGGAGAAATACCGCGTATTGTATATTTTGTAGCTAAAAGAGTAGGATTTACAGAAGTCTTGAATAACGATATAATATGTAGGGAAATTATTTTTGAGAAATATAAAAAATAGTTCAAAAACATAAAATCAAAACGAATGTTCTATGTAATTAATGGAAAAAGTATTGTACTGTTGTAGATTCATGTCATTAAGATTTTAGTGTTTAAAGTTATTTTTAAATTTTATCAATAGTTTTATATTATTAATATATGAATTGAAGGTGTAATTTTTTAATTTACAGTTAAGTTGCAAAATCTACTCATTTTAACAGTTTACCACTTTGATAATTTCACTGTTTTGAATTTAAGCCCCTTACGTTGTTTCAGTGAAATACCAGCGTGTACAGTACTGGGAACCAACTTAATGACGTGACTTTGTAAATGACGTCACGTTGCATAATTATTTGGCGCGCTATTCATTTATCATTAGGTAAAAATGTGCTTTTTAACGTTTGATTGCATGGAATAAAAAGAAAATTTGTTTAGTTTAGTGTAAGATCGAAATATATTTCACCTCGTGAACACCAAAAGTTCACATTTCACTCGTGGCTGCGCCACTCGTGAAATATACCTTTTGGTGCTCACTCGATGAAGTATATTCCGATCTTACACTGAACTTAACAAATATCCTCTATTTATATTCGTGTAGATTCAATACTAAATTATTTAACTCGTTGAATAAAACAATTTATTACATGCTTTTCGGTGGTTTATAGAAATATATCAGTGATATAAAACTGGTAATTTCACGGTTTTGAATTTAAGCCCCTTACGTTGTTTCAGTGTTATACCAGCGTGCACAGTACTGGATACCAACTTAATGACGTGACGTCGTAAATGACGTCACGTTGTATTATTATTTGGCGCGCTTTTCATTCAGTATTAGGTTTAATGTCTTTTTAAAACGTTTCTTTGCATATAATAAAAAGAAAATTTGTTTAGTTTAGTGTAAGATCGAAATATATTTTACCTTGTGAACACCAAAAGTTCATATTTCACTCGTGGCTGCGCCACTCGTGAAATATACCTTTTGGTGCTCACTCGGTGAAATATATTCCGATCTTACACTGAACTAAACAAATATCCTCTATATTATGCTCGCCAGAGGCTCGCTTAATATGATTTTATTCAACTCGTTCAATAAATTTAGTATTAAACTACACTCATTCAATATCCTCTATGTATGATTTTTGGTCCCCCAATAATCTTATATTTTTCATGTAATTTTATTGTGATCGATTTACGCTTCTGAGGGATCACCCTTTTTCTATATTTTATAAAAATCAGTAAGAACAACATTACATGTAATGGTCACACAGATGAATTAACCTAGACAGTCAAATATTTTGTTCGAAAATTTGAAAATGCTTTAACTGTTGAAGAAATTGTCAATATCGATATATTTCAAGTAAACACTAAGCTTAAAAATTGTACAGACATAGGTATCCTTTAACTGTAGAAAACTGATTTGTTTAGTTTTAATCCAATGTCATTTTGACTATTCTTGCACCTCTTGGCATGAAAGTTTGAATAAAAGCCTAAAAATTTAACTACAAATAGCTCAAAACAAAGTTATCAGATTTGTTAAAGATAATTAACCAACTTAGAACTAGTTTTAAGTCTCTCAGATTTAACGGATGTGAGCATGAAAAGCATTGAAAAAAATTTAAAAACAGATAATGTGTAACAAATCCAACTTTGTATAAAACCTCTGTTAAAATCTATTTTGCTACAAGCTGAACTGCACAACATACAAGCGATTTACTTTATTGTTGTGTCACAGTGGCATTAGAGTCTATATGAACGCCACCTTCCATTATGTTCTTGCTCAACTTATATTGTTCTTGTTTCTTATTTTCTGTGATTATGTATACCCACTATTATATAGCCTTTATATGTCAAACATCTGAAACTAGTGAGCATATTCTGCAATTTCATTTATAAACATTATCTATTAAACTCACACTGGGAATTAAAATGACCTTAAGTCCTAGACTTACATTTAAAAATCATAACCATAATCAAGTTATAATATTTTATCATCCTTTTTCTGATAAAAATAAAGTTTCATCTCGTTTCCTTCTGGTTCACCCCCCCCCCCCCCCCCACAGGAAATAAACTTTCGAGCTTAATGAGCTTTCCTTGTAACCAAAAAACATTTATAAATTGTTGTTTTTTTTTCATATAAAATAAAATGTTATCTATCTATCTTTCTTCCATTTATGTCAAACCTCTCGCGGGGACATAATTCAGAGTCAGCTATGAGAAACAAGGAAATCCGGGAACCAGTCCCTAGCTTTTATTTATAGACCCCTAGGTTCTTTTTCATGCCCAGTGTATATCACTGAAACATGCGAGTATTAACTGGATTTCAGTACACCTCTAGGTAGGTGGGAAACACTGAAAGTGTCTCTGAAAAATCACAAAGATGTTATACAGGATCGAATCCGGGATCTCAGGAGTGACAGTCAGTGGTCTAACCAATTGACATTAGACGCATACTTACATGATCTTGTTAATATAAAAACTCATTCTTTTAATTTTAGGTATAAAAATGTAGCCATTATCCCTCAGGTAAGAACCACCAGCTATGGCAGCAACTCTTTTCGTTCCTATGCACCTAAACTATGGAATTCACTTCCCCCACACCTCAGACTGGAAGTGAATTATGACCAATTTAAAAGTTTAATTGGTGCATGGAATGGAGAGAGTAACTTATGTACTTTCTGTCAATAAATCTGCATTATAGATTAGCTCCATCTTTAGTTTTGTTTCTTGTCTGCTTTCTTTTGTTTTGCTGCTTACTTACATGTATCTCTTTATTTCACATTTGGCCTAAATTTTGTTAATATTATCAACATAAATGTTTATGTACATGTATTATTTTTCCAGTGTGCTTGAATTTTGTTTGCTTATTGCCAGCTTATTGCGAAGTTTGCTTATTGAGGAGGCTGCTGATCACTTCTTGCAAATTTTGAATTGGGGATTTTTTATTTTTAAAACCTAATTAGTGGTCACATTTTTGTGATCCTTTTCATTTTCAATATCTTATTTCCTTTCTTTTATAACAGTCCAGGCTAGGCCTGGGTCAAGATCAGCAGAATCCACCCACTTTTTATGTAATCTTATTTTATGTATGTGCTAATATGTTCCGCATTTTTATCTAGATATATATTATTTTATTCACTTATGATACAGTAATTAAATGTTATCCTTAGCATATCATTACTATTTATTAATTATTATTATTTTATTTTAAACTATTACATTTAGTGTGTACATCCCACATTATAGTAATTTAACTTGTCTTTTACCATTTGTCTTTCAAAGTTTATCTTAATGTGCTTCTTTTATGAGTTTTATGTTTATATGCATGTATGTCGATCAAAAGCTATACATAGCTTATGTTTTGTAAAATGTTATATATGTATAAATTTATATAAATAAATAAATTTTGATTTGATTTGATTTGCAGGTGCAGTTATTGTTTAGTAAAATATACGCAGTGTGAAATATTCTGAAAAGTATTGCTTGAGAATTTTAATTCTGACTTCCAAACTATTCAACCTACATCAGCCAACAAGAGTAACTAATATTTGAAGGTTGTTACAACAAAACACTTCTCACATATTCCAGGTAATTGTGCATGATAAACTATTTATAAATTAAGTAATAATGTTTATATTTTATCCAATCCAATGAAAGTATTTATAAAATATACATTAAAATTATTATAGATGAAACACTCAGATGTGTTATCTTGTTCTTAAAACAACCAAAAACAACATAATTATGGTACCAATGGTTATTAATATTACAAATCGTATTTTAGTACTGTTACCACTGTCACGGATCTTAATTACAAATAAATCATTGCCACCCTCACACTGTTTATGGAGACGGCCCACTGAATTTTCGACCCATATATCCTATAGTAAATCCATCACATTTAAGGCTAAATTCTGGACAAAGCAAATCCGGTACCGAAACTTCATGACCATTTCTTTAAACACCAATGCAGTCCAAGTAAATTTAGCACAAAAAAATAATACATTAGCCCTTGGAGTTTTTCTGCAGCTTTTAATTTCTGTAATCACTATTATGGAATGCCGGTAGGGACATGCCAATTTGCTAATTTGTCAATTGCTGAATTGCTTATTTGCTAATTGCCGATTTGCTTATTTGCCAATGGCTGATAGTCTTAACGACAAATTTGCTTATTTGCCAATTGCTGAATTGCTAATTTGCTTATTTGTTAACAGCTGGATTACGTATTTGCTTATTTGCCAATTGCTAATTTGCTTTTTTGCAAATGAAATACTTTACACTGTGCCGGAAAGATATGGAAAATCTGACTACAGACAACAAGTTGAGTCAGATCTGTTAACTTTTACCAACAGTATTCTTGTAAATTCAGTGTTTTTTCAAGACTACTGTTGATCTATGAATTTAGTTGCAGTGATGCCTACGCAGATTTATGTCTACAGCTGATGGCTGACATGTCCTTGAGAACACAGACGCTTTGGGTCTGATCCCGTACCCCAACGTGAAACATGCCCCTGTAAACACTCATTTTAAAATATTTTAATATTTAAACACGAATTGGACATCGTTAAAACTGGTTTCAAGCAATTTTTACATATACCGGTATGAAAAAATACCATATACCACCAATTAAGTCTCAATAAAGTACTTAATGGTTTTATCGTTGTAACAAATGTCCAATTCGTATTTAATAAATATTAAAATAATTTTGATATAGTGTTTACAGACGCGTATCACGTTAGGGGCAGGATGTAACCCGCCAGCATCTGTGCTTGAGCCTGCCTTATAACGTGTTGCAGCTATAGATCTGTTTGTGCAGCTTAAGTCAGAGATTGATGGCATAATAAACACTTGATTAGTCATATATAAGTGAACATTATTGGGTAAAGATTGAAAATAAAAGAACTTGAAAACAAAACTATTTCTTATTTTATGGCATATAAAATGTCGTTATTCTCAGCAGATTTGTCGCAGAGGGCCTCATTTTAGTGGTACGAACACATAGTATCACAAATGATACATTTGGTACATGCTTAACACGGGTGTTTGTCTTTGCACTTAAGCAATAGGCTGCGTTTTTGGCTTTGTAAGATTTTGAGATCACTTATGTCTGTTTGTGCATCAACATTTTGCTTTGGTTTAATGTTTTTGAAATTTGGTCACACTTTTCCATTTTTTCATATTGTACATTTTACATGCTATCATGTGACCATGACCATGATCATGACCTAGGGTATAATGGACAAAGCCTCTTTGAATATTGTGTATGCATGCTGCCTATTTAATGCTTATTTGAAGTTACAGTTAGATATAAGCAAAAGTAACAGAGATATGACAGAAAAACAAAGGCTTCTCAGTACAATACATTGGTGACCTTAACATTCAGTATATAACGGGCACAGCTTCTTCATGTACATGTACTTTGTATGCATGCTTGTGACGCAAAGTTTATGCAAAGTTGCAGTAAGATGCATGAATGAGCAAAAGTAACAGAGATATGACAGAAAAACAAGTTACCAAGAAAACCAATGCATTGGTGGGTAGAACAGCATCCCTATTCTCTGAATAGTGGAGCTAAAACTGAAACTCAAGATAATTAAAAAAACAACTACTTTCTGAAACTGAATTTATTTTTTTCGAAATTGATTAAAATGTATCCATCTGTCTTTCTACCTATATTCTAGGTAATGATGGATTGATCCTAATTGTCACAAGTTATAATTAACAAAACTTTATAAACATAATAACATGATATAGGTTCATGAGCTTGAAATAAAGACTACAAAGACTTTAGCATAAAAATATATATATTTAAGCAAATAAGCAATTAGCAAATAAGCAAATTGGCAAATCAGCAAATAAGCAAATTGGCAAATCAGCAATTAGCAAATAAGCAATTAAGTAGTTGGCAAATAAGCAAAGTGGCAGGTCCCTACCGGCATTCCATACACTATAGAATATTCCAAATAGTAACTGGTGTGTATTCTTGTGCATAGTGCCTCCTGAAACCTTCCACCCAGAAATGAAATCCTGCAAAAATACATCAAAAACAACCTTTAAAGTACTCAGAAATGAAACTTTATGTACACAATTACTAAAGATATACTTAAAATATAACCAGTATCAATTAAGATGACTTGAAATAGGCCATTTCAAAATTTAAAAGAACTACTTTCTAGACTACAATGGGCTGGGTCTAATTCCGTACCGGGTTGAGACCTTATTCGCTGAACGCACTTTTTATATATTTAGCGGTGTTCAAATTGGTAAATGGAGAACGGAAGGACAGCATATAGTCTCACATAGGAAGTCGTAAACAGGAAGTTGTCGGTTTCTAAGCAACATTGCTACTTTACTTTCGTGTTTGAAGGAACTTGGCGCATTATTTTATTTTTAAAGTAAGTAACTACTATTTTATTCTGTCCATCGATAAAATGCAAGCAGACTTTAAGTTATGATTAAAAAAAAAGATATTTCCCTCAAAATCAGCACTTTGAAACAGTCATCGCACTTCATTTTTAACCTGAATGTCAGAATGATAACTCCAAATGCTTGAAATGGGTCTCATGGTTGTTTTGTTTTGTAAAGGCTAAAGCGCAAAAACAAAGACATTGTCGGCATAGATTGGCTAATATCTAATGGATTAATGAATTTAGATACTAAAGTAAACATTTTTAGTCAGTCTATCAGACACCTCACACCTCAAACCTCTAAAAATCTCTCTGTCTTCATTCATTCTTATAGACAAATTTAGGTCTCTGGTAAAACAATTGAAAAACTCCATCTTGGACTATCTCTCCCTTATGTTTTCAAAACAGCAGTTGTAGCAACAGTCGTCAAAAATGTTTCAAATGCAAAGCAAGCAGTTACAGACTCGGGCAGCACGAAATACCCAAATATACCCAAATACACCCAAATATACCCAAATATTGCCCAAATATACCCAAATATTGCCTAAATATACCCAAATATTGTCCAATTATACTAAAAATAAATGTTTAATACTAAAAAAGTGCTGTTTTAATCATGAATACAATATACACTTTCACTAAGATATAATCAAACATACCCAAATATACATTTTCACTGTGTTTTGAACCAAGATACAGTATATATATGTACTCCATTAAAGCTATTTTTTTAATAACATGGACATTCTTCTTCTATATGATATGAAATTTCAACAAAATTACACCTTAAAAATGTAAGTGTAGACAACAAATATCATATCTTGAATTAAAATTGCATTCATAAAGAAGCGATATTGTAGATAAGCAAATGTCACAACTTTATTTTCTTACAACATCTTAACTGTCCATTTCAACGGAATGAATGAAAGTTATAGCAGGCTAAGTCATATTATTTTATAAATATTTATTTATTTCTCATTATAATCTATATTTTATACAAACAAAAATAAATATTGCTATATTTGGGCAATATTTGGGTATATTTGGGTGTATTTGGGTATATTTGGGTATTTCGTGCCGCCGACAGACTCTTAATATTCGTTTCATTTCGTTCAAAGCCTTGATAATGGCCGTGTTGTCACTCCGGTATTTACAGCTAAACTCTGGTATTTTCGATTACTGTAAAATATAGTCACAAAATTGCTTATGATTCAGGGTTCGAATTTCAGCTCGCATACTTGCAAAATGCTGGTGAAGTTTGGAAATTGCGAGTAATTTAATCTTAAAATTTTGCGAGTCGTTTTCAGCGGCCCTGTTAACATTGTAAAAACGAAAGTAGGAATTAAATTGTTGTGCTCGCGCATCGGCAGGTGCTTGTGTCGTTAAACTGATTTCCGGTTGTCTGCAAATGAAGCGGCCTGCTGCTAATGATCATTTATCTTGACATGAAAATCGAAAACAGAATTATCTATGAAATTTTTTAAAAGACCTGCACCATCATCACTGTCATGAGTTTTAAAAATATTATATCAACATGATGTTTACAGTATGAAGTCATGTCTAGTTACGCAATTATTGATTCGTCAGTATTGAGAAAGAAACTGCCAACTTTTGAATTAAAAAATTTAATACTAACAATTTTCTTCAATTCAATTTACTGATTATTATGAACGCCATTTTATATCATAATGTTGACCTTGGTGTAAACATAAATCGTTCACAAAAAATCAAAATAATTGGAAAAAAAGAACATTATTAAACTAAAAGTAGTATTAACAAAGTCTGTCGTAATATCACGAAATTTAAGATCTATCAGAAGTTATTTTATTGATTAAAAACTAATATAAAATCTATTTTGCGAGTTGATTTTTCATTTTGCGAGTTCTAAAGAAAGTTACTCGCAAAAAATTGAGAGTCACCGTCATGACAGGAAAAAAATCTGAAATTCTAACCCTGTGATTTCATCAGATTTTGAGTGTCACATGACATATTATGAGTTTGCTGTCTGTGGCCAAAAAGTTTTAGGCATATTAGGCCTGAGGAAAAAGTATATCGTAAAACGGGAACCTACAAGAAGTTTTTATTGTCTAGACTATTTCCATTTATTTTTCTTATTATAAGTTACGTTGGATGGTAGTTAATTTGACTGTTACAGTAAATTATCAAATATTGTTTATAGTTGATAAATTAAAATGTACATATTTAACTATAATATTTATGAAACAAACATGAACCACAAAGAATCAAAATTCGGAAAATGGATTTTCGAAAATTTTGTATTGGGATTGATGGCAGCAAGGTGTTCCAAATATTAATTTTTAATTGAAACCATATTGAGATGGGGAACCAGATCACACTGACTCCTGGCACTTCTTGATTTACAGACTAGTGAAACCTGCATGATGATACTTATTCCCTGCTAGCTCCGGAAATAATAGAACAGGGAACCAAAGTTACCTCCAATGAAAGGCTGGCAAACTTATTACCCATAATTTTGCTGTTTTTCTGGCAAAAGTTTTCAAAACCATCACTTTTGAAGTGAAGTTTTTTAAGCTCGCTTATAACATAATGTTTATTTTGACACCATAAATGGTATAAATACGCTTTTCTGATAAAATTCCTTGCATTCTTAAATTCCAAACAGTGATTTTATCAAGTGATATAAAGTAATTAAGACACAAAAGTTTATTAAAGAATTTAAGATTTTAAAAAACCCAAAAAACTTTAGTGAGTCACTTTTTTCGATGGGGAACATTTAGTATAAGTATTATTTGTTAATTTTATTGCAGAAGAAAAAAAACATAGCCAGGTAGCAGAATGGCTGCAACTGCAGCAATAGACAACTTTCATAACTCCATTAGAACTTTGGCACAAACAAAAAGAATACGAGTTACAGAATTTTTTCAAGATTTTGACAAACTTCGATCAGGCTTTATAACAGGTAAGGTAGATTTTAATAGGCTCTTAAAATTTTAGTTGGTATTCAAAAATGTCTAGATCAAAAGCCACAGACAAGTAAAAAAAACATATTTTATGGAAAGTGGTTGCTAATGAGGGAAGAATTCTATTGAAACTCAAGGATGTCAAGATACTAAGTGTGAACATATGACATAAGTACTGTTTATTGAGAAGTTAGTGGAGATTGGTTTAGATTTACATAAACAATTGAGTTTACACTTATACAATAAGGTATATCAAGCAAGCTATAATTGAGGGTATATCAACCAAGCTATTTCTTCACACTGACATTGATTGTATATCAAACTATATCTTCACACTGACATCGAAGGTCTATCAAGCACGCTATATTTCCACACTGACATTGAGTATATATAAAGCAAGCTATATGACTCCACACTGAAATTGAGGGTATATTAAGCACACAGACATTGAGGGTATATCAGCCAAGCTATATCTTCACACTAACATTGAGGGTATATCAAGCAAGCTATATCTCCACATTGACATTGAGGGTATATCAACCAAGCTATATGACTCCACACTGAAATTGAGGGTATATTAAGCACACTGACATTGAGGGTATATCAACCAAGCTATATCTCCACACTGACATTGAGGGTATATCATGAAGGCTATATCTCTTCACTGACATTGAGGGTGTATTGTGAAAGCTAAATATTCACACTAAATTTTTTTATATGTTTCTCAGCAACATTTTATATGTTTGTTACCTATGTATAGATAATGAGAGTGATAGTTCATAAAATAATGTCATGTATTATTTAAGAAAAAATCTTACATTATGTTTAGCTCCACAATTCTCAAGATGTTTGTGGCAGACACTTGGATTACAGCTTACCCCTGCACAGGAAGAATTAGTGAAGGCAAACTATGACTTAAATGGGAATGGACAAATAAACTACAAGCTGTTTTGTGATATAATTGACCAGAATTTCAATGCAAACAATCTAGCAAAAGATCCAGAAGCACAAAAAATTGTACCACCAGAATTGTATGTTTTTTTTAAATTTTAGTTAATATATCTTATCTAATTTGCCCTTAGCAACTTATTGTTTATGACAGTTAGATTTCTCAATTTGCATGAAACAGTGCCAATGAAACTATTTTAGTTTTGGACATGTTTTCACTGAATTTGACATTAAGCATTTTCTTTGAATAAGTATGAAAATATATTTAAACTTTTTAGTGAATTTGAGGTAAAGCTGACCTGTTAAGTGGCAAGGAAATACCCCCTCCGTCCCCACCCCCACACAAAGTAATCAGTCTATTTTTCTTAAGTTATCTTATTTTTTGTTAGTAAAACAAGAATTTTCAATTACAGCTTGGGTACAATGAGAACTGTCCGACCTTTGAGCCCAGAATCAGAGAGAAAATTGATCAAATTGTTACAGCACATAGAGCAATTTTACAGCTACCACGGTGTCAATTTGCGAACATGCTATGAAGATTTTGACAGGCATCATATGGGTGTTATTACAGAAAGTCAGGTAAATATTTTAGATGCATGTAGTGAATGGACATTTCTTTATAGTTTCATAGTTTCAGACATTTTACTTTTATGTGTTTTAAAGCTGCACTGTCAAATCATCATATCTTTTTTTTCCCTTCAGTTTTTCCGTAGTTTCCCAGGTCCCCCTGATGTCAATGAGGCAGATATGACCCTTCTTGTACAGAAATATCGTGATCCAGATCGACCAGGGCTTCTCAATTATCTGAATCTTCATCATGATATCGTGGCCATTGGTGAACAGATGGCAAAAGACAGAGAGTTGATTGAAGCACCATATACACAAGTAGATGGTACACGTGTTATGGTATGTGTTATATTATTAACAATTCCTGATAAAGTGACAAAGATAACACTTTAAATATTTATTGGGTATGGTTAATTTTTAATGATATATTTTTGGTTTAATAAGTCATATTTTGCTACAATAATATTACCAGCCTAAATTAAAGCATTCTTTATTTATCATAATAATCCATACTTATATTTAATCATACATCTTTAACTAAGATAACTTCAGATAAAAATTGTCATGTAGGAGGCAATAATTTAATTGGTTATTTTACTTGAAAATTTAATAAATATGTAACTGGTTCTTTATTAAAGATATTTCTTTTATCTGTAGTTGACACCAGACCCAGATCTGAATACAATATTTGATAAAATACGAATGGCAGTATTCAAGAATGGTATCAGAACAACAGAGTTTTTCAAAGATCATGACAAACTTCGTAGTGGAATAATAACAGAGAACCAGTTTGTATGTGGTCTCGCACTAGCAGTTGGCAAAGAGGCACAATTATCTAGAGCCGAAATACAAAAGATTGTTGAATATTATCGTCAACCAGATGGACGAGTGAAATATAAAGAATTTTGTGATATTATGGAAAATGGTAATATATAACAAATTACAGAAGCAATTCTTAAGAACTTTGATTCAATATTGATAATGATCATCATGATGCAATTTCTCCAAGACAAAGAAATAACCCCCCCCCCGCCAAAAACGGCAAAAGTAACCATTATTATTATGCCACCCGTCGAAGAAGAGGGGGTATATTATTTTGCTTATGTTGGTCTGTCTGTCTGTCGGTAGACCACATGATTTCCACTGATTATCTTAAAAACTATTTATCACAAAGTCTTCATATAACACATACTGATTGGTCATAACAAGAGTAGATGACCCCTTTTGATTTTGGGGTTACTAGGTCAAGGCACAAGGCTGCCGTAAATATCAGAATGGTTTGCGCTGATTATCTTGAACACTATTTATCACTTCACATATTGATTTGTCATAATGGGGTCACCATTTCAAAGGTCAAGGTCTTTATATTTCACATACTGATTGGTTTTAACTAGTAGGTCATTATTTTCCTTTTTTCCATAACTGAACACTTCCCATGTACCCATTTATGTTTCTATAACAAAATTACCAATAATATGAGTCACGGGCTAGAAAAGGGGGCATATGCGTTGTTTGACATTTTTTGTTTTATGATTTAAGATAGTTTACTGTATTAAAAAATTTTTTTTGCAAATTTTGATTTAGTCTATTCTAACCAACTTTTGTTTTACATGAGTATAAGATTAGTTATTTATAAATATTTTTTCAGCATTCACCATTCCTGATCTAGAAAAGAAGCCTCTTCAGAATGTTGTAAGACCTGTAAAAGGAGCCTTGTCAAGAGTGAGTTGATTTTATTAAAATTGTTTCTCCATTACAATCATAACTTTTAAATATAATTCCTTTTTAAATTTATAAAATCAATTTTTCCGTATTAAAGACTGGCATTCAGATTTGTATCAACTGAGATTTAGACTTTAGATTAAATAAACTTCACCCTGCTTTGAAATTGTAACTGTTCATACAAATTTGAAGGTAATTTCAATTACAAAATACATAAATTGAGCTACCAACAGAATAGAGCTGTGTCAGAGTGGACAGAAGTGCAGGCTGGACTGACTATATTCTAGTTGCCAGGAGGTTAAGAATTAAATGTTGAGGAGAGTTAGTTATAATTGTGAGCTGATATTTCCAGGGTTTGAAGCCACTGACTGAGGCGGAGGAGAGAAGGATACAGGAAATATTGTGTCAGATATCTGATAATGTACGACGCCGTAGACTCATGATGTATCCTTACTTCAAGGATTATGATAGGGTATGATCTTATATATTACACTATAATGATGTAACTGTGGTAGCAAGTGATTTTTACATCAGTCATGTAACTATTATACAGCTAACATAATTAACATAATGGTTAAATAAATGATTTAAAGTATAAACATGAATCTTCTTTATAAAACATATATAAGGGTATGAGAATCTCATTGTCTACTTGGCTTATTTATCTATTACTTTGTAATTGATCAACTTGACAATATTGAATGAAATCTTATAAATATCATTCACCAATTTTTATGTAAATGTCAACATGGTTTATGTTACCATTACAGGGTGTTTCATACACGAGAGTAGTAACACCAACTCAGTTTGGTCGCATTCTTCACTTCCTGTCTCTAAATGTAGCACCAGAAGATCTCAAATTATTATTGAGAAAATTTGAAGACCCTGCAACTGGAGATGTTAATTACCCAGCTTTCGTACAAGCTGTAGATCAAGGTATAGTGTTGTATTAACTCACTGTAGATCAAGGTATAGTGTTGTATTAACTCGCTGTAGATCAAGGTATAGTGTTGTATTAACTCACTGTAGATCAAGGTATAGTGTTGTATTAACTCGCTGTAGATCAAGGTATAGTGTTGTATTAACTCGCTGTAGATCAAGGTATAGTGTTGTATTAACTCGCTGTAGATCAAGGTATAGTGTTGTATTAACTCGCTGTAGATCAAGGTATAGTGTTGTATTAACTCGCTGTAGATCAAGGTATAGTGTTGTATTAACTCGCTGTAGATCAAGGTATAGTGTTGTATTAACTCACATTTACTGACTTATTGAATCACTTTACTTTTGTAACCTTTGATGATCAAACAGTTTTACATAAATTAAAGTATTTATATATTTATGGTAGGCTTCTTTGTATAAATTTGATAGAAAAGAAAAATGTTGCAAGAGAAGCACTGACAATTCATAAGATATTGATCTGCTAACCTGTTTAAGGTCATACACATATCCTTCTACATTTGAGAGCTAATTTTATTGTCTTCAAAACAACAGATATATAGAGACCTGAGATGAAAAAAAAAATATATGTTACAACATCAATTTTTCAAATGTCATTAAATAGCGAAAACTCTATTTGATTTTTTTCTTTGCCTGTAGAATTTGTAGGTCATACAATGGATGATGCTGACCTAAGTGCGAAAGGACGTACAAACACACCAGTAAAAGAGCGTGAAGTTACAGCTGCTGATAGTAATGTTAGTTATGAGGATCTGATGGCTAGAATTAGGCATATTGTCCTTACTAACAGATTGAGGGTAAATATTTCAACTTCTCTACAATCAGTTTATTTTTTAATCACTTATCAGCTGTGTTTTTTTTGTACTGTATATAGAACTACATGTATTTTACAAAATTGAATATACAATGTACATGTACATTTATTGTGGAGAAACAATAAGGTCTAGATATTGTTCTCTTTTATATTTAATTCCTTGGTTATTCTCAATATGTTCAAAAAGGTTTATATATATCTTTTTTGATGAATAAAATTTCTTCTTGTATATATTAGGTAGGGGAATTCTTTGAAGATTATGACCCTCTGAGAAGTGGTTCAATAAGTAAATCACAGTTTCGACGAGGTTTAGGTTTACTTGGTATGAGTAAATTAGGCACACACGATATCACTGAAGGTCAATACCAGCTCCTGTGTGATGTGTACACTAACCCACAAAAATCAGACCAAGCTCTGTGGACAAAATTTCTTTGGGATGTAGAAACAGGTGAGGCTAATATAATGCAAATATTTAACTGAAGTAAATTTGTAGGTGGAATGTTCAAGTTGTTTGCCTTTAAACTATTTATTTTTCTTAATCTTTTTTTTAATTATTTATTTTTCTTTAGATAAGCTAGAAGAAAGGTCAATAATATGATATGACATAAATTTCCTACTTATAACCTAAATTGCAATGACTGATAATTTGATTTACATTGTAACATGATCAAAACTGTTGTTTTTGTTCTTGTTGACTATCTAGTAATATATTTTGCAATGTAAACATCAAGAAAGAATAAATATTTATAAGAGTTGTATAGTAAAATACCCAATTATTATATTTATCGGCATATGGTACCACTTTAAAAAACATGGATTGGTTAACATTACCAAGATCCTTCATTACAATTTCAAACAAATTAACATTTTAGTCACAACAAGAATTATTTTATCACACATTGTTGTAGTGTTTACCCAACCAAACTTGGAGAAGGATCCACTTACAAGAGTGCCACCGCAGGAGATTTTCAGAGTACCAAAGCCTGGAACTGTGAACTGGACGAATGCATCAGAAGATCACATGTCACTGTACAATGCTACAATGGATCGCCTTAGACAAAGGACTGAACAGAGACGAGTGCTAGCTAAACCTGTTTTCCAGGACTTTGACAGGTATCTTTTGTCACTTTATGAAACAAACCTTTAGCTTTCTGTTTTGTAATCTATTGAGATTAAAGGTACTTGTGCCTATTCAGCAACATGGTTAGTCAACAAATCTCCATGCCTTGATTGTGTTAATTTTCTTCTCTTTTGGAGTTAAATCTCAGAAACTAGTCTGTGAGAATATAAGCATTCAGCAAGCATACTTATTATGTAGTCAAAATAACACTCATGTTAATAATTTTATTCTGATTTTAGTTACAGAAAATGTACACAGTGTTATTATTGACTTAAATGCTGGTGAATGAAAAATGTTCATTACTGTAAAATGCTGTTCACATTGTAAACTAAGAAACATACAAAATATTGACAATTTGTAACAATATTTGCTGGTGTTAATTACATATTAATGATAATTTCTTTTACACAGACATAACAATGGTCATGTGACAATGTCACAGTTCCGTCAGTGTTTGACAATGCTAGAGCTTCACTGTACAGAACCAGAAATGATTGCCCTTGAAGCCAAATTCTGTAATGACACAGGCTTCAACTACCTGGCTTTCCTATCAGAACTGATGCCGGAGGAGCCACCTCAGTTTATGTACGAGAGCAGACTTGAGACACTTCGTCAAACCAACATGAAGAAAACATTACCAGAGCTAAATGCTCAAAAAGATCTTGAGAGTGTTTTACTGAAAGTGAAAACAAAGGTAATTGTGAAGATGTTTGGTTTATTTTGACCAGCACTAATATGAAAGTGAATTAAAATTGATATAGGAGTCTTGGGACATAAAATTTAACTATATCCTTTTGTTTTTGATTTATATCATAATTAATAGTTATGTTGATAAAGTCAAATATTTAAATATTAAACATGCATATGTACAAGTATTTGTGATGTTGGATATTCTGTTATGGTTTCCATGACTATGAGTATAAGATAAATATAGACCTGTTATATATTTTAGACATAAATTTTGAGGTTGTTATTGTAGGATAATGCATGATTTAAGTTTAAAATATGCAGTAGAATATTTATGAAGGCTGGTGTGATTTAAATGATAAACCATACATTTTTTACAACACAAGAAAAATTGATATTACGAGGGTTGTTCAAAAAGTAATAGGTCTGCAGCTCTACTGTCCACATTTTTAAATTTACGTACACAATTTTACATGAGACAAATATCGGAACATGTTCTCTATATACAGTGAAAAAATCAAAACAAAATGTAAGCAAATGGAATTTCTGTGAAATTTTAAAATGGCAAGGGGTACGAAACGCGGCGCACGCTAACAATACAATAATTGACGTTCATGACGTCGTAAAGTAAATCGAAATTGTAATAAGCGTCATTCTTTCTGAAAGTAGTCTCCCTAGTCTCTAGGTGTATGAGTGATGTAACTTTTACTTTGCCTCATATGTGGAGATGAAGCAAGAAATAAAACGATCACATTCTCGATCCACTGTTTCAAATAAAAAAAAATAAATGCCCGATAGCCGGCCATTCTCCGGGTTTTCTCGTCTTTTTGAGTAACCATGGAACTCAATAGGACTGAATAAAACTTGTTAAAGCAAAAGCAATTTATTTTATTAATTTACTCATGTCATTGTATGTTTTTAGAACAATATGATTATATACAGAACAATAAAGATATTTCTCAATGGAAAAATATCTTGTTCTACTTAGCACAGTCTATCGTTTATTAAAACAAGTTTTCGGGAAACACTACTAATTATTACCGTTAACTATTACATTAATTTATTGATTACACGTATATCTAGTTAAATACAATAAAATAGTGTTGATAACAAATATCCTATTTACAATCTTTTGGTTAAAACTGAATAAGTAGTCCCGAAGCAGATACAAACAACGATAACCAGTTCGCGTACCGTTTACCGTGGATTCTTTTGTAGCGCTTTTGCAATTGACGTCACTAACGTCCCGTCAATTTTCAACTTTCATCCTCGCCCTTTCTCGTTAGTGATCTTGTATTTGCAGTTTTTGAATTGCTTGTGCCAGCTGAAAACAAGTGTCCTGATGGCAGGATAATTTTCCTTTGTTTATTTAATCATTTTGTGTGTATTTGAATGATTATAGTCAATCTGTTGGCAAAATTTAACGATCGCACACATTTTCTGTTTGTTAACAAATGTCATATTTCTACATCTAACGCTATGACCGCTGCTGTTCAAAACTTAATTAATAGGCCATTTCATGTCCGAATGACGTCAAATTTGGACATAATGTCACATTAATATATTTCAACGTATTGATGGAATACAGGGGAAAACAAATAGTTATTTATGAATAAATTAGAAGTAGAACTTAGCTCCAATAACTATATTTATGTGCTGCGCCGGGTGCGTGTTACCATAGTTATTCAATAGCAAAGGAAAAGCGCGTTTAGCACAATATATTAAAAAACTTATGTTTGATTTGCAGAAATATTTTTACGGTTGCTGTACATATGAAAATATTCTAAATTGAATGAAATTTGAGTACGCAAGACTCCCTGTCCTATTACTTTTTGAACAACCCTCGTAGTAATCCCATTGAGTGGAGCAAACTTTAATGACGTCTTTTGCTTTATTTGTCACATATGATTCTTAATTCATGAATGTAAGCATTTCTTTTTATGCCATGTTTACTTTTAGTTAAAAAGATTTTTGTCAGGTCATTTTAATGGCTCTATATAAAAGGTTGTTTATCTATATAACCTGATATGTTAGGTGAGGGTTATATTGTAAAAAAAACTTCTTATACATGTATATGGCCATATAACCTGTCAAGAATCTTTATAACAACTATATAAAACTTATGAAAGTACTTCATAAATGGACTGCAGACTGTATATAGATTATATAAACATCACACTTAACTAATGAAAAACAATGTTGCAAAAAAGCATTATAAGAAATCATGTAATAATGCACTTGACAGGTCTGTATCTAAAATAGGGGAATAATGTATGTTAGTATAATAACTTTGTATCTCTGTAATTTCATGGTCATATTCTTTTTAAACAAACCTATATATATAAGAGTATAATTTTGTTGTAACAGGTCAGCAGAGAAAGGATGAGAGTGCTGGAGTTTATGAGAGACTATGATAAATTACGATCTGGCCGAATGTTGAAGACATCGTTCCGTAGAGCTCTAGACTTGTGTAGATTTGAGCTAAGACAATCAGAAGTTTCCATCCTTGAAGATAGGTAGGTTTTTGGTAAAATTTTCATTTTTAAGACATGCAATTAATTTCATGTTATTCTCATAATTAAGTCTAAATTTAGTAAAAAGAATACGATTTATTGAAAATTACCAGACCTATCAAATTGAAATAGTTGGAGTATTGCTGTTTTGTAGGAATAATGTTTTTATTATTGTTCTGATAAGAAATCCTGTTGTTTTGTAGATATCAGTCTCAGCACGACATTGATTATGTTGACTACCTGAAGTTCTGTGATGAGGTTGAATCTATCTTCACAACTAAAGAGCTAGAGAAGCGCCCCCTGGAGGATGTTGTACAATTCAAGCCTCCAGAGGAGTGGGAGAGGAACAAACTACCTGTAGATCAGCAGAATAGATTCAAATCCTGCATGGATAGGCTCAGTGAAAAGGTATATTTATATGTTCACATTAATGGCATCCACTGCTACATTTTTTTATTAATTGCCTGTAAAAAATCTCTTCTACCTCCTAGTTAATAGTACTGACAGAGATGGGCATTTGAAACTAGAATAGAGCCAGGCCAGCTTGCACATTCATGTTGTCTGACTAGGCTCTATACTATAATGTTAGCTCAATTTTTATATTGAAATCTCTTAAACTTTGCACTTCAAAACAGAGAAAATCCATTTCACAAAATTTTCAATACAGCAGGTTAAACGTTAAGTAATTTGTTTTAAGGTCTGTGATGAATAATATCAGCTTACACTGATATTAATATTATTGTTTTATTAATTAGTCTCTCTTTTTCAGTAGATGATGATTAAATAAGATTTGTTTTACATAAAGCTGTTACATTATACATACATACAATTGATCAAGACATGAAAATATTTCAGGTTCGAAAGCATCAGATGCAATTATTTCCATTGTTTGAGGATTATGACAGAGTTCACAACGGCACAGTGTCAAGGTCACAGTTCAGACGTGTACTTACAGAGCTTGAACTTGGTGGCCTTGTTAGCCAGCAAGATTTTGAGCTTCTCTGGCAACAGTTTGATGTAAAGATTGGCGGCAAAGATGATGTCAATTATATAGCATTTTGTGACATGATCTATAAATTGGCAAATTTTGAAGTTAGAAAACCATAAACAAATCCTTGAATATCTAGAAGACATAAGTTTTATGAAAATGACTTTTTCACTATTATTTCATTATAACATCTCATTAAAAATGGATATATTGAATTAAAATACAGAGCTTTAATTTGTACTTCATTTTCTATTGTGTTTTATATATACATTGATAATTGTTACGAGTGAATTTTCATCTTATACTGAGAACAATGATTCTACCATTTGAAACCAAAATTTGTGATATAATTCTGTTGTATTTATTTGATTTAAAATGAAAAAAATTAAAAAAGAATCATTTCAGCTACTGAAAGATAATTCTGCTGATACATAATTGATGTTAACAGTGTATGTTAAGTGTTGAAATTATTGTAAGATATATTAACCAAACATTTTGAGGACATTTAAACTAAACATTTTTTTTATGTATATATACTATATATAGTAATTGACACAATGAATGTTTGTATAGGATAGTGTATTTGACAGCATTTATTTTATGATTGCTTCTATTGTTAAAGTCATACCTGAAATTACGAGGCATCCTGTCCTACCAGTAACGTCATGAATGAACTTTAGACTTTGTCTTTTGTACTGTTCAAGAAAACCAAAGTTTTTATTTTAACCAGTCATTATGATTTGTTGTTCCCACTAATTAGTATTCTATCATACACATGAATAGTATTTAAAAATTGTTTTAAGATTTAAATGTGATTATACACGGTTACTTTGTATGTATTGTTTTTTTATATGTTAAAGATATATTCAAAATGTATAAAATCAAAATTTTTATTTTATAAATTGCTATATACCAGTAGTATGACCATCAGGTTGTAGCCAGTTTTACAGCATAGAAAATCAAGCTTGTAATAAAGCTGTTTGTGGTGCAACTCCCTTCTATAAAGATAGTTGGTGCAGAACCAAAGAAAAAATGTTTCCTCTCATACAATTGCATGTCTGTTATATTCACAAAGAGAAATGTAATAGTATTGATAAGGAAATTGTCTGAACAACCATGTTTCTTTTGCTGATACAACTGCTTTTCGAAGTATTAAAGTTATATTGTTAAGAGGATAATATGTTCTTATGTCATTTAAGCATCATGTTTTTTTATGTCTACATTGAAAGAGTGGCAAAAAAATTTATGTATACATTCTAGTATTATGTTTAGCAGTTTTATGTCAGAATGTCAGTATTTATGTCTACATCATAGTATTATGTCTAGCGGTCCATGTCCGTATGTCAGTATTAACAGAGTTCTACTAATAGTATTTGTATAATTTTATTTTTTTGTTGTTGTAACTTTACAATTTACTTTTTTTTTTTTTTGTAAACTTAGTGAATGACCAGGCTTACTTTGAGTGTTGCTTTCATTTGTTAGCTTCACTTTTATACTCTGTAATTATTATCTATGCAACACACTGAAAAAGAACTTGATAAACACTTTACAATTTGTTGTTTATTTGTTTTGATTGTTTTGAAAGGATCAACTGATATTTTCAGTTCCCTTCATTGTTTTACATTTTGTCATAGGAAAGTAAATCTTTAAGTTACATCATACAGAAACTTTTAAGCATATGTTTGTTTTATCAACTATATTTTTTAACCAGTTTCTTATTTAATTATTGTTGAGTGGGAGTGACTAGTATTTGGATGACCCCTACTGAAAACTATGAATGTCAGGGTCAGTCTTGTGTCATGTATATCTGTGATAAAGTCTATTTCTTTCTCTATGAATATATCATAACTGTGAATAAAGACTGAAAATAAAAGTGGATATTTCAAACTGTACTTTTTGTCTTTTGTTAAATTTTACTTTCTTTACACAGATAAACTGTTTCTGTCAAACACAGAATTTCTGTCCTTTATAAATTGGCATTGACTTGACACAGTGCTATTTCTTTCTGAATGCATGATGCCTTAAAAGGTGTCTTGTCCAAGGAGCAGCACATTCATCTTTTCTCACTGCTGTATAGTATAATGCACATTACGCAAATATAATTTGCATTAAAATGTATAAAGCTATACATCTGATGCAAAAAATATGGTTTGCATTTTTAAAAAGAATACTTCCAAAATGTTAGCATGAAATAAAAATAGCAATAAATTGCCTTAAAGCGAGAGGTGCATGCACAAAGCCATTGCTAAACAGATGAAACCCTACTTAAAATAGCAAAATAATATTTTGTTACGGAACATTTTATTCTGTTTACGTACATTATTCATGTTTATCACACACCCATTCCGATTTTGCGACTCCGTAAAAATGGTATTGCACGGCCGTGCATATAAATTTGACGTGACGTCATTAGCGTTATACAAACATAGTGTAAAGACACGCTAAATGTTAGCGTTATACTATAGGCTCGTCCATGAAAAATGACTCTTTTTCACTTTAAGCGGTCTTTATTTTGCGTATGTCATAAATAGAATATTAAATTCGTGTAAGTTCATTACTGAATTTATTGACTCGTTAAATAAAATAATACTATGCTCGCATAATATAATTTTATTCAACTTGTGCAATAAATTCAGTATTGAATTTACACTCATTCAATATCCTCTATGTATTAAATGACAGAGAAACATTCTATGTTACAATTTTCTCGGGAATCAATTTTATAATAATGGAACCACTATAATTTTACTCTTGATATTTCATAAAAATATTTTATAAGATACGGATTTATACCCTTTTAAGGTTACGTTCACTATTGGCATTGTGACCTTGACCTTTGACATCCACGAGCATGTACATACAAAATTTGAAATTCCTAGGTCAATGCTCATGGATTTTATACCCATTTTTAACTCGACTATTCACAGAATAATCAAGCTTAAATGCAGTTACCCATTTGTCGGCGTCCCTGTGGTTAAGTTTTTGCGTGTAAGCTGGTATCTTCATTACTACTGAAGGGAATGGATTGAAACTTCACACACTTGTTCTCTGTGATTATCTAAGATGATTGGCACAAGTCCCATAACTCTGATTTGATTTTTAACATAATTATGCCCCTTTTTTCGACTTAGAAATTCTTGGGTAAGTTTTTGCGTGTAAGCTGGTATCTCCATAACTACTGAATAGAATGGATTGAAACTTCACACACTTGTTCTCTGTGATTATCTAAGATGATTTGCACAAGTCCCATAACTCTGATTGCTTTTTGCATAATTATGCCATTTTTTGACATAGACATTCTTGGTTAAGTTTTTGCGTGTAAGCTGGTATCTCCATAACTACTGAAGGGAATGGATTGAAACTTCACACTCTTGTTGTCCGTGTTTATCTTAGATGATTGGCACAAGTCCCATAACTCTGGTTTGCTTTTTTGCATAATTATGCCCCTTTTTCGACTTAGAAATTCTTGGTTAAGTGTTTGCATGTAACCTGGTATCTCCATAACTCCCTAAGGGAATGGATTGAAACTTCACACACTTGTTCTCTGTGATTATTTAAGATGATTGGCACAAGTCCCATAACTCTGATTGCTTTTTTGCATAATTATTCCACTTTTTCGACTCAGAAATTCTAGATAAACTTTTGCTTGTAAGCTGGTATCTCTATAACTACTGAAGGGTTTGTACCTTTTTGGACAATTTCATGTATTCATATAGGAAAGCATAATTATACTCAATGAAACACCCTTGTGACAACTTTTCGAATAGTCGAGCGTTACTGTCCTCTGACAGTCCTTGTTATGTTTTATTGGAACAGTTGCCGCTGTTTTTTTTTTAACTGATAATGGTTGTGGCAGGTAGAACACAGCATGGTAAATCCACGTAGATATACTATGTGCAAATTTGATATTGATAATTGCTACACTGTCTATGTAAATATCTAATAAACATGTTTTGACTTCACACAAAGTACATGTTATGTTTACAATTCTACACACTATGTGTGGACACAATATGAAAAATATAGTGTCATTAAAAAGACTGGCAGTTTTTTTTAAAGAAATAACCAACCTTACTTGACCTGTAACAGGGAACGCAGCTTCCGATATGTACATAGTTTATTCATTCTGTTATTCAAATTAGACATACTCATAGAATTTCATAGATTTCTGTGACAAAAAATTTTACTGTCAAGGATGAGCATAGTATATCTTTTAAGTGTATAACAGTATTTAATATTTGTTAGTATACTGTATATGATTTAATGGTTACCGGACTTTAACAGATAAACAAGAAGTCGTAAATACTAAAATATAAGTTTTTTATTTCAAAAGATATACAAAATGTTTACAATATAATTGAGTATCTAGATTAGAAATTTTGAACACAAAAACAATTTTTTTAACAGTTTATAAACATTTTAAGTCTCCAACTCTATTAATACATGTACATCATTTCTTCCACCTTCCAAACAAAACAAATCACAGCAGTTTTACCATTTGAATAGACAACAACAATATGTTCAAATATTTTATAATCTTTGAATATTCTTATAAACTAAATAAACAAATTATAGGTCTTTAAAAATAGAAAATTTGCAAAAAAAAATGGAATAAAATATATTTTTTTGACATATAGTTTCATATATTTATAATTTGTATATTCTGAATGCATGTGATGACAGAAACTTGCTGTTATATATGAAAAATAGTTATTTCCAAATATCAACTAAATCTGTTTTGTGAAATTTAACTATTGACATGATTACTATTTTCAACATAATATTTTGTCTTCTCAAACAAGAATGTAGTATGTAAACACAATTTGAACCAAAAAACAAACCCTCAAATTTTGAACTTGAAATTACATAACATCAAAAAAAAAATATCTTCAGTGCTTGATCAATTATGGTAAGTACAAGCCTTGTGGAAAAATATTCCTTAAAAATGTATGATAATTCTGCAAAGTTAATACATGTTTAAGCAAAGAAAATTTTCAGGCACATACATATTTTCTTTTAAGGAAAAAGTATAAAATCAGAATCCATTTGATTATGGCACAATGTTTATTCACTTATTCTCTATTCAACAGTGAATAATGTGTTCAAGACAGATGCCTTGAATTCACACTAAACTTAAACATGAAATCCCCACCCCTATTACATACACTAACTTTGGAACAAAACTGATAACATGTAAGTGCCTTGAAAATTGGCTATATTATTAAGATTTAGGTAAATGAAAATTATATACAAGTTATGAAGCTTTTTACATATCCTTATGTACATGTATAAAGAGTATATATGTACCTGTACTAGATAGTTTTTCTTTGTTGAATATAAAACACTCAACATTTAAAAAAATAAAACCAGTAATTGTGGCTTATAAATTTTCCTGTTATAGTTTTGATTTTTAATACATATTTACTTTTAAGCATGTACTTGAGATTGAACAAAAAGTTGTTAATTACATGTACATTTTTGTATTTCAATCATACTTGTTAGAAATATAGAATTTGTGTTAGTAAAATTACATTCTTAAATCATGGTATAAAAATTTCTCTAACCACTATAAACACTGATGAGTATTCTAAAACAAATATTTGCAGTCAATGATATTATGCCGACCAGACGAAGCGCGTCTCCTCGTCCCTCTGACCTAGATCTTCTTCATTAATGCTCGGACGGTATTTATATGGACCGCCATATGCTGCTTCCTCAAAGCTTTGGTCTGGCTTGTATCCAAGCGCTGGATAACCAATAGAAGGGTACGGAGCTACTGGACGGACCTGTCTGCCATGGTAACCAAAGTTATCATAAGTTCCGTCATATGCTCCATTCTGAATATACTCTGGGTCATGATACTGCTTATGTCTCTTTCCACTTGAAACCGAGTCTCTGAAAATATAAAATAATTCATCATAATTAGATATACCAGTATACACATTACTAGGTCTATACAATCCAATAACATTATCACTGTTATAATAAACATGTATATCTAAATAGTACTCTTCCATATTAAAAATGATTAAAGACGTTTTTGGAGTTTTAAAAAGTCCGATTCAAGGGCAGATAACTCAAAAAGGAGAACGGTGACCCCATTTTTTTTCGCTTAAAATGTTTCTGTTATCATATTCTTACAACATGCCAAGTTTAAAGAAATTCTATTGAACATTTTTAATTTTGCCTATATGTCTTTATGAAAACTCCCAAAACGTCCTTAAATTTGTTCAATTATTATTACTGGACTTTAATTACAGACCTGTAACAATTAAGATGTAAAGTTTAAACAGAATTTTAAACACATAATGTCATACCTTGAACATTTCATGAACACTCCCACTATTATCAAGATGATTATCAGTAAAGCTCCGCCTCCACCTATAGCTCCGCCCAATATTGCTGGCAAGTCAGAAGATGGTTCTAAAATATTTAAACATCAATTTTATATACAAGTTATAATGATATGCAAGAGGGCCTTAATAGCTGTTTTAATACACACCTGGTCAGAAACTTCAACTACTAATACTTTTATTTCAAGCATAATTTATTAACAGAAGGTAGAAACATTCATCTGTAGCCTTAATGACCTTGACTCTAGTACTCTCAAACCCATTTAAAGTACATGTACAAGCAAAATAAGAAAACATAATTCATAAGATGAAATTTTACCATTAAGAAAATAATGAAGTATTTTTGCTTGAATCTGAGATTGAGATTGTGCATACTTGTAGGTCTCTGTCAATTTGTAGCCAGGTCTTACTTAAAATGTTAATATGTGTACTAGTCAGTAATCTATGTTTATTGCTTAGTATTTAAAAGAAAGAACTTGTTCCTTTCTTTTCGGACTAAATATTTTGATGAACTAATATGTACCTTAGAACAAGAAAGTAACTATCTTATAAATTGGTTTCATTTTAATAAAATGCAAGCTAACCCTGATAAATTTCAAGCTATTGCTGTAGGGAAGAAAACTTTCACTAAATCCCCAGCTTTCAAAATTAATACTAGTGAAATAACATGTGACGAAATTGTAAAACTCCTTGGCATCGACATTGATCAACAATTAAATTTTAATTTTCACATAAGCAATATATGTAAAAAAGCTGCTAATCAGTTAAACATCCTCAAAAGAATAGGTCACAATTTAAATCAAACAAATAGGCTAACAATCTTTCATACTTTTATTTTGTCCAATTTTAATTTCTGTCCTATGGCATGGCATTTCTGTTCAGAAAATAATACAAACAAGATGGAAAAACTACAGGAAAGAGCACTCAGATTTGTATATAATGATTTTAATTCAAGTTATGAAGATATGCTGATAAAAGTTAATATACCAACTCTAAAAATAAGAAGAATGAGGGCTATGGCCATTGAAACTTTTAAAATTTTTCATGATATGTCTCCTGCTGTTCTGTCTGACCTTATTGTCAAGAAAACTACTGGTATTAATTTTAAATATTCAAATATTTTGCAGATCCCGCAAGTAAGAACTACAACTACAGGTAAAAAATCTTTCAGGTATGCTGCACCTGCTTTATGGAATACTCTACCCGAAAATTTTAGAAAATGTTCAAATTTTGCTCAGTTTAAAAAGTTAATTTCATCCTGGAATGGTAAACAGTGTAAATGTATTGCTTGCAGCTAACTTCTATATCTTGATTTACTCCACTTTTTTATTTATTTTTTCTGGGTATGAACATTTTCTTTTGGGTCACATTTATCATTTAGCTTCTTCAGTTTTTTTGTTTTTTTTGTTTTTTGTTTTTTTTCTTGCTTGCTTTAAATGTGTTTTTGCTATTCTTCCCTGCTTATGTTAATATTATCATTTAGTTTCTAGATAGGATGTTGCTTTATTTTGTGATCTTTTGTTTTGATTTTGCTTTTTGTTTTGTTTAATTGTTTTTTTTGCTTATCTTTTCCAGCATGACTCAAGCTAGCTGTTAAATGAGTTCAACTAATGACTTACATGTTTAATACCTTCTGTCTTTGTGTAGTCTGATAATCCATAGTCTTTCATATTTAAATTATATATAAAAATGTATTTTTTTTTTTTAGTATTTTTATTTATTTATTTATTTAAATAATTCATTAAATTTTTAATTGTTTACTCGGTATATTATTGAACTTTAAGTAAATTTTTAGATACTAGACATTGCTAGTGATGTAGATTTGGGTAAACTATCATTTTTAGTTTTTTAGCATATGATTCGTTTTTATAAATATATCCTAAAAGGTCTATTTTATGCATGTGATGTATATATATCATGTCTAATCATTTTTTATTGTAGCTGTTTTATCTTTGTTGATCTTATACTTTATGTTATTTACAGTCGGTTATAAAAGCTCCTAGAGCTTATGTTGTAATGTTGAAAACTTGCCGACTTGAAATAAAACTTATCTTATCTTATCTTATCTTATCTTCCACTAGGTGATATTGGTGTTTGGAGCATCAATTTTGGGCTCAGATTTCCAACCATTTTTTCTATGATCTATTGCCTCCCTTTCTTTTTGTAAAAATTTTAAAACAAGTAAATAATTGTTATGGTTACTTTTGATCCCAGAGGATAAATTTGATAGAACTTGGTAGATGTTTACTAGGCTTCTGGCATTCTGGTTACAGAAAATATGATTTTATTAGTTTAACCTATGTATATTAATGTTTACATTAGTGATCCTAAAGGTTGGGTCACTTTGACTGTGATTTCATAATCTGAACTATCTAGGTGACGTGCAGTAGGTTATGTCACATGCCAAACATATCTGTTGACTTTTATCAATACTCTACCTTCAGGATAAGTATTATAAAATTTTTTAATACCTTTCTTTGTGGCACAAGTTGCACCCTCATAATTTTCATAGCAACTACATGATGCACTACGTCGCCCCGAGTCTGAGCATATACCTCTGTTGTTACAATAATTTGGGTTGCTAACACAGTATGCTGAAATGTTGATTATTTTATACATTTATATTGTACATTGTAAGTTGTTAACTTCAAACTTCTCATATATTTAGAGATTATTAGGAGTACAAAATTTCAAGTAGCAGGCTGATGTCACAATAAGTGTGAACTTTGTAACATATCTGACAATGAATTTCACTTTCTATAATAAGCCTTTCATATTGTATACCAATACAAAAACATATAAAACTGCACCACATGCCACTGTTTTGTTAGTCTTGAGTCAGAGAGTGTGACAGAGAAATGGACTGTCAAAGGCAAATGCTAAATGCCCAACCTCCGAATGCTATTTGCCTAACCCCCTTGGTGGGGGCGTAAAAATACAACTTTAATAGATACTATTTTAAATCATAATAAAAATTTCTAACATTGAACTTGAGCTTATTTATTATATGTAATGTATGTGGCATGTATACATACATTGATTTTTTGCAAATGTTTACTATGTCTATTTTAATTGGATTCTTTTGTAGACTAAAGATTAAACTTGTTAACCCTAAAAAATAACTTAACTAGAAAAGCTTGACTGGACTTGCCAATCTTTAAATGCTATACACGACCATTTATATATTTTTTTTTTGGGGGGGGGGGGGGGATTTCAAAATACATCCTGAATGAATAGAGAACAGTGCAGACCAAGATCTGATGGCAAACATTTGTCGACTGATATTGGTCTGCACTGGTTGCATTGGTAGAATCTTTTGCAGGCAGTAGGCTAAGAGTTTAAAATTGTGTTTTCACCAGCTTATATCATAACTGTATGCAAATACAAATGTATTCTAATTTAAAATCAACTATGGTAAACAATATCTAAGGATTGCTGACCGCAGGGGTTCAAACCCTGTCAGGGGCAAGCCGTTGTTTCCTTGAGCAAGAAACTTTACATTCTTTGCTTAGTACTGGTTGGTTCCAGGAACGGATTCGAGAGTGTTTCAATAAGCTTATAGCTTCCGAAACAATCAAACTAAAATAAATTTGTATAAACTAATCTACATATTTAGTAATAAAAAATGTCATTCAATGTTATATGGTATACACGATCATTATAAAAGTGCCCTTACATTTACATGCAGACACATCAGTAGCTCCTGTATCATCGTTGTACGTTCGTGATGGACAACTCTTACATGATGACTCGCCAGTCCTGTCTTGATATGTGTCTTTAGGACACAGCTCACATGTCACTCCATCTTCACTGTAGCGTCCAGTATTACAATCAACTGAAATAATTTATACAAAACATGAACACAATCGTTTAATATAATAATTTAACTCAGCGCTCTAATAATTTAACTCGGCGCACTCAGTTCATTCTTTGGATGGCCAAATGCATTACCTTCTAGAAAATATTATGTATCTTGACTTTCAAATTAAAATTACCTGGTCTATTTTACATTAGGGGTGTGGATCGTCGGATAAGTGACGATCCGATCCGAACCACGATTCAGCACTTACGATTCACAAATCGAACCACAAATCTTTTGTTATCAAGACACCCATAAAAACATGTACATTAGTTATAAAAACATGTTTATTTAAAGAAAAACAAAAAAAAAACACAACAACAACAATATACTAAACATAAAACATATAAAATATAAACTATAGATTCTTTGGATGAGTATTTTTGTTTTGTTTTTTGAAACCAATTACTTCCTAGCTCAGCATCATGGTACTTGGTCTTTAACCGGCAAATTGCATTTAGGTAAACTTCATATAATTTATACTCAAATTGTGAGAAACAGTGAAAGTATATAAAAAGCTTAAATCGCGATCCACGATCTCTGGGCTTACGAATATTCAAACTCGATTTTTCACTATGATTCGTGATTATCCGAGTACTCGGATACTCGCCCCAGCCCTATTTTACATCTCTGTACCAGTAAAAATATTTACAAACATATTTAACCCTTAACCTATTGAGTTACTGAAATGGACTTTTCTAATTTCCATTTTAGAACAGTCAATTATCAATTTAAGTGGATATCAAGGTCAGAATTTGAAGTTGGCATGGATGTGCAGGCTGGTCTGGCTCTATACTGGTGGCAAAAAATCACTTTTGCCTTCAGCAGGGTAAAGGTTAAAGAAACTTGTGTATTAAATATGGAAATTCAAAAATTGCTACAGAATAAGCATACCTTAAGCTTTTAGCAAAATTTAATGTTCCCAAATTTGAGCAACTGTTAATGAACACAGTTAGAAAGTCTTGAGAAAACTATTTTATAGTATTAAATGTTCCTTGATTCAATAAGTTATCACTTACCACACTGATTGTTAACAGAATTTTGGCCAGCAGCACATATTACAGTTTCAGTTGGTTCTTCAGCACTGCTAAATTGTATCTCATTAGGCTATAAATAAAAACAACAACAATTCTTGAACGGTAACAAAACAATACATCTTATAGGGTTATAATGAACTAAAAGTCTTTAGATCATGACATATCTTAATTCAAGTTCTAATATTGTTGTTCTAAAAATTGTTTATTAATGGTATTTAAATCATCTCTGTATTCTGTCTAATACAGACTTGTGTTTCAGCTTAGTTGCTGTAAACTTCTAAAGTTATCACTGATTACAAAAATATCAAACCTTTTGCAATTTGTCCATAACAGCAATAACAACTTGAAGCTGACTATATTAATAATGTTGGACAAAAATCAGAAAATTTTGGCAAACTAACTTTATTCACAAAAACTACTTACATCAGATTCTGGTGAAAGGGTATCTTTGTTGTCTTCAATAATCTCACTTATCACATCTTTTGTTGGTAATGTATCCCCAGTATCACTGTCAACAGTGCGCTCACTGAATAATATAACATTCATAAGTTAACAGATTATTTACAAAATAAACTATTCATGTAGGGGCACAAATCAAATTCTCAAAGAGTGCATGCACTGTATGTTATATATGCTGCACCAATGTTATAGCTTTGTTAATGTTGAAGCTACTGATCATAAACTTAAGTCAAAGGTTCACCAAGAAGTTTAACTGATGCCACTGTTGATTATGGCTAAGTGGGTCATGACAATAACTCGGCTATTTGTTAGAAAAACAGAGCACAAAAAATATATAAATGTAAGTTTTTAATTTAGCTATTCTAGTTTTATGTATTTTTTTAAACATTATGAGTTTTCTTTTACCAAGGTAGATATGACGGCACTGGTTAAAAGCTATCTGATAATTTCTGTTTGACATAGTTCAATGATTACCGAAATTAGAGACACCACAAAGAGTAATTTACATGTATTTAACTACTAGACATTGATCCTCTGTTCATGTAAGATTAACTAGATCAACATAAATTTATCATAAAATTTTTTATCCTCACCTAACATTCTTAAACTCAGCAACTAAATTAAGAGCATAATCTGTTGTTCCAGTTTGTCGTCTTTTACGTCCGGCACCCCTCAAAGTACAAGGATTGTTGTCAGCAAACTTCAAACTATAGTTATCACAGTCCTCATTATTACAGATGCTACGATCTTTGTTCTTATATTTATTTATTCTAGCATTTATAAATGTGTTACGAGATGACAATGAGAGTCTAGTGAGGATTCCGTTTAAGACCGTGTCACTACACGAGCTGATCTTTACAAAAAATACCAATTGGACACGTACGATCACCAACTTGATCACAGGTTGGACAGTTGCTGCAAAACATAACACAATCATAATTATGTCCTATCAATTTAAAATACATATTAAACACAAGAGCGATCAGTAATCACATGTGTCGCCTCATAATGGCCAATTTCATGTTGGGACAAATTTTGTGACAGACGGACAGACAGACGGACAGTGCACAACTACACTTGGTACTGATCATTCCTGTAAAGTTTGGATAAAATTGCACCAGTAGTTTATGAGGAGTAGTCCGGACAAGCTTTTGCGTATCTGGCAACACACAGAAAAAAACACCTTTTTATCAAAGGGCCATAACTCGGCCAAAAATCATTCAACCGGAAAACCCGTGCAATATGCGCAAGGACTTGAGCTACAGATCAATCCTGTAAAGTTTCATTGAAATTGCATTAGTGGTATAAGAGAACTAGTCCGGACAAACTTTAAAAATAAAAATTATTAAAGGGCCATAACTCTGACAAAAATCATTGAACGGAAAATGCTGACAATATGCACAACTAGACTTGGTACTGAATATTCCTGTAACGTTTGGATGAAATTGCACCAGTAGTTTTTGAGAAGTAGTCCGGACAAGCTTTTGTGTATCTGGCAACACACAAAAAAACCTTTTTTTATTAAAGGGCCATAACTCAGCAACCAGAAAACCCGTGCAATTTGTGCAAGGACTTGAGCTACAGATCAATCCTTTAAAATTCATTGAAATTGCATTCGTGGTGTAAGACGAATAGCCCGGATAAACTTAAAAATAAAAATAATTAAAGGGCCCTGGCTCAGACAAAAATCATCGAACCGTAAAATGCTGACGATATGCATTACTAGACATGATACTGATCATTCCTGTAAAGTTTGGATAACATTGCACCACTAGTTTATGAGGAGTAGTCCGCACAAGTTTTGTGACGGACGGACGGATGGACAGACAGACAGACGGACAGACAGACAACGGAGAAGTGATCCCTATATGTCGCCACTACTCCGTAGAGGCGACACAAAAATAATATTGTGTTAGTTTACAATATAAATTGAACTAAAGAAATATATAGTGAAAAAATATCAAAGTAAGTTATAAATTATTCTTAAAGCAATTTGACTTCATTTTTTTCAGGTATAATTTAGCAGTACAAGCAACACAATCTACAAGATAAACTGTCTTATGTTTGTGTTCAATATATGACATAATAGGGTAAAAATAAAGAAAATATATAGGACAGTGTAATTTCAGAGTGGAACCAAAACCCCTGTTGGACCTTTGATGTTTCCAGAATTTTTCAGAAATTTAGGATGTAAAAGAATAAATGTGAAGCATCATTGGAAAAAGGTAGTAAGGTAATGTATATATATTACATGTGATATAGAGAATGATGAAAAGAAGATAAAAAACATTTATATTTAAAACCTTTATCAGAATAAATAGATAAAGAATAATAATCACTTTAAATTAACTGACCATCATTGAATTACTTAAATTTACAACATCATTTCAAACATACTATTTTGTGATTTTAACCTGAGTCAAAATTCATGATCATGGATTATTGTATAATTAGTAAACAATCAATGGAGGGATAAAATATTGCCTCAGGATTTACATTTTTAATTTACAATAAGTTTCATACGTTTTGTAGTATCTGGAATTCACAGGTAAAGTTGTTTTGATTTGACCCAAAATTTACAGACATATCTGACAATATTCAGAATTCAGAAGTTCCAGAATTCAGAAGTATGATTAACAAGGAAAAAAGAAAGAAAAAAATAGGGACTGAGATATAAGTTTCTGGATTTCAGAAGTTCAATAGCTACATTGTAAATAATATCTTAAAATAATAAAGAAACAAACATGTATAAACCTTTAACCTGCTGATTTTGGGTAATGACATTGTCCTGATATAAATCTGAAACAGTCTGAAGTTTAAGTTAAGGGCTTTCATTATGTGAAACTACAAAATGAGCAACCAAGAATATAGACCCCCTCCCGGTTAAAGACTGCACAGAATCTGCAGGCTGGTCTGGCTGTATACTGGTGACTAAGGTTTATAACAAATTGCTTGAGCAGGGTAATGGTACGATTAAGAAATAATATATCCCAAACAGTGATTTTATCGCTCAATAACATCACTGTTTGGAGTTCGGATGCGACGAATTATATCACGAGGGCGTAGCCCGAGTGATATAATGATGCGCATCCGAACGACAAACAGTGAAGTTATCAAGCGATAAAATCACCGATTTGGATATATTATTTCGATTCTAACACGATATCAACAAATAAATGCTGCTGTACCTGATATTAAGCAAAATTGCGCTTGATTTGTTTCCGTACTTATTTTCAGCGCGTCACATTTTTAGTGGTTACGTCACGTGTATAATGATTACGTCACATATCTAAATATAGAACGTCAAACAGTGACTTTATAGCATAATAACACACACTTTCGGTTCTTCTATGTTCAATAGGGAAAAATACGGGTCGTGTTAGAATGACTATTAACCTATTTTTCACATACTTGTTTCACATTGTGACTGTCCGGTCCTAGTTGTAGTTTGACCATCAGGACAAAATTTACAGTAATTTGGATTAGATCCACTGGCATCATTGTATTGTCCAGCTGGACAGATTTCACACTGATCCTTCTTAAGTTGGTATCCATAACCAGCAGCACATTTTTCTGAAAAATCATAAGAAAACTAGAGGATGCTTTTGTAAAAAAGCGCATGTCTCCCCCACTGCTGAGAATAACTGTGAATGGAAACAGGAATGGAAATGGAGATAAGATAATGTAAATACCCGGTAGTCACTTCAATGAAGGCTGTCTATGGATGGTTTCTATTGTTAAGGTTGTATGAGAAGATGCTTCCTATGAAGTTTGAGGGTTGTAGGTCAAAAGGAACTCTAGTTATCATCCGGAAATGAGAAATTGACCAACGGTCACTGTGACCTTGACCTTTGACCTACTGACCCCAAAAACAATAGGGATCATCTGCTCTATAAGACCAATCATCCTATGAAGTTTGAGGGCTGTAGGTCAAAAGGAACTCTAGTTATCATCCGGAAACGAGAAAATTGACCAACGGTCACTGTGACCTTGACCTTTGAACTACTGACCCCAAAAACAATATGGATCATCTGCTCAATAAGACCAATCATCCTATGAAGTTTGAGGTCTGTAGGTCTAAAGGAACTCTAGTTATCATCCGGAAACGAGAAATTGACCAACGGTCAGTGTGACCTTGACCTTTGACCTACTGACCCCAAAAACAATAGGGATCATCAGCTCAATAAGACCAATCATCCTATGAAGTTTGAGGGCTGTAGGTCAAAAGGAACTCTAGTTATCGTCCGGAAACGAAGAATGGACGGACGGACTGACGGACTGACGGACGGACGGACTGACGGACGGACAGGGCAAAAACAATATGTCTCCCCCCGAGGTGGGGGAGACATAATCAATTAAAATAGTCCAATAAAACCATAAGAATGTGGAAATCAATTAAAATAGTCTAATAAAACTACTAGCATGTGGAAATCAATTAAAATAGTCTAATAAAACTACTAGCATGTGGAAATCAATTAAAATAGTCTAATAAAACCACTAGCATGTGGAAATCAATTAAAATAGTCTAATAAAACTACTAGCATGTGGAAATCAATTAAAATAATCTAATAAAACTACTAGCATGTGGAAATCAATTAAAATAGTCTAATAAAACTACTAGCATGTGGAAATCAATTAAAACTAGAGGATGCTTTTGTAAAAAAGCGCATGTCTCCCCCACTGCACTGTGACCTTGACCTTTGACCTACTGACCCCAAAAACAATAGGGATCATCTGCTCTATAACACCAATCATCCTATGAAGTTTGAGGGCTGTAGGTCAAAAGGAACTCTAGTTATCATCCGGAAACGAGAAATTGACCAACGGTCACTGTGACCTTGACCTTTGACCTACTGACCCCAAAAACAATAGGGATCATCTGCTCTATAAGACCAATCATCCTATGAAGTTTGAGGGCTGTAGGTCAAAAGGAACTCTAGTTATCATCCGGAAACAAGAAATTGATCAACGGTCACTGTGACCTTGACCTTTGAACTACTGACCCCAAAAACAATAGGGATCATCTGCTCAATAAGCCCAATCATCCTATGAAGTTTGAGGTCTGTAGGTCTAAAGGAACTCTAGTTATCATCCGGAAACGAGAAATTGACCAACGGTCAGTGTGACCTTGACCTTTGACCTACTGACCCCAAAAACAATAGGGATCATCAGCTCTAAAAGACCAATCATCCTATGAAGTTTGAGGGCTGTAGGTCAAAAGGAACTCTAGTTATCATCCGGAAACGAGAAATTGACCAACGGTCACTGTGACCTTGACCTTTGACCTACTGACCCCAAAAACAATAGGGATCATCTGCTCTATAAGACCAATCATCCTATGAAGTTTGAGGGCTGTGGGTCAAAAGGAACTCTAGTTATCATCCGGAAACGAGAAATTGACCAACGGTCACTGTGACCTTGACCTTTGACCTACTGACCCCAAAAACAATAGGGATCATCAGCTCTATAAGACCAATCATCCTATGAAGTTTGAGGGCTGTAGGTCAAAAGGAACTCTAGTTATCGTCCGGAAACGAAGAATGGACGGACGGACTGACGGACTGACGGACGGACGGACTGACGGACGGACGGACAGGGCAAAAACAATATGTCTCCCCCCGAGGTGGGGGAGACATAATAATCTAATAAAACTATGAGCATGTGGAAATTAATTAAAATAGTCTAATAAAACTACTAGCATGTGGAAATCAATTAAAATAATCTAATAAAACCATTAGCATGTGGAAATCAATTAAAATAATCTAATAAAACTACGAGCATGTGAAAATCAATTAAAATAATCTAATAAAACTAGAACTGCCACTATCATGGCGTGAATACCCCTGCATACCACTTTGTCAGAATCAACAGTGGCAATTTAGAACTCAAGGACAACCTCCCTGCCAAATCTGAGGTTACTAAGTATTCTACATGCTTCAAATGTGAAAATGTCAAAATCAATACACTCTGGACAGGCATTCTGAAGCAATTGAGGGGAAAAGCTTTATTTTGACAAGGTCCCTGTGACCTTGACCTTTGACCCAGTGACCTCAAAATCAATACGGATCATCTACTAATCATGACTAACCTCCATGCCAAATATGAAGACTGTGGGTCATAGGAACCTTAAGTTATTGGGCGGACAAGCTTTTTGAAGTCAAGGCCCCTGTAACCTAGACCTTTGACCCGGTGACCACAAAATCAATCGGGGTCATCTACCAATCATGACTAACCTCCATGCCAAATATGAAGACTGTGGGTCAAAGGAATCTTAAGTTATTGGGCGGACAAGCTTTTTGAAGTCAAGGCCCCTGTGACCTTGACCTTTGACCTGGTGACCTCAAAATCAATAGGGATCATCTACAATGTACTTATCATAACTAACCTCCATGCCAAATATAAAGACTGTGGGTCAAAGGAATCTTAAGTTATTGGGGGGACAAGCTTTTTGAAGTCAAGGCCCCTGTGACCTTGACCTTTGACCTGGTGACCTCAAAATCAATAGGGGTCATCTACTAATCATGACTAACCTCCATGCCAAATATGAAGACTGTGGGTCAAAGGAATCTTAAGTTATTGGGCGGAGAAGCTTTTTGAATTCAAGGCCCCTGTGACCTTGACCTTTGACCTGGTGACCTCAAAATCAATAGGGGTCATCTACTAATCATGACTAAACTCCATGCCAAATATGAAGACTGTGGGTCAAAGGAATATTAAGTTATTGGGCGGACAAGCTTTTTGAAGTCAAGGCCCCTGTGACCTTGACCTTTGACCTGGTGACCTCAAAATCAATAGGGGTCATCTACTAATAATGACTAACCGCCATGCTTAATATGAAGACTATGGGTCAAAGGAATCTTAAGTTATTGGGCGGACAACTTTTTTGAATCAAGGCCCCTGTGACCTTGACCTTTGACCTGGTGACCTCAAAATCAATAGCTGTCATCTACTAATCATGACTAACCTCCATGCCTAATATGAAGACTGTGAGTCAAAGGAATCTTAAGTTATTGGGTGGACAAGAAAAAACAGAAGGACGGCCGGACAGCCGGACGGCAGGACGGACAACCTGATTCCAGTATACCCCCCTTACAACTTTGTTGTGCAGGGGTATAACTACTAGCATGTGGAAATCAATTAAAATAGTTTAATAAAACCACAAGCATGTTGAAATAAATTCAAAAAGTCTAATAAAACCACAAGCATGTTGAAATAAATTCAAACAGTCTAATAAAACCACTAGCATGATATGAACATTCAAACATGTTGCTTCTTTATAGAAACATAACTTGACAGCATTGCAATGGTTTCAGTACAAGGGCACAACAAACCCTGGAAAAACTCCCCTCCCAATGAATCTTCATTCCAAATTATTTTGAGCAATTTCAACAACCTGAACGATTCCCCTCCTATTTTGCTTCAAGGCAGACAATTTAACATTAAAATCATTTAAAAAAAACCTTACCTATACAGTCATCTTTAGATTTCTTGCCTGTGCCTAGTGTTGTTTCAGTACTTGCACAATTTTCACATTTAGAAGACATTATATCCGGGTTATATGTGCCAACAGGACATGGAAGACATCTAATTGTATCTAAATTCACATCAGTTTCAGAATATTCTCCTGCTTGACACAAAGCTGAAAATATATCAATCCAAATTTGACATTGAGGTTAATGAATCCTGTTGCATGTCAGTTTTTAAGGGAATATTCTGTGTTGCAAGGTATTGTGTTTTATCATCCCTGTATAGTTAATACAACATTTGTTCATAACAACAATTATTTGGTCTTATAAACAATCACATGAGCCTTAATTAATGATTTAAAATTCATTAGTATTTGATGCACTTTTTATTTCCTTGAGAGGTTTTTCCACTCTCATTTCTTTCAAAGCCCTAATTATCTTATGGGGGGATGGGAAGGGCCAGAGGCCCTCAGGTATGGAAAGTTCAAAACTTTACATTCATTGCTTAGTACTGGTTGGTTCCAGGAACAGATTCAAAAGTGTTTCAATAAGCTTATAGCTTCCAACAAAATCGAACTAAAGTAAATTTGTAAACTAAACTAATTTTTACTAGTCTGAATGCCAATTGTGTGACATTGTTTACATTAGAGAGATCATAAATTGGTCGCCATATGGTGGTAAAATTCACAAGTGACGGGGTTTTTCCAATGCTGTTTTTAGAAAATTCTAACACTCAACCAAGGCTGTAAGTAAACATCAATGTAAATTAATGTATCCCATGTTATTGAATTATTAGCTTTCATAGGACAAACGCAGCAAAAGCAATGTTTTGTAAGTTTTTATTCAGTTTATCTTTCATTTTCTAGTAGAAATCTTCACCAGGAGGGGGATTTTAGACTTTTTTGGAGGGAAAGAAGGTAGTAATTCAGCTTGGGAAAGTAGCCAGATACCGACTACAGGAAAGGGGAATTAGGCCCTGTGAAATAACGAACGTTTTCTTTTTAGTGTAAATAAAAATTCAGGGGAGCGTCTCAAAGAAAGTAAAAACAGTCTAAATTGGGAGTCAGATTTCACAGTCAATTGTTGTGTAAGACAGGGAGTCGCTTAATTCAGACAAAATAAAGTTGGGGGCATAAAATAGCGTCCAATATATGTCAGGGAGGTAATTTTGGCCAAAGAATTGTTTTGTTTAACAAGTTTTGGGAGAGCTACAAGAATATTAAACATTACTTAATACTACTGACACTGACCCTTTACTTTGTACATTGTACCAATTTTGGAATATCTTCAACCAACAAAAGATAACTCGAAATTTAACACAAACGGTATGGTGATACATATATCAGTTAATAAAGTAAAAGCAAACTGTGTTATCATACTTTCAGAGCAATCATCTTGTGATTTAGATCCTGTAGTTTTTGTTGTTTTGCCATTGCTACACTTGACACAAGCATTTTCGTTGCCTTCCTCAGCCTTGTAATAGCCAAGAACACATTGAGAACAGGTCTTTGTATCCGAATTAAACTCATATCCTGCCTGGCAGATGGCTGTAAAACAATAAGAATACTCTTATATTTTAATATGTTCTTGTTTTTACATGTATTCCTTCCAATAATATACATTAACAATGGTACAATTTATACAACCATTAATAAGCATTGTAATGACATCAACCAGCATGCAACTCATTTATAAAATGGTGTCAAGACTGACATCATCATAAAAACATACATTGAGGAGAAAGTTGATTATCTGGCACTGATTTTAACACTTAAACACAATCAAGTGTGAAACAAAAGTTTAAATTGTTAAATTAATAATAGAACATCCATATTAAAAATTGGCAACAAGATAGTTTTGCTTAAAAAATAGTGATCCCCCTCATTTTGCCTTATTAGAATCAAAATAGTATTGATCACTGCGATATTCATTGACTTTTTTTACACCAGTTTGTTGTTTTGATGAATAAAATTTAATTCCTATATAGCAAAACTCAAAAACGGTGTTAAACAGCCAATAAACACTGTTCACATTGATATTATTACTTAAATACATTGATTTCTTTAACTGTATGTTGCTACAAAGTCATATTGTAAAGTGGCATTTAATAAACATTAGACAGGAAAAAAATCACATAAAAAATCCCCACAAAACAGAAAAGACAGAGAAATTATCCATAGCCATTTATAATTCTTGACAAAATTACACTTTTCCCGGGGAATAGAATTTGCAATACTCTATATTATTTTTTAATATGATAGAATAAACATTAGGGAAATATAACATACCTATACACTGTGATACAGCTGTAGATCCCTTGTTTTCTGTGTATGTTTTATCAGCACATGATTTACATTCTTTTTGACCAATCAAATTCTGGTATGTATTTAGTGGACACATTTCACAGACTCCACTTGATGATCCGTAATTACCAGCAGCACATGGTTCTAAATTATACATTCATGACATCATTAATCATCAGACAATATTTCCTAATACTAGTATAGCATTTCATACAAGAGCACATCAAAGAAGGGGCAATGTACTCTCAAATACAAAATAAAATAAAAACGTTTAAAAACTTAAAAACATACCTAGATATTCGAATGCATGTATGAACTTATAAATTCAATTATAAATTTAAATTTTACTACTATATCAGGACCAGATCATGATGTCAGGACAATATCATAAAAGGCGATAAAATTATAATATACTTAGTCAATATCATGCTAGGTCAGGGTAAGGCCACTTTAAGTTATAATAGGTCAGGACAGAATCATTACTTGTGTAATAATGTAGGAAACAAAGTGTGAGCAGTTCCTGACATGTATACAGTAATGAAGAATGATCACACAACATCAAAAACATCACACAAGCAGATTAAAGCAGCACTCCTCCAGATTCATGCTAATTTCATGAAAATTTTGAAAATATATTTAAATGTATAATATTGTGAAATAACAAACAAGACCCAATTTACACATTATAAATTGCATCAGAACTCATGTAAATTACCAAAAAAGGTGGTCAAAATATGCATAAATAGCCCTTACTGTGTTCAGTATTGCAATCAAAATATAGTTGTAAATACTGAAAGATCAGTCATTAACCGCACACATAATAATTATGTAAAATATCACTTGAATCTTCAATCATTTTGCTTTTCCTACTATAGTAGTACATATTTCTCAAGTTTGATTTATTGAAATAATTTGAATCATCTGGAGGCCTGCAGCATGGATAAAAATTATTTATAATGATGTTAGAAACAAAGAGAAGACTTACCACATTTTGAATCTACCCGATACTCCCCAACTTCACAGAGATCTTCTACAGTGACGTCTTGGTAACCCACAAATATTATTTCTTTTACCTATTCACATTCATAAATGTATAATTATTTACAGGTAAGTTTTACTATATCACTCCAGGAAATAATTCATGCATACTCCCCCCATTCACTACCTGATGACCATTTTAACAAGTCAAAAATTGACAAGTTGATGTAAGTATAATTCTAAAGATAAAACATTAATAATCCTATAACAATATTACATCACAAACAATTCATTCTCAAATTCTCCTCTCTAAATCTTCCAGTTGGTAATTGCTTCCAGAGATAAACAAAAGCTCCTAATGTAATCAGCAAAATGTCATAACGTAAATTCCACTGGATACAACAGTTACTGTGCAATTTAACCATCAACAATTCAATAGTAGATTGCTCTGAGGCAAAAACTTAACAGAACAGAACATACTCTTATTGAATTCAAGTTATTTATGCAAAATCAGTAAAAAGTGCTATTTCTTTGTAATTTAACACATAACAATGTATCTTATAAGTCCATACAATAGAGGGTAAATGTCACCGTTTTTGGTGAAGCCCACGGGGCGATGTATTTAATTAACCCATGGGATTCTGCAGATGTTAATGGATAAAAAAGGTGCATTCTAGCACCATTCATGCATATATGTATATAAGTATATGTCTGTTTTTGGTAAATTGTGTTTCCCTATATGTTTTTCATATAAAGAAATTGGTTTTATCACGCTTTTCATGTGTTTAATATTAATTTTAGATACAAAAATCCTTTGGATCTACCTAAAGTATGTACAACCAAATAAGATAAAAAGAGTTTTTGCTTTTGCTTTGAAGCAGTTAAATTCTGGAAAAGTTTTCCAAATGATCTCAGATGTACATCTGACTTCTAATGAATTCAAAAGACTAGTTGAAACGACGAGTAAAGAAAAGTGAGCCAGCTTTATAATCTTTCCAGTGTATGTTCTGTTTCATATAGTTCCTGATTTGTTTGTAAGTTCATTTTATATATTTTTCCTTGAATTATGTCTCATGTTATGTATTATGTTATCCCAATTTTATTATATACAGAATTGTATTTTTTTTTCTTTATTTTCATTTTAAATGCTCTTATTTCATTACCAATGACATAAAAAATATTTGTATGTATTTTTATCTTTACAGTGTTTTTTTGTTGTTGTTGTTGTTTTTTGCTGGGGACAGTTTAAACACTAGCATGACCCTGGTAGGCTTAAACTGAAGATCTCGGAATACTTATAATCTCAATGTATAACTCATAAATATCAAAATCATTTTACAAACACTTACTTGGTCAGATAATTCTGCTGCATATAACCTTAAAATCTGACTGATAACTTCAACAGCCTCAATATTAGCATTGTTATCCAGGGTATCTGTGATAAATTCACTGAAATAATAATAGGAAATCAACATAAACATTTAATTGAAAGTTCTGGTATCTTACAATTAAAACAAGAGCGATCAGTAATCACATGTGTCGCCTCATGATGGCCAATTTCATGTTGGGACAAATTTTGTGACAGACGGACAGTGCACAACTAGACTTGGTACTGATCATTCCTGTAAAGTTTGGAAAAAATTGCACCAGTAGTTTATGAGGAGTAGTCCGGACAAGCTTGTGTGTATCTGGCAAAACAAAGAAAAAAACACCTTTTTATCAAAGGGCCATAACTCGGCCAAAAATCATTCAACCGGAAAACCCGTGCAATATGCACAAGGACTTGAGCTACAGATCAATCCTGTAAAGTTTCATTGAAATTGCATTAGTGGTATAAGAGAAGTAGTCCTGACAAACTTTAAAATTAAAAATTATTAAAGGGCCATAACTCTGACAAAAATCATTGAACCGGAAAATGCTGACAATATGCACAACTAGACTTGGTACTGATCAATTCTGTAAAGTTTGGATGAAATTGCACCATTAGTTTATGAGGAGTAGTCCGGACAAGCTTTGGTGTATCTGGCAACACACAGAAAAAAACACCTTTTTGTCAAAGGGCCATAACTCGGCCAAAAATCATTCAACCGGAAAACCCGTGCAATATGCGCAAGGACTTGAGCTACAGATCAATCCTGTGAAGTTTCATTGAAATTGCATTAGTGGTACAAGAGAAGTAGTCCGGACAAACTTAAAAATTAAAAATTATTAAAGGGCCATAAGTCTGACAAAAATCATTGAACCAGAAAATGCTGACAATATGCACAACTAGACTTGGTACTGATCAATTCTGTAAAGTTTGGATGAAATTGCACCAGTAGTTTATGAGCAGTAGTCCGGACAAGTTTTGTGACGGACGGACGGACAGACAGCAGATGGACGGACGGACAGACAGACGATGGAGAAGTGATCCCTATATGTTGCCACTACTCCTTAGAGGCGACACAAAAAGGACTTATTGTTTTACTAAGTTCTTACCTGACCTTCGTTTATTTAGTCAAAATGAAAAAATAAATATTTTATTCATAAAAGCATGAAACATAATTAATACTAATGAAATAAAACTGTTGAAATATGGAACAATGAAAGGCATATATCCTTATTTGTTGCAAATATTTTTTAAAGCTGCAAGCCTCCAGATGAGCCAAAATATTTCAAAAAATTCAATCTTTAGAAAAATGTCTTCAGATCTTATAAAATGTAAAAAGATTCAATATCTAATTAATTTTGTCCATGTTATGTGTGTTTAATGACTAATTTTGCAGTATCAATAACTATAATTCTACTGGGTTACTAACGCAGTTAGAGGTATTTATGTATATTTTGAACACTTTTTGGAAATTTATGTGGGTCGTGACTTTTGCAATGTGTAAATTACTTTCTTTCTTTGTTCACTTCACAGTATTTTACTTTTAAATACATTTTCAAAATTTTCATGAAAATTAGCATGAATCTAGAGGCATACTGCTTTAAGTGATAATGATTTTTTTTAATCTATGAATGCAAATACAAAGCCCTTTTTGTTTTAAAGTATAGGGGATAATATGAACCTGAAATTGTTAATAAATTCATGAACATCTATGGAACTTGATTAAAAGATTGTAAAAATCAAGCCAATTTTTTGCACTGATTTTGAAAAAATTACATATATTTGATATGATGATGTCAGAGTGTTAAACAGCCCTTAAAGTGTTTGACATCAATTAAGACATCAATTAATTTTTTTTATAAATGTTTGTTTACATTCATCTTTTCCTAAGATAATTTTATAACATTGATACATATACCAAACTTTTAAGTTTATAGCCAAGTAGAAAATATGAAAACATATATTGTTAAACATTGAAACTTATACATTGATTTCTATGGTAAAATAACCACAGCATAGAATAAGCTAACATTAATGTAATCATTTTAGTTGCTAAGATTTGTTGCTTAATTTTACAATCATGCAAGTCTAAACTTTGCATTTCATAACATAAACAACCAGCACTGGATAATCCTATACTCAGAATTATCAGTGCTGGGAAAAATTATGAAAGTTATCAATTTGAAAATATAAAAAATTTGTTCGTTTATGGAGAGACATTTCAAAAAGTAAAATTGGTTTTCCTAGATGTTTTAACACATAATAATAACAAAACCACTGACAAAGCTATGTGTTCCAAAATTGACAGCAAAAAAAAATTAAAGTATTCCAAGTTTATATATTCAAAGCCTGAAAGCAAATTATAGTGGTACAAAATGTTTGATATTTAATGAGCTCGACTGCTCTTCCTAACTATTGAACTAAAAACAATGATGTGTTCTCATATATGCCCAGGTACATTCTCTGACATAAAAGGCACTTTTTAACTTCTACAACAATCAAGGTATAACAAAAATATAGAAACTTAACGGGCCAAAACTTTATCAAATAGAAAATTTCTGAAACAGAATTACTAACCTGATATCATTAAATACAAAAGATATTGTAAGTCTGTGGGTTATAGCTCTCTTTCGTCTAGTAATTACTTCACACGATGGATTTTGAGAAGCATCAAGATTATCACAGCTATCTCCATGACAGAATTTTTGTTCGCCATTATAACGTGCATTTGTCCGATCTTGGAACACTTTTCGTGCAGTTTGTTCAACTTGATTTGTTATACCATTAATGCTGTCAGTATCAGAACACTCATTTATAGCTACCTCAACCTTACCAACAAATTTCAGATTTATACGGTTGTCAGGGATCGGGGATACTGTAAATTATCAAAAATATCATTTTAAACAATAAGTCCAATAAATAAATGAATAACCAATATTTACAAGTAAATTTTCGCATAAATAATGTTGTTCTCTTTTAAAAAAGATAAACTGCATTTAAAACATGTTTTTCTTCAATTTCTCTTTATATTGAAAGTTTTATACTTGTAAACAGAAATAAAGAGATTGTAGAAATAAGCTACTTATTATATTGTTATTGGTGTAAATAGAGAGTTAAGATTTTGTTTTTGCATCTGATTATCAATTATTTGAAATTAAATTGAAATTTCTTTGTTAAAGATATTGAATAATCATGAAACTTGGGTATTTCTTCAAAACATTAATTTAAATTATATATACTATTCTAATGAAAGGAAAAAAAAAACAATAACAAAAACTTCATACTGTCAAAAGCACAAGATGTTGATCCACTCTGGTAATTTGTAGAACCAGCTGGACATAATTTACAGGTGTTTGGATTCTGCCCCTCTTTTTTGTTGTATTGACCTTTAGGACAGCTAGAACAAGTTGCAAGATTAGTTCTGTAACCAGCACCAGCCTGGCAGTCCACTGAAAATATCAACAATTATCAGGTTAAAATATTCTTATCATTAACATTACATTAAATGATTCATCACTTAAACAATTACAAGGGGTTATCCAAAAATTTGTGGACTTTTTAAATATCTTTCAACGTGTATTGTAATGAAATTTTATCAGCATACATTGTAGAATATTATCAACATATTTTGAAAGGAACAGTTAACTGCGTCAATAAATAATGATTTTATATTGCTTTTAAGTAAGCACATACACGGCACCCGGCGCACGGTAGAAAAGCGCAGTTAGTCATCGTATATTTTTTGCTAAAAAACTACTTATTAACGTAGAAAACCCGCTAAACATCGCACATTTCTTCTATGATGTCATTTAAGTAATTTTTTAAAATTATGAACGTCATTTCTGTTAATTTTTGTTGAAATCGCCAGAAACGCCAGACGACGATATTGTTAACGGGAAAATGACGGACACGCAGAAATTAAAAAATAGCGTTATGATAAATTTTGTTGGTATTTGGGAATGACACTATCAAAAACATTTGAAAAAAACAACAAAAAAACAGCAGACGAACAGAGAAAATAAAATTTCACAATCATTAGAGTTTGAGTGGCATAAAAAATTTAGTGAAGGACATTACTTTGTAAAGCAGTACTGGTTATTGACTACGTAACGTTGAAGCATAAGTTGTACGTAAAATATTATGATGTTGACGTCAATAACTTTTTGGAGTGCGCCACTGTGGCTGACATGTGTTTATGTAAAATTAAATATTGTTGTAATATAAGAAGCTACTAACATGAATTTTTCTGTGTTTATTTGTTATTTATTCATCTAAGCATTGTAAGAATTTCAAATAAATATCTCAAATATATTTTAGGCAACAAAGGAAGTCCACAAATTTTTGGATAACCCCTTGTAAATACTGCACTTTCCAAATGTTTTAACAGTTACTATGGTTTTTTTTTAAAGTATTATAGATGGCACATATAACTGCACACTTTCAGCTGCTATCATTGTATCACACATTTTGTTCTTCATAATAAACTTCAGAGTATAATGACCTTTGTGGTGGTGTTGGTAGTTTTCACTCATGACAGTAAGCAATATTGAATTCACCAGAGCATAGCAACCACCGCAGCGTTCCTGGGCAGGCTGTCAAGCACTTTACCAGTACTAGTTGCCTTCACTTTCGTAAGGAACTGAAACTTCTGTACATGCCAGAGCAGAGGTTCAGTGCGAATGACCGTAGAAAGAATTTCATGATCAGTCACAATGAAAGTGACCTGCTCCTTCCAGGAATCGAACCCGGGTCGCCCGATTTACAGTCTAACACTCTACCTATTGAGCTAACTGGATGGCTGTAATGACCTTTGTCACCTTACCCCTGATTTATGTATTAGAATATGAAATTTGTTAATGGTGTTTTAAGTTATGCTGACTATGTGAACTATTACAACTTTCTGGCTTTAATGGTGGCAGTTAAGGGTTATTAGTGTCACACTTTGTATTATTTCAGCACATGTGCTGAACTACATAACAAATAGAAAGGCCTTCAAAGATTTTAATTTACAACACAATTTCAAGATATACATAAATGCTGATTTATTGTGTTTTTTATAATCAACTTACAGATACACATTCCAGCTGACTTAGTGCCAACAGCTTGTGTTGTTTTATCATCTGGACATACAGTACACGTTTCCACCATTTCCGTATCACTATATCTGCCTATCTGGCATTCTCTACAAACTATCTTATCATTCTCTACCACAAAATATTTTCCTGCTGGGCACTTGTCTGAAATATTCATTATTATACTGATATAAATGATGATTGTGAATTCCTAGTGGTGTAACAGTAGACTGGTTTATTGTTATACAACAACAATAAATACTTCCATTGTATCAAGATATTTTCTTCTTTTTTTATTTGATCAAAATATGTGATCAGTATGTTAACTGTTTCAAGCACTGCAACAATTTAAATGTACATACAAAATGTTTTTTTTTTTTTTTTTTAAAAAAATTTAAACCCCGGGGTTTTTTTAAAAAAAAAATTTTTTTTTTTTTAAAAACCAAAAAATTTTTGTTTTTTTTTTTTAAAAAAAAAAACCCAAAAAAACCCCCCGGGGTTTTTGGGGGGGGTTTTCCAAAAAATTTTTCCTTTTTTTTAAAAAAAAATTTTTTTTAAAAAAAAAAACCCCCCCTTTTTTAAAAATTTCTTTTTTAAAAAAAAAAAGGTTTTTAAAAAAAATTTTTGGGGTTTTTTTTTTTAAAAATTTTTTTTTAAAAATTTAAACCCCGGCCCCTTTTTCCCTTTTTAAAATTTAAATTAAATTTTTTTTTTAAAAATTTTAAAAAAAAAAAAAATTTTTAAAAAATTAAAAAAAAAATTTTTTTTTTTTAAAAAGGGGAAAAACCAAAAACCCTTTTTAAAAAAAAATTTTTTTTTTTTTTAAAAAAAAATTTTTTTTAAAAATTTTTAAAAATTTTTTTTTTTAAAAAAAAATTTTAAAAATTCCTTTAAAAGGGGGGTTTTTAAAAAGGGGTTTTCCCCCCAAAAAAAATTTTAACCTTTTTTCTTCCCCTTTTTTTTAAATTTTCCTTTTTTTTCCCCCCCCCCCCCCCTTTTTCCCCCCCCCAAAAAATTTTTTTTAAAATTTTAAATTTTTTTTTTTTTAAAAAAAAAGGGAATTTTTTAAAAAAAATTTTTTTTTAAAAACCAAAAAAAAAAATTTTGGAATAAAATTTTTTTTTTTTAAAAAAAAAGGGGGTTTTTTTTTCCAAAAAAAAAAAAAAAAAAAAAAAAATTTCCCAAAAAAATTTTAAAACCCAATTTTTTTCCAAAAAAAACCCCCCCAAAAAAAAAAATTAAAAACCCCAAAAAGGAATTTTAAAAAATTTTAAAAAAGGGGTTCCCAAAAAAAAAAAAAAATTTAAAAAAAAAATTAAAAAAAAAAGTAAAAAAAAAAAAGGGAAAAAATTTTTTTTTTAAAAAATTTTTTTAAAAATTAAAAAAAAAAAAAAAAAATTTTTCCCAAAAAAAAAATTTTTAAAAAAAAATTTTAAATTCCAAAAAAATAAAAAAATTTTTTTTAAAAAGGGTTAAAAAAAAAAAATTTAAAAAAAAAAAAAAAATTTTTTTCCCCCAAAAAAATAAAAAAAAGGGGAAAAAAAAATTTTTTTAAAAATTATGAAAAAAAAAAAAAAAGGGTTTTAAATTTTAAAAAAAATTTCCCCCCCCTTTTTTTTAAAAAAAAAATTTTTTAACCAAAAAAAATTTTTTTTTTTAAAAAATTTAAAAGAAAAAAAATATAAAAATTGGGGTTTTCCTTTCAAAAAAAAAACCAAATTTCCCGGCTTTTGAGAAGGGGAAATTTTTTTAAAAGGAGGGAAAATGTCCCCCTTTACCAAAAATTTTAAAAAATTTAAAAAAACCATTTTTTGGGTTTTCCCCCCCAAAAAAAGGGGAAAAATTAAATTAAAAAAATTTTAAAAAAAATGCCCTTAAAAAAATTTTTTAAAAAAAAATTTTAAAAAAAAAATTTAAAAAAATTTTTTTTTTTTAAATTAAAAAAAAAAGGGAAAAAAAAATTTTAAAAATTTTCCCCCTTTTTAAAAAAAAAAAAATTTTAAAATTAAAATAAAATAAAAAAAAAAATTTTTTTTAAAAAAATTTAAGGGGGTTTTTTTAATTTTTTTTTTTTTTTTGGGAAATTTTTTTTTTTAAAAAAAAAAACCCCCCCCCCCAAAAATTTTTTTTTTTTAAATTTTAAATTTTTTTTTTTTTTAAAAACCCCTTTTTAAAAAGTTTTTTCCCAAATTTTTTTTTTTTTAAAAATTAAAAAATTTTTATCCCATTAAATAAAAAAAAAAAATTTTTTTAAAATTTTTTTTTTTTTTTCCCCCCAAAAAATTTTTTAAAAAAGGGGGGGAAAAAAAAACTTTAAAACCCCCTTTTTTTTTTTCCCAAAAAAAAAAAATTTTTTTTTTTGGGAAAAAGGGTTTTAAAAAAAAAAAAATTTTTTAAAAAATTTTTTAAAAAAGGGTTTAAACCCCAAAAAAGGGGGTTTTTTTTTTTAAAAACCCCCCCTCCCCAAAAACACCCCTTTTTTTTTTTTAAAAAAAATTTTAAAAATTTTTAAAAAGGGGAAAAAAAAAAAATTTTTTTTAAAAAGGGTTTTTTTTTTTAAAACCTTTTTTAAAAAAAAAGGTTTTAAAAAAAAATTTTTAAAAAATTTTGGTTTTTTTTAAAAAAAAAAAAAACCCCCAAAAATTTTTAAAAAAAAAAAAAAAAAAGGGGAAATTTTTTTTTGGGGGGGTTTTTTTTTCCCGGAAGGTTTCCCCCGGGGTTTTTTTTTTTTTTTTTTTAAAAATTTAAAATAAAAAAAAAAAAATTTTGGGCGGGGGGAAAAAAAAATTTTTCCAAAAGGGTTTTTCCCCCCCCTTAAAAAACCCCAAAAAGGGAAAAAATTTTTTTTTTTTTAAAAAAAATTTTTTTTGGGGGGGAAACCTTTTTAAAAAACCCCTTTTCAAAAAAATTTTAAAATTTTTAAAAAATTTTTTTTAAAAAAAAAAAAAAATTTTGGTTTAAAAAAAAATTTTTTTCCTTTTTCCCTTTTTTTGGGGTTTTTTTGGAAAACCCAAATTTTTAACCAATTTTTTTTTTAAAAAAAAAAAAAAAAAAACCCCTTAAAAAAAAAAAGGGCCAATTTTTGGGGAAATTTTTCCTTTTTTAAAAAATTTTAAAAAGGGAAAATTTAACATTTTTTTCTTTTTTCCCTTTTTTTTTTTTGGGGCCAAAAAACCCAAATTTTTTCCCAAAAATTTTCCCCCCCCAAAAAAAAAAATTTTCCCTTTTTTTTTTTTTTTTAAAAAAAAAATTTTTTTTTGCCCTTTTTTTTTTTTTAAAAAAAAAAAAAATTTTTTTTAAAATTGAGGAAAAAAACCCCAAAATTTAAAAAATTTTTTTTGGGGAAATTTTTAAAAAAAACCCCTTTAAAAATTTTTCCCTTTTTAAAAAACCGGGGGGGGAAAAAAAAAAAAAAAAAAAAATTTTTTTTTTGGGGGAAAAATTTTTAAAAAAAAAATTTTTTTTTTTTTCCCCCAAAAAGGCTTTTAAAAAATTTTTTTTGGGAAAATTTTTTTAAAAAATTTTTTTTTAAAAGGGGGGGTTTTTTTAAATTTTTTTTTCCCCTTTTTTTTTTTTCCCAGAAACCTTTAAACCTTTTGGTTTTAAAAAATTCCCCCTTTTTTTTTTTGGGGTTTTTTTTTTTGGGGCCCAATTTTTTTTTTCCCTTTTTGGGAAATTTTTTTGGGGGTTTTTGGGAAAGGGAAAAAATGCCCCCAAAAAAAAAAAGGGGCCGGAAGGAAAAAACTTTTTAAAAGGGCCCCCGGGGTTTATTTAAAAAAAAAAAGGTTTTTTTTAAAAAAAAAAAAAAGGGGGAAAAAATTTTAAAAAAGGAAACCCAAAAGGGGGGAAAAATTTTTTTTAAAAAAAAAACCCTTTTTAAAAAAAAATTTTTTTTTTTTCCCCCTTTTTTTTCCAAAAAAAAAAGGGGGGAAAAAAAGGGGTTAAAGGGGAAAAAAAAGGGTTAAAAAAAAAAAAAAAAAAAGAAAAAAAAAACCCCCCCAAAAAAAAAATTTAAAAAAAAAAAAAAAAGGAAAAAAAAAAAACCAAAAAAAAACCCCAAAAAAAAAAAAAAAAATTTAAAATTTTCCCCAAAAAAAAACCCCCAAAAAAAAAATTTTAAAAAAGGGGCCTTTTTTTTTTTTTAAAACCCCAAAAAAAAAATTTTTCCCCCTTTTTTTAAAAAATTTTTTTTTCCCCCCTTTTTTCCCCCCCCCCCAAAAAAAAAATTTTTTTTTTCCCCCTAAAAAAAAGGGTTTTTTTTTCAAAAAAATTTTTTTTTTTTTTAAAAAAAATTTGGAAAAAAAAAAGGGGGAAAAAAAAAATTTAAAAATTTTTAATTTTTTTTCCTTTTTTTTTAATTTTCCTTTTTTTTAAAAAAGGCCCCCCAAATTTTTTTTTTGGGTTTTTTTTTTTGGGGGTTTTCATAAGGGGAAAATTTTTTTTTTTTCCCCCCCCTTCAAAAATTTAAATTTTTTTAAAAAAAAAAAAAATTTTTTTAAAAAAAAAGGGGGGGTTTTTTTTTTGTAATTTTCATGAAAAAGGGAAGGTAATTTCCATAGTTTTTTTTTTAAAGGGACTTTTTGCCCCAGAAAAAGAATAAATATTTAAATTCTTTTGGGAATTTTAAAATGTGTATTACAACATTTAATAATGGTTTTAGAGAAAGTTTCAATGCTTGTTAAACCCGAAGAAAATAAACAAAAATGTAACATTATATCCCTAAAAGTAACAAAAAAAAACAAGTTTGTAATTTTCATTCCCTGCAAAATACTAAATCACTTTTAAATATATTTATTGAAAAAAAGGAAGAAAAGAAGGGAAAATGGGAATAATTTGGCCAAAAGAGTATCTTGCTGAAAAAATATAAAAGAATACAAAGATAAAAAACATTTTTTGGGAAAAAAAATTAAAGCATTTCTGGGGCATTATGGGCCTTTTAAAAAATTATTTAAAAGCTCCCCTTTAAAAACCTTTTCTTTAAAACAGTAAACCCTTACTTATAGCAAAAACGGTTATAGCGAACTTCCGGGTTTTAAAGGAAAATTTATTTTGGGCCCAAAATTTTCCCTTCTTTTTTTTAATATAAAAATATACGGGTTTTACCCAACCGGTTATAAAGAAATTTTCCTTAATTTAAAAAACTCATTTCTTAGTCCCCCAAATTTTGTTAAAAGTGCCCTTTAAAAATTTCACTTTTTAAAAGAACTCCAA